AACACCTCATAATTCGATTTCTATGCTTCAGATCAACTTCAAATTTGCATTGTTTGTTGAAAACATGCTGGTTAATAAATCCTAAAAGTTTGGAATCGATCTGATATTCTGAAGTATTTTTCAGGATTTTTCAAACGTGAATTTTCCAACTTTTTCTAGTCATAGGTTGGAAAAGACCTCATAATTCAATTTCTAGGCTTCAGATCAACTTCAAATTTGCATTGTTTGTTGAAAACATGCTGGTTAATAAATCCTGAAAGTTTGAAATCGATCTGATACTCGGAAGTATTTTTCAGGATTTTTCAAAGATGATTTAACGTGAATTTTCCAAATTTTTCTGGTATTAGGTTGGAAAAGATCTCATAATTCAATTTATAGGCTTCAGATCAACTTCAAATTTGCATTGTTTATTGAAAACATGCTGGTTAATAAATCCTGAAAGTTTGAAATCGATCTCATACTCTGAAGTATTTTTCAGGATTTTTCAAACGTGAATTTTCCAACTTTTTCTAGTATTAGGTTGGAAAAGACCTCATAATTCAATTTCTAGGCTTCAGATCAACTTCAAATTTGCATTGTTTGTTGAAAACATGCTGGTTAATAAATCCTGAAAGTTTGAAATCGATCTGATACTCGGAAGTATTTTTCAGGATTTTTCAAAGATGATTTAACGTGAATTTTCCAAGTTTTTCTGGTATTAGGTTGGAAAAGACCTCATAATTCAATTTTTAGGCTTCAGATAAACTTCAAATTTGCATTGTTTGTTGAAAACATGCTGGTTACTAAATCCTGAAAGTTTGAAATCGATCTGATACTCGGAAGTATTTTTCAGGATTTTTCAAAGATGATTTAACGTGAATTTTCCAAGTTTTTCTGGTCTAAGGTTGGAAAAGACCTCATAATTCAATTTATAGGCTTCAGATCAACTTAAAATTTGCATTGTTTGTTGAAAACATGCTGGTTAATAAATCCTGAAAGTTTGAAATCGATCTGATACTCGGAAGTATTTTTCAGGATTTTTCAAAGATGATTTAACGTGAATTTTCCAAATTTTTCTGGTATTAGGTTGGAAAAGACCTCATAATTCAATTTATAGGCTTCAGATCAACTTCAAATTTGCATTGTTTGTTGAAAACATGCTGGTTAATAAATCCTGAAAGTTTGAAATCGATCTTTCACTCTGAAGTATTTTTCAGGATTTTTCAAACGTGAATTTTCCAACTTTTTCTAGTATTAGGTTGGAAAAGACCTCATAATTCAATTTCTAGGCTTCAGATCAACTTCAAATTTGCATTGTTTGTTGAAAACATGCTGGTTAATAAATCCTGAAAGTTTGAAATCGATCTGATACTCTGAAGTATTTTTCAGGATTTTTCAAACGTGAATTTTCCAACTTTTTCTAGTATTAGGTTGGAAAAGACCTCATAATTCAATTTTTAGGCTTCAGATAAACTTCAAATTTGCTTCGTTTGTTGTAAACATGCTGGTTAATAAATCCTGAAAGTTTGAAATCGATCTGATACTCGGAAGTATTTTTCAGGATTTTTCAAAGATGATTTAACGTGAATTTTTCAAGCTTTTCTGGTATTAGGTTGGAAAACACCTCATAATTCGATTTCTATGCTTCAGATCAACTTCAAATTTGCATTGTTTGTTGAAAACATGCTGGTTAATAAATCCTGAAAGTTTGAAATCGATCTGATATTCTGAAGTATTTTTCAGGATTTTTCAAAGATGATTTAACGTGAATTTTCCAAGTTTTTTCTGGTATTAGGTTGGAAAAGACCTCATAATTCAATTTATAGGCTTCCGATCAACTTCAAATTTGCATTGTTTGTTGAAAACATGCTGGTTACTAAATCCTGAAAGTTTGAAATCGATCTGATACTCGGAAGTATTTTTCAGGATTTTTCAAAGATGATTTAACGTGAATTTTCCAAGTTTTTCTGGTATTAGGTTGGAAAAGACCTCATAATTCAATTTCTAGGCTTCAGATCAACTTCAAATTTGCATTGTTTGTTGAAAACATGCTGGTTAATAAATCCTGAAAGTTTGAAATCGATCTGATACTCGGAAGTATTTTTTCAGGATTTTTCAAAGATGATTTAACGTGAATTTTCCAAGTTTTTCTGGTATTAGGTTGGAAAAGACCTCATAATTCAATTTATAGGCTTCCGATCAACTTCAAATTTGCATTGTTTGTTGAAAACATGCTGGTTACTAAATCCTGAAAGTTTGAAATCGATCTGATACTCGGAAGTATTTTTCAGGATTTTTCAAAGATGATTTAACGTGAATTTTCCAAGTTTTTCTGGTATTAGGTTGGAAAAGACCTCATAATTCAATTTATAGGCTTCAGATCAACTTCAAATTTGCATTGTTTGTTGAAAACATGCTGGTTAATAAATCCTGAAAGTTTGAAATCGATCTGATACTCGGAAGTATTTTTCAGGATTTTTCAAAGATGATTTAACGTGAATTTTTCAAGCTTTTCTGGTATTAGGTTGGAAAACACCTCATAATTCGATTTCTATGCTTCAGATCAACTTCAAATTTGCATTGTTTGTTGAAAACATGCTGGTTAATAAATCCTAAAAGTTTGAAATCGATCTGATACTCTGAAGTATTTTTCAGGATTTTTCAAACGTGAATTTTCCAACTTTTTCTAGTATTAGGTTGGAAAAGACCTCATAATTCAATTTATAGGCTTCAGATAAACTTCAAATTTGCTTCGTTTGTTGTAAACATGCTGGTTAATAAATCCTGAAAGTTTGAAATCGATCTGATACTCGGAAGTATTTTTCAGGATTTTTCAAAGATGATTTAACGTGAATTTTCCAAGTTTTTCTGGTATTAGGTTGGAAAAGACCTCATAATTCAATTTATAGGCTTCAGATCAACTTAAAATTTGCATTGTTTGTTGAAAACATGCTGGTTAATAAATCCTGAAAGTTTGAAATCGATCTGATACTCGGAAGTATTTTTCAGGATTTTTCAAAGATGATTTAACGTGAATTTTCCAAATTTTTCTGGTATTAGGTTGGAAAAGACCTCATAATTCAATTTATAGGCTTCAGATCAACTTCAAATTTGCATTGTTTGTTGAAAACATGCTGGTTAATAAATCCTGAAAGTTTGAAATCGATCTCCATACTCTGAAGTATTTTTCAGGATTTTTCAAACGTGAATTTTCCAACTTTTTCTAGTATTAGGTTGGAAAAGACCTCATAATTCAATTTCTAGGCTTCAGATCAACTTCAAATTTGCATTGTTTGTTGAAAACATGCTGGTTAATAAATCCTGAAAGTTTGAAATCGATCTGATACTCTGAAGTATTTTTCAGGATTTTTCAAAGATGATTTAACCTGAATTTTTCAAGCTTTTCTGGTATTAGGTTGGAAAACACCTCAAAATTCGATTTCTATGCTTCAGATCAACTTCAAATTTGCATTGTTTGTTGAAAACATGCTGGTTAATAAATCCTAAAAGTTTGGAATCGATCTGATATTCTGAAGTATTTTTCAGGATTTTTCAAACGTGAATTTTCCAACTTTTTCTAGTCATAGGTTGGAAAAGACCTCATAATTCAATTTCTAGGCTTCAGATCAACTTAAAATTTGCATTGTTTGTAGAAAACATGCTGGTTAATAAATCCTGAAAGTTTGAAATCGATCTGATACTCGGAAGTATTTTTCAGGATTTTTCAAAGATGATTTAACGTGAATTTTCCAAGTTTTTCTGGTATTAGGTTGGAAAAGACCTCATAATTCAATTTATAGGCTTCAGATCAACTTCAAATTTGCATTGTTTGTTGAAAACATGCTGGTTAATAAATCCTAAAAGTTTGGAATCGATCTGATATTCTGAAGTATTTTTCAGGATTTTTTCAAACGTGAATTTTCCAACTTTTTCTAGTCATAGGTTGGAAAAGACCTCATAATTCAATTTCTAGGCTTCAGATCAACTTCAAATTTGCATTGTTTGTTGAAAACATGCTGGTTAATAAATCCTGAAAGTTTGAAATCGATCTCCATACTCTGAAGTATTTTTCAGGATTTTTCAAACGTGAATTTTCTAACTTTTTCTAGTATAAGGTTGGAAAAGACCTCATAATTCAATTTCTAGGCTTCAGATCAACTTCAAATTTGCACTGTTTGTTGAAAACATGCTGGTTAATTAATCCTGAAAGTTTGAAATCGATCTGATACTCGGAAGTATTTTTCAGGATTTTTCAAAGATGATTTAACGTGAATTTTTCAAGCTTTTCTGGTATTAGGTTGGAAAACACCTCATAATTCGATTTCTATGCTTCAGATCAACTTCAAATTTGCATTGTTTGTTGAAAACATGCTGGTTAATAAATCCTAAAAGTTTGGAATCGATCTGATATTCTGAAGTATTTTTCAGGATTTTTCAAACGTGAATTTTCCAACTTTTTCTAGTATTAGGTTGGAAAAGACCTCATAATTCAATTTCTAGGCTTCAGATCAACTTCAAATTTGCATTGTTTGTTGAAAACATGCTGGTTAATAAATCCTGAAAGTTTGAAATCGATCTCTTACTCTGAAGTATTTTTCAGGATTTTTCAAACGTGAATTTTCCAACTTTTTCTGGTATTAGGTTGGAAAAGACCTCATAATTCAATTTCTAGGCTTCAGATCAACTTCAAATTTGCACTGTTGGTTGAAAACATGCTGGTTAATAAATTATGAAAGTTTGAAATCGATCTCATATTCTGAAGTATTTTTCAGGATTTTTCAAACGTGAATTTTCAAACTTTTTCTGGTATTAGGTTGGAAAAGACCTCATAATTCAATTTCTAAGCTTCAGATCAACTTCAAATTTGCAATGTTTGTTGAAAACATGCTGGTTAATAAATCCTGAAAGTTTGAAATCGATCTCATACTCTGAAGTATTTTTCAGGATTTTTCAAACGTAAATTTTCCAACTTTTTCTAGTATTAGGTTGGAAAAGACCTCATAATTCAATTTCTAGGCTTCAGATCAACATCAAATTTGCATTGTTTGTTGAAAACATGCTGGTTAATAAATCCTGAAATTTTGAAATCGATCTGATACTCTGAAGTATTTTTCAGGATTTTTCAAACGTGAATTTTCCAACTTTTTCTAGTATTAGGTTGGAAAAGACCTCATAATTCAATTTCTAAGCTTCAGATCAACTTCAAATTTGCATTGTTTATTGAAAACATGCTGGGTAATAAATCCTGAAAGTTTGAAATCGATCTGATAGTCGGAAGTATTTTTCAGGATTTTTCAAGGATGATTTAACGTGAATTTTCCAAGTTTTTCTGGTTTTAGGTTGGAAAAGACCTCATAATTCACTTTCTAGGCTTCAGATCAACTTCAAATTTGCTATTTTTGTTGAAAACATGCTGGTTAATAAATCCTGAAAGTTTGAAATCCATCTGATACTTTCACTGGAATTCCACAGATTACAGAATTCCATACTTGTACACTATAATTCCAACATAATTTACATGCAATAGGAAAAATCACAATAACTAAAATCAATATTATTTATTTACAATAATAAAATACAGGCACAATAAAAATTAACAATTAAAAAAATTTGTTTTTTCGTAATCACAGAAACGTCCAATGGAAAACTAGAAAGTTAAAGTTGCACCGCAATTTACCTGGAACTTTAACTGCTAGCCAAGAAACAGGCCCTTACAATAACCAATAATAATTCGTTAATAACAAAATTGGCACCTAAATTATACCTATATGATATGTACAAATCTATATATTATTTAATAATGGAGTATTTCTGAGTTTTGTTCACGTCAAATTATACATGTCAATTTGTGTGTGTAAGATGAGAGTGAGAGTGACAATATTAATTAGTGCAAAATAGAAATTGAAACAAGCTAACACTGATTTTTCTTATCATTACCGGCTCTTGTCTTGAGTTATTATAAGGATAATACATACATAATTTGTTAAAAATCTGGATTTATATATTATTATATAATCCAGTTAATCATAAATGTGTACGACTAGGAAAGCTATAGCAGTAATTTGATCAAAATTCATAGTAGTGGACAAATTTCATTGGCATTCTCCACTAGAAGTGGACTTTACCAATGCCTTTTGGACTCTACAACGTACCCGCTACTTTCTAGGGGTCCCATTATGATTGTAGAGGTAAATTCCAACTTTCCAAAAGTATGTCAATGACAATATTATTATCCACCCAAATTCTTATCGACCGCTTCGTTAACAATGTTCGTCAAACTGTCCGACATGTTGTGACTTTGCGAATTGAATTCGATGTCCGTAAGGGAAATGTTGGCGAACTCATTAGGGATGTTCATTTGGATGATTTGCTTGTTCAATTCAGCCGAACTGATCTGGTTGTCCAAATCCAAAAGGTGCGGTTGTCCGGAACCAGTTGGGGCGTTCCAAGCCGCTATTGGTTGCGGGTTGTTGTTTGGTTGGGGCGGCATGTTCCACATATTATTGTCTGGTTTGATTTCTAAGAAAAAAGATATTCTTGAACTCAGAAACCATTTAGAATCCAAAGGAAAGGTTAGAGGTGATTGAATGATAGAACTACTAAAGTCTGATATGATTCTTACGTTGTGGTACTGCATTAAAATTGACCGGCTGATGTCTGTAGGGGTAATTCATGGTTTCCGGCGAAGGCGTCGGCGCCAACTCCATATACTGGGGTGAATGCGCCGGCGCCGGCACGTACTGATGGTTGGGACTGCCCTCCTGATACATTATGCCTCCGCCGTAGGGTGACGTACCGCCGTAAGGTGGCGTGTTGCCATACGGAGACGTCGAATCTGTCAAAACGTAACTATCACTTGATTTGTAGGGTTCAGGATTTCTAGAATTTTCTAGACAAATCCTGGAATAAAATTGATGAAAAAGGTGCGCACTCACTTACCTCTTGGCTCGGTTTTGATCGGTTCCAAGTAGCCGGTGGCTCCGAATACTTCTTGATAGACTTTTGCTATAGGAAATAATAATAATGAACAACCCTGTATAAATTAAAAAAAAAAAAAAAAAGAAAAAGCACGCCCATGCAAAACTAGGTACCCAAAAAAAAAAAAAAAAAAAAATACAGTGCACACAAACAAGCTAAAAACATGCAAACCATCATCATACCTGTCATATTATAATGTCAGCCAAATTTGTTTGACAGTTCTATGGGGGATCAACTGAAACGCCACCTGGTTTGTTGTTTTTGATATCAAACAAGTCATTTATATTAACGTACGATAATAATACATACATAAAAAACCAACCAATATTGTTTGCATATAACACACTGTATATAAACTATATATAATTATATATGTGGATGAAAATTTCGCATGTGCACTTAATTATAATATAAAAACTTAATACTTAATAATAAATAATAAACACAATATTTGCCTTCATGTACCTACTTACAGGGTGTGTCAATAATAAACACCCTGTATAACAAAAATTACTAATTAATATTTATTGAGCCTTCAACGACAAAATGGCCAATTTTTTTTTTTTTTTGGGGTACCTAATTTTGAAATCAAGATATATAGTACCTTCACCAATATATAAAATTGTCGACTTACTATGTTTATCAGTAAGTCCGCCAATGATTTTTTGGTTCGCCTGATCGAATTTGGCCCTTTTGCGCTTAGCGTGACCTTCGTTCGTGCTTACTACTACAAAAATTTAAATCAGATTTTAAGTAAGAAATAATGGCGGATTTGGATAGTTTTACTCGTATACTAGGCAGGACCAGGCCACTAGACACCGACTTAGGAGGAAAGTTTGTTTTGAAAAGTTTAGTGAAAAAAGCGCGCTTTTTTTGGATTTGGCAACGTTGTGCTGGCCAGTACCGGAGGTAAGCGTTTGACGGGCAAAGTGAAGGATTTGACGTTTGGCGTTCGCGTAAGCCTTAGAGAAGGTAAAGGTATCAGGTATCAGTGAGTGAAAAAACTCATAACTTTATTTGTGAGTTTCATATCAACTTCCAACAAAAGGTAAACCACCATCCCAGAATTGGTGCAAACAATTCCTCGAAGGGAAATTTTTTTACGCATAATTCCTCAAAATTCCTACAAATTCCTCCAAATTTCTCCAGATATCCCATCACAAATACCCCACAAATTCCTCTAAAAAAAGGGAAAATTTTAAAACTTTTTGTATGTAAAGAAGAAGATAAGAAGCTTATCTTCCCAAAATTTCAAATTTTTCCAGTGGAAAATAGCAACATGAAAAATGTTTGAAATCAACCTACAAAAACTGAATTAGTTGAAAATACAGTCCCACACATTTCAAAGTTTTCCTGGAAAACTAGTGAAAAGGGAAATTTGAAACTTTTTGCGTGTAAAGAGGAAGGTGAGAAGCTCATTTTCCCAAAATTTGAAATTTTTCCAGTGGAAAATAGCAACATGAAAAATCTTGAAAATCAACCTACAAAAACTGAATTAGTTGAAAATACAGTCTCACACATTTCAAAGTTTTCCTGGAAAACTAATGAAGAGCGAAATTTGAAACTTTTTGCATGTAAAGAAGAAGGTGAGAAACCCATTTTCCCAAAATTTCAAATTTTTCCAGTGGAAAACAGCAACATGAAAAATCTTGGAAATCAACCTGCAATAACTGAATTAATTGAAAATACAGTCTCACATATTTCAAAGTTTTCCTGGAAAACTAGTGAACTGAAAATTTTGAAACTTTTTGCATGTAAAGAAGAAGGTGAGAAGCTCATTTTGTCAAAATTTCAAATTTTTCTAGTGGAAAACAGCAATATGGAAAATCTTGGAAATCAACCTACAAAAACTGAATAAGTTGAAAATACAGTTTCACACATTTGAAAGTTTTCCTGGAAAACTAGTGAAGGGAAAATTTTGAAACTTTTTGCATGTAAAGAAGAAGGTGAGAAGTTCATTTTCCCAAAATTTCAAATTTTTTCAGTGGAAAATAACAACATGAAAAATCTTGGAAATCAACCTACATAAACTGAATTAGTTGAAAATACAGTCTTACACATTTCGAAGTTTTCCTGGAAAACTAGTGAAGGGAAAATTTTGAATTTTTTTGCATGTAAAGAGGAAGGTGAGAAATCCATTTTCCCAAAATTTCAAATTTTTCCAGTGGAAAACAGCAACATGAAAAATCTTGGAAATCAACCTGCAATAACTGAATTAATTGAAAATACAGTCTCACATATTTCAAAGTTTTCCTGGAAAACTAGTGAACTGAAAATTTTGAAACTTTTTGCATGTAAAGAAGAAGGTGAGAAGCTCATTTTGTCAAAATTTCAAATTTTTCTAGTGGAAAACAGCAATATGGAAAATCTTGGAAATCAACCTACAAAAACTGAATAAGTTGAAAATACAGTTTCGCACATTTGAAAGTTTTCCTGGAAAACTAGTGAAGGGAAAATTTTGAAACTTTTTGCATGTAAAGAAGAAGGTGAGAAGTTCATTTTCCCAAAATTTCAAATTTTTTCAGTGGAAAATAACAACATGAAAAATCTTGGAAATCAACCTACATAAACTGAATTAGTTGAAAATACAGTCTTACACATTTCGAAGTTTTCCTGGAAAACTAGTGAAGGGAAAATTTTGAATTTTTTTGCATGTAAAGAGGAAGGTGAGAAGCTCATTTTCCCAAAATTTCAAATTTTTCCAGTGGAAAACAGCAACATGAAAAATCTTGGGAATCAACCTACAAAACCTGAATTAGTTGAAAATAAAGTCTCACACATTTCAAAGTTTTCCTGGAAAACTAGTGAAGGGATAATTTTGAAACCTTTTGCATGTAAAGAAGAGGGTGAGAAGCTCATTTTCCCAAAATTTAAAATTTTTCCAGTGAAAAACAGTAACATGAAAAATCTTGGAAGTCAACCTACAAAAACTGAATAAGTAGAAAATACAGTTGCACACATTTCGAAGTTTTCCTGGAAAACTAATGAAGGGAAAATTTTGAAACATTTTGCATGTAAAGAGGAAGGTGAGAAGCTCATTTTCCCAAAATTTCAAATTTTTCCAGTGGAAAATAACAAACTGAAAAATCTTGGAAATTAACCCACATAAACTAAATTAGTTGAAAATACAGTCTCACACATTTCAAAGTTTTCTTGGAAAACTAGTGAAGGGATAATTTTGAAACTTTTTGTATGTAAAGAGGAAGGTGAGAAGCTCATTTTCTCAAAATTTCTTCAGTGGAAAATAACAACATGAAAAATCTTGGAAATCAGCTTACAAAAACTGTAGGTATTCATTATTTTTTTGAACTTTTAAATTTGACAATTTTTTTTAAATTCCTCATAGAATCCTCACAATTTCTCCCAAATTCCCCATAAATTCCTCCAAATTCCCTATAAATTTTCCAAATTCTCTTAAATTCGGATGAGTTCCTTCAAATTCCTCTAAATTTCGCACAAATTCATCTAAATTCCCCACGTTTTTGGCAAAGAATTCCTAGGTGGCTTGCCCCTTGACTTCCAATGAGTTTTGTATCATGAAGAAATTTTATTTAACTAATCCTGAAAATTTCAAGTTTCTGAGATGGCTGAAATGGCCTCATTACTCCCTATGTGTCTAGTAGGTTGGTCCAGTCTGCAGGTATACCACAAACAAATATTAGATGTGAGTTCGGCCTTAACATCTTACCGCCCTCTATCGGTTAGCAATTATTACAACTGAACTCAACTGGGTGAATGAAAAAAAAAAAAAAACTAAGGGCCAGTTTCACAAAAAGTGGTAACCCAATGATAACCACAAGACACTGGTAGCCTACAATATATAATATGTTCCATATTGTGTGGTTTAGCCAAAACCTTTGGTTAAGCTTCATAATATTCCAGATAGTTAACTCGCAACTATGAGTTTGATAACCACTAATTGTGAAACTGGGCCTAGAAGTGTACACAGTGTCACTATATACACAGTGTACTAGAAAACCATGAAATTTAAGTTTTCCCAAGAGCAAATCGAGCAGCCACTTCGGCATTGGTAAGCAACTTGCCACCCTCTACAGGCGCATAATAGCAACTAAACTCGTCAAACTCGCTTTGAGTAGCGTGCGGAGCCATTGCAGTATAAAGCGCATAGTTTTCAGCCTCAGTCAAATCAAGTTGCATTTCTTCGTCTACAACAGTATTGACAGGTGGACTGTCATCTTTTAGCCGTATGCGTACGCTGTTGCTAGAATGTGTGGAAATATTTCCTGTACTCTTAGACAAATCTACATGTAAAGATTTGGTACTTTGGAACGAAGGAGCAAGACTAGTCTCGCGCGACTTAGGAGGCACGTTTCTTTTGAAAAGTTTAGCAAAAAACCCGCGCTTTTTGGGATTTGGCAACGTTGCACTTAATGGCACCGGAGGTAAGCGCTTCACAGGCGAAGTAAATGATTGGGATGCCGATTTGACGCTTGGCGTCCGCGTAAGCAACTCTTTCTCGCCGATGTAAGTTTCGATTTTTTTGGAGCGCTTAGGTGGTAAGGGCGGCAAGCTGTTGTCGTTATTGTCTCTTTTGGGAGGTAAGACTGGTAAGACACTAGGCTTGTCGATTGGCAAGACTGGTAAGACACTAGGCTTGTCGATTAAGACACTTTTGGGTTCTTCAACTACTGGGTTTTTGAATGCCAACTGCAAACTAGTATAAGTGCGCGCATCATCAAAGGATTCGCTTTGCGCATGAGCCGATTCTACTAGCGCATGCGTGTCGGCGTAAATCTCGTCCAACTCTGCTACTTGATCGATAATTTCGTTTTCATCGACAGCGACATCTTTGTGCACTTGCGCATAACTAACATCATTATTGTTATTTTCAATTTGACTGATTTGAGACAATTGTCGTTTACTGAGCAGTTTGGAATCATGGGCCAAAATACTATTGAACAAATCGTAGTTGGCCTTTTTGTCGGCCATCATTTGACGTTTGAATGACCAATTTGGCCTACCTGAGTCTAATGGTAGTAGTTCAAAGGGCAATGGGTCGCTTTTCAGTTGGTCTGAAGGTCGGTAGAGTTGGATGAAGACTCTGACAGGCTCGGAAATGTCCAGGGTTTTGTAGCGCGGAGGCCGGAACCAAATGGCGTGCTGTTTATGGACCTGGCCTGGTTGGAAATCGGCCTTGCCGTGCCACACTTCCTCACCTTGCTGGTTTTTTTCGTAGAAGTGGACTTCGATATCTTCTTTGGCTACCTGAAACATTCAGTTGTATTATATAACATAGTGTTTTACTTTGCTTACTTTTTCGCATAATAAAATTATATCTTTTCTGCCACCATCCACATAGCTGGTACAGTCGGACAGTTTGATGATGGTCAAATCTGACATGGCTTTCTTGTCGTAGATCACATCGCTGACTACTGGTCGCAAGGGCGTCGTGAATTTGCCGTCTCTTTCGTTTTCGAGGAAAACTTGAAAGCACAATCTTACGGCGTTGAGGTCGATTGAAGTAGGCTGACTTCGGTGAGCGTAACCATCTAGAAAATTCTCAATTATTTTGAAGTCGAGTGAACCAACCTACTAGACACATAAGGAGTCATAAGACGAATGTGTCTAGTAGTATCCTGGTCTTGAGTGTATATATACTTACGTCTAAAAGGATCAACTCTGATTTGTTCACGTTGCCTCAGCGATGATTCAATATCTCGCTTTTTCACACATTGGATGCCCAGATTCTGGAATTGGGCGCGCATCGTGTTTTCGGGTATTATAACGGTGCAAACGCCATTTTTGCAGCCTTCTTTACCGACGAGATTGTGGGGATGGACCCTGGAAAATTTTGAAATGACTATACTTTTCACACAACTTGAAATGTCCAACCACGTGTTATTATGCATCTATTATTAAACAATAATTATTATTATTGTCGTTTTATCCTTGATTTTGTTCGACTATGCGGCGTCATTATTCGAAATTTAAGCGATAATCATTTTTAATTTATTGTTGAAAATTTATCTAATTCTAAATATATACAGGGTGTACACGTTTATTTTTGAAAAAATCGCTCGTTCAGGTAATTTGATTTTCAAAGGGGGAAGTTGCAGCCATTTTCCGATAATATCGAACGGCTCACATTTGAAGTGGGAAAGCTGGTTGTTTTGGAGCTGCTTTCCTATAACAATGTACGAAAAAAGGGACTGAAAAATGTTGTGATCCAGGATTTGAACGTTTTAAAGGTCACTCCATGGAGATGAACTTATTCCAAATCTCCATGAGACACTCTGTGGATGACGGGAAAATGGCTCTCTTTACAGAATACCCCAGCCATGCCAAAAATCCCAGTTGCATGTGGCTTTTGATCCAATCAATGCTGAGCAAAGTGCAATCATACCATTAGCATTCATTAATTCTCCACCGAGTTATTTTGACACTTTGTATACAACCCTAATATATGCAACAGAAGACGCACATCGACAAGCAAGGGGCAAACAATTTAGGAATTCTTTGCCAAAAATGTGGGGAATTTAGAGGAATTTGTGGGAAATTTAGAGGAGTTATTTCCAAGATTTTTCATGTTGTTATTTTCCACTGGAAAAATTTGAAATTTTGGGAAAATGAGAGTCTCACCTTCCTCTCTACATACAAAAAGTTTCAAAATTTTCCCTTCACTAGTTTTCCAGGAGAACTTTGAAATGTGTGAGACTGTATTTTCAATTAATTCAGTTATTGTAGGTTGATTTTCAAGATTCCTCATGTTGTAATTTTCTTCTAGAAAAATTTGAAACTTTGGGAAAATGAGCTTCTCACCTTCCTCTTTACATGCAAAAAGTTTCAAAATTATACCTTCACTAGTTTTCCATGAAAACTTTGAAATATGTGAGACTGTATTTCCAATTAATTCAGTTATTGTAGGTTGATTTTCAAGATTCCTCATGTTGTAATTTTCTATTGGAAAAATTTGAAATTTTAGGAAAATGAGCTTCTCACCTTCCTCTTTACATGCAAGAAGTTTCAAAAATTCCCCTTCTTTAATTTTCCAGGAAAACTTTGCAATGTGTGAGACTGTATTTTTCACTAACTCAGTTTTTGTAGATTGCTTTCCAAGGTTTTTCATGTTGCTATTTTCCACTGGAAAAATTTGAAATTTTGGGAAAATGAGCTTCTCAGCTTCCTGTTTACATGCAAAAAGTTTCGAATTTCTCTCTTCATTAGTTTTCCAGGAAAACTTTGAAATGTGTGAGACTGTATTTTTAATTAGTTCAGTCTTTGTAGGTTGATTTCTAAGATTTTTCATGCTGCTGTTTTTTACTGGAAAAGTTTGAAATTTTGGGAAAATTAGCTTCTCACCTTCCTCTTTACATACAAAAAGTTTCAAAATTTTCTAGAAGAATTTGTGGGGTATTTGGAGAATTCCGTGGTGTGGTATTTGGAGCAATTTGTGATGGGGTATCTGGAGGAATTTGTAGGAGTTTTGAGGAATTATGCGTAAAAAAATTCGCCTTTGAGGAATTGTTTGCACCAATTCTGGGATGGTAGTTTACCCCTTGTCGGCAAGGATTTCCAGCTTGTTTGGTACCTAATAATGAATCAGCCACTATATCTTAAAGCTAGAGAAATCGTAGCATCTTGCTGTGATGACCCGATACTGGGCAAAGTAGAAATGATTCTTGGTGGGTTTCATATGTTCATGTCTTATTCGGATTGTATTGGACAAACTATGGCTGGGAGTGGACTGAAACAACTGTTGTCGCTTTAAATTCAGTACCTAGATAAAATGTTAATGGGAAAATCTTATAGCAGAGCAATGAGGGGGCATTTACTTGTTCAAGCCACTTTAGCTCGGATTATTTTGGAAAATGCAGATATCACACCAAGTAGCTCAGCTACTTCAGACTTCAATGGAAATTACTTTCTAACATGTAGCTTTGTGGGTTCAGTATTTTGATGAAAAAATTCATTGCAGTACAGCGCACTGGTAACTGGGAAGATCATATTACATACAAGCTGGCATGCAACATTCTTACAGAGTATATCTGCAGGTACAGCAATGGTTGGGGAACGAATTCCTTCCTGATGAAAGTTGGGGTTGGATAAGAAAAGATGGTCCATGAAGACAAATGCCCCTTTGGCCTCAGACAGTGTCCTCAAAACACTCTTCTGTCGATGGACCACTGGCTGCGGAACAAGGAACAGGAGACCATCGATTTCTACGAACAACTCCAACTGCTGATAGAAACAATACCCCAACATGAAGGCATAATAATAATGGGCGACTTGAACGGAAGAGTAGGGAACAAGGTAATACCTGGAGTCAAGAGTAGATTCACGACAACAGTCAGGTTTTCGAGACAGGTCTGTCTACACAGACAGCTTTTCGAGACAGGTCTGTCTACACAGGCAGCTTTTCCAGACAGATTAGTAGTAACGGGCGCACCTGAGCTTGAGAAATTTTTCGATACCGTGGGAAAATCTCTAGATCGGCGGCGCCTTCAGGAAACTGTAATTTTGAACTCTTGTCGATCAATTGCAAGAATTCACCGCAGTCTCGACAGACGTTTGATAGATGACAAGATGCCGCCGACGCATCCACCTTCGTGTCAAGGACGGCGCACCTACCTTCGTGTCAAGAATGCAAGATTGAGATTATGGTCGGATTTTGATGCTAGAACCCGCTTTGACTATCTACTCAATTTGGATTGTGTTTGGGGTCCCTTGAGCCAACCTTGAATGCGCTCAATGCCCATTTAACAGGAATGCCAGATGCGTCAGCAAGTTGATCATTTACGGTTTCCATTAGCTCGTCCTGAGAAATGCTGCTTGGGATGCCATATATAATTATTCTCAGAAATCCTAGCTACTAGTTTCGCCTTTCTTAGGAAATTGGATTCAGCGAATCTGACAATGTTTGGGTCAGATGATTCAATTAAAACGCCCTTGTTCTTGACCATGATGATCCGATCATGTGTCATAATTTCATTGCACGCAAGCTTCATTCACCCTGCTTAGGGAATGTTTATTTCAATACAGGAATTGCCTTACCTAACATTGTAAATTTGTTGCAATAAATACAAGACCTTAATATTAAATTCATGTGTCTTCTTTTGGAGTTATTTGCAGGATTTATAGAAAAGATAGAAGGAATAACTTCCAGCATCTGATTCGATGGCTGATCTCTACTGTAATAAGCTATTTGGTGCACCACAATAATCCTAAGGGTGGCGCCCGAGGTAACCAAGAATAGGAAAAACCGACGTTACAAAATTGGCGCCCGAGCAGGGACCCTCAATTGCTGTAAAAAGAAGTTTCCACTAGAATTAATCCGTTGACCAGTCCTTTGTAAAACCCAGACTCAAGATGACAGGAGTCAACAACAACGCTGGAGACCCGCCAGCTACAAGTAACCCAAATACTATTGCAAAGATGGTACATATTTACCCTGCCGAAATGGGGGCTTGTTAAAGTTAGGAAATAGAACATTGTATCACTCAAACCCCCTTTTCATTTGATATTTTGCTGGTACCTGTCGCCTTCGCCTAGGGGTTGACAGGTAGAGGGTGGAAACACCAATAAAATGTGTCCCCGAAGAAACAAAACTTGACACCCAAGAGGTGGAAGGACAGCTGGTCGTTGGTATCCCAAGAGGGACAAATAAATGTGTAAAACAAGCCTTAAGACTTCCGCAAACAAGAAGAAGAAATTTCTATTAAATCATTTTTGGAAACTTCTGGAAAAATACTTCAAGCAATCAGAGGGACTTCAAACTTTCAAGATTCATTGGTAGGGTCTTTTTGTTCTAAAAACTAAGGTTACGTTTCCAATTTGCCGCCCTATAACTTTTCAATAACACACACCCTGTATAAAGGAGATTTGTGAACTCCAAGGTAAACTCATTTACTTTTCAGATTTAAAAATCTCATAACTTTTTCATTAACAGGAGCTTGAAGGTCAATGTCGAGTGATTTTTCCTTGAAAATAAGCGAATTTTCGTCAAAAACCACCTATGTTTTTACCATTAAACATTTAATGGACATAAATTTCTATTACGCAGCGTGCAAACAGCTTAATTTATATATATTTTTTTGTAATTGTCCACAACTTGATTAATTTTATTATTATTATTATTTTTTTAACGACAGTCACCTTCACGCCGAAACGATTTAACAGAAACATTGTTTACTTACTTGGATACTTGAATTGGATCTAATTAATGCAAATAATGTTGTTAAGAATTAATAAAGTTGTGAAGCAAAATGTGTCTCATTGGCACCCTTGCCCCTTATGACGTCACGAAATAACGTCACATTTGTAACGTCAAAATAACATTACAAGTCACAAAGATACTTACATGTATGGTATGTCTTTCGTCACACAAGAAACCACAACGACGGCCTTGCCTTTGTAACCCACCACTTCGATTTCCGGAAAAGTTTTGTTCTCAGGCGTACTGCTGGCACCAGGAATCGATCCTGCGGAACGACCTTCACATTCGTACCGGAACCTTAAGGCTTTCGATGCTGGTTGTTCGATAATCTATCAAAATAATGCGATTTAAACAATAATGTTTGAATAAATAATGAAGCACTTACTCTCACTTCTGCTCGGTTTCGGGTAGATTGCTGCACCCCTGGCTGGTGCAACTGCTGTGGGGGCATTTGCACCACTTGGCCCCCGCCGTTTAACATTGATTTTTTGACGCGCCTCTGGTTTTTTGGTGACTCTTTGACGAAGTCCGGGTCTGTTTCTTTGATTGCTTCCACTGCAAAACATGGAAGGATGCGCAATGTGTTTAATTTTGTCTATTGCGCAGCACTTTGCTTTAAAATGATGCGCAGCAAAAGTCTGCTTATTCAAAAATAAATTCGTATGTAGTATATAGTGACACAACAGAGGGATTCTCAGAGATGTGGGGAATCTTTTGGGTTATGCTAATTGGAAAAAGAAAATTACAATAAATGTAAAAAATTGCGTGTTCATATTGCGGTTTCGATTGTGTAAATGTCACGATAGGTTAGTCAGGGCTTCGTTTCCTGTTCAGAGATTCTAATTCTTATGTAGGAATAATTATTGTATCTGGGGGTTAAAAATTTTCAAAAAAAGTACTTACGGACATCACTTAGATGTGTACCATCATATGGAGCTTCTTCTATGTGATCTGTTGTGCTATCTGTTAAAGGAAAAAAATAAATTACCCTTAAAATTGTGTTGAAAGTTGTTGCTACACACAAATCAATCTTTGCAAAATGCTACTTTGAAGCGACATGCATGGAACAAGAAGGAAATAATGATAAAATAAATAAATAACAAAGCAAAAAATGAACAATTAATTGTTTGAAAAACTTAAATATCTTGATTAACAAATTGTTTAAGGAAATACCAAAGCGAATAATTAATAAATCATCGCTATCATGAAAACAAACATTGGAAATTCCGAAATCTTGACCTACGATAATGTGATTTTTCTTTCAATTAATTATTACCTTGTGAGTGAAATCGAGAGCAACTAAAAGTTCCATCACATATACAGGGTGATTTACTCAGGTGGATTAGATTTTATCTCTATTAATCCAATTTAATTCTTATGCACGGTGTATACCTACTGATATGACAAAAAGTCTAAAAATAGACTTAAATTACTGTTTGTCAGATTTTATAAAATAATTATAGTCGTATGATTACAAGCTTCCTCGAATCTATTTCAGTAGTTTGTGTACACGAAATGTTCAACTGGAAATCGGATAATATTTTTTAGTTTAGTCTGGTTGGAGATGATCTATTTCGGGCGGTGAATGAACATAATGGACATTTTGCCAAAAAAAAAAAAAACGATACTAGGGTTTTGCAAATAGCTGCCACAAAGGTCTAATAATTATATAAAATTTTAATTCCTTGGCTTTTACTTCAGAAATTAATATAGCGGATCCAAATTAGGCAAGAATTTTGTCTAAAACTTCATACTCAATTTTCTCAAAAACCTATGTGCATAAGAGAAAACGCTGGTGGCAGATTCAATTATATACCAGTAGAACTGTGTATAGTGGAAGTCATTTATTGAAACTTGAAACACCTAAACTTCCAGTCTGTGAGTGCTGGGAGTCCACTCCATTTTCATCGAAATCAAAAATATCAACTGAATTTGACCGGAAAAACAAAGGCAAAACCAGAACAACGACACTGGATCGTAGACACGTCCAGACCAGAAAAATTCAAGTGCAACGTCGCACATTTCTTTGATGCGGCGTCGATATACCGACAACCGATGGGACGCTGCGATGTTATGCAGAACGCAAGAGGTTGCTACATTCCTGAAAATCGTTTACACTAGTGCGATCATCGTATTTGATGCCCCACGTTGGGCGCCAATTTTGTTACGAGTCTACAGCTACATGGGGTAATTAAGAGAGAAAAAAGTGAAGGGAGGGATATGACTCTTGAAGGTGGCCTAAAGAAGAAATCCTACTTATAGGGAAACAAGTCTTCTTTGAAGGACCTCTCAAAAATCTTAGAGAACACAGACATTAGTGCAATGGGCCTATAGTTCTCAACCAGCGATGTCTGACCCTTTTGGTAAAGTGGTATCACAATGACTGCCTTAAGTTCTTTAGGAAAATATCCAAATTAAAAAGTCATCTTCATAAGAAAGGTCAGCACAGGGAGAATATTAGAAACACATTTATACAATAAATTACAAGGAATCTCATCCGCCCCACATGACCTTTTTCCTGAGACAGATTTAATAATCTGAGTGTCACTCTCAGTAAGAGGGGATAAGAAAATAGATTGCATGGCATATCAATGATTATAGGTACCTAAAAATTGTCCAGGAGTTCAGCTACTGAGCCGATAAAAGAGTCATTGAAATACACGACACAAACAGCAAACCAGAATATTCACATTGTTCATGATTTTTAACATGGCTGAAGCACTTTGGCAATGAGAAGTCCCTATCTGCAAGTTGCTTATAAGTACCAGTCAGTGCTAACAAAAACTGCCACACCACTAGCATGCAACAAGTTTCTGCAGAAGTAGGTAGCTATCTCATAGTTGTTAAGCTTATAACATGTAGCTTCTGTACTTGTCATTCAGGTTTCAGTGATGCACACAGTTTCAGGGAATGCAAGAAAAGTTCCAATTCAGAAGACTTAAGTCGTATGGCATTAAGATTGACAATTCTTATTCCGTTCATAGATTCAATTTCTGACTCTGTCTAAATAACCATTCTTCGCGGCATTATATGTACTAGATCAGGATCCCTGGCCTTGGGTACGAAAAAATGTAAATTTATTGACAGCTATATACCTTCCGGCCTGCCCCGAGTTCTCTAGGCGCCATGAGTTTAAATGCTTTGTATTCTCCGAATTTCACCTCTAAATTCTCAATTTTTAACCTAATGTTGTGTCCAAAATGGGCTTTGAGATACTCCATAATGTCAGACTGACTAGTGTCAAGTGAAATCCAGAAATTGTAGTCAGGAGTGTGGATACCACCAGTTGTTATTCACCTTTTTCTGACCAATAATAGCACCATTTTTCCTGTGACTAGACACTCTTCTTGAGGTGGAGGCGTTGCTGACGTCTCCATTGTTATCTTGACAATCTAATCTATTTACTTAAGGTCTGCTGCGTTGTGGCTTGCATAACAGCATCACCCACTTTTTGTGTAGATAAGGTAGTTTTCTGTAGTATTGTATTTTGTTGACTTGGGACTCCACTCCAAGTCTTAGTTTTTCCAGAGAGTTCCACAACTCCAAACCACTTTGTTTAACACCATCAATTTGGTCAGCTATTTCCTTTGTTTGTCTATGTAAGGCCTCTGTGAGTTTTCCATAGTTCGTAGAGTAGTTGCGGCAACCAGCTTCGTGCTCTTTTTGTATTTCATTTTGTAATGCTTCATTAATTGCACGCTGAAAAATTGAAGAAGCATTGGTAAGGCCAAAAGGCATGCGTAAATATTCATACTGACCACCGGGTGTGATAAATGCCAATTTTTCCACAAATTCAGAATTAACTTTAATCTGGTGCAAATCAGTAGCCATATCAGGCATAGTGAAATATTTACTTTTGCTTAAATGATCAATTTGTGTCATCAATAGTGGTCATACGAAAGTATTGGACCCACAACTGTGATGTTGGACCATTTGCTTCAATTTTCTCCAAGGCACTTTCAAATTTTGCGGTCATTTCCCCCAAAACCCACTTCTGAGTGGTCTTGGTTATCTACTGTTTTTAAGAGAACCGCTGGGCCTACAGGTACCAGTCCAGTCTTAGATGAAAGCCAATCAAATCTACTATAACTTCTTTTCATATAATATTTGACGTGGGATGCGTATTTTAGAAGATATTTCACAAAATAAATGACCATTTCGAAAAAAGTTCACTTTTTGGAAAAAAATTTCCTATTTTCGTAGAATTGTATCTTGGGAACCAATGGCTGTATAAAGCTCATCCTGGTCTCAAATTATAACAAATTTAAGATGTAGAGTAGCTATATCGGTCAAACCCTCCCTTCGCTGAGATATTGAACAAAAACTGAAAAAAATCCGAAACATTTCCTGGTTTTTTGGGTACACCCCCGCTCGCACAGCACTTTGGGAATTGCAAACCTGTGGGGGGATCAGAACATAGAATTGTAGGAGCAGGTCAGATACCTGGGCCTCATTATTGATATTATCAGGAACACATGAAAGACACGAGACGCAAGACTTCAAAGATGGCCATGGTAAGAGTCGTTCGGCGAAAATGGGGTTACAACAGAACAGTTATAAAAGAAATATAGAGCGAGGATCAGGACGCTAGTAACGATAGAGTATGAGGACAGAACAATAGAGCTCAGAATAAACAACAAGGTCAGAGACGACCAGATCCGAAAATCCAACAAATGGACAGAAGCAGTAGTGAGGGATACGGACATGGAAGAACCAGACTAGAGAAACATAAACTTTGTGAACTGATATGATAAATTGATTTATGTAATTAAAAGAGATTCACTTTTCCCACTAATTTGACCATAGTTGGCGTTGGGTTTTAGAGGTCTGTGGTTACTAAAACTAGGTTCCCTTGACAGTGGTTTCCTTACCTAGTGGATACGAGCACCGAACTGGACATTAATTACTTATGCCGAAAGGCAGATACTTATAAAATCGATAGATCATAATGTATAACTCCCCTTAAACTACTCAGTGGGCTCAACAAGGGCACCCTTGTTTGGGTCCCGGGTCACAAAGGCATAAAAGATAATGAGGAGGTAGACCAGCTGGTTCGTGAAGGTCTATTCTTGATATTGCTTCCTGCCTGGTGAAAGCCAAGATTAGGACCAAGTCCAACAACCGGTTCTAAGACGAATGGTTGAAACAGGAAGGTCTCAGACACTAAGGGATTTTTATACAAGTTCCTTCAAACTGCAAAGAGACGTAAATTCTCCTAAAACCAAACAGAAGCCAACTGAGAACCATCACAGGCGTCCTGATGGGACACTGGGTGGTCAAATACTACCTACACAAAATTGGACTCGGTATTCGGACCTATTTTCGTAGCGTGTGGGAGGGTAACTTTCGCGAATATTCGTCCTTCGTCATTTCCCCGCCAATTGTCGGTAAACTGACATGAAGCAAAGGAAGGCGAAGTCCATTACGCGTGACTTCGCACTGCTCCCAAACGCTTCGGGGGTATATGCATAGTGTTTTGTCAGTTTATATCGGTGTGCAGTGCCGCAAGGCTGATTTCTGCATTTTTAGCCATTTTCAATTAAAATAAGAAATGAAGTGGACCAATGAATTAACGTTAGGATTTTTACAATTATTTGAAAATGAACCTGTCATTTGGAACCTGAAGATACCAGAGGTGTTATCTCGCGTCTCAAAGTTCTATAGCATTGTTCAAAATTGGTTTAAAATAGTTTCACAATGACGTCATAACTTCTCCTGACGAGAAAATGGTTTAAAAACATGGATTGGATTGTATTTCGAAGAGGTTTAAACCAACTGTGTGTGACGTCCTGGGTTCATCGCGAAAAACAAACGTCATGCATGAAATGCCACTGAAAATCGACGGCCCTCCTGCTTGGAAACTTCGCTGAACAATTGTCAAGTCAAACCTTCGCCGTAGCACGTGAGGGACTTGATTCCTGGAAATCACTTTAAGAGCTCTATGCCCAGAGATATGGGCTTGTTGAAAATGGATCTCTTGAAAAAACGGCTCCTCGGAAAAAAACGGCTCCCCGGTAAAACCCTAAGTCATAGAGGCACCACCTGTCTTCTTGAATACTAAAACCACATGGACTTTCGCATTCTTCGTGCTGGCCTAGCATCTATCGGTGTGTGGTTGGAAAAAGCGTGGATTTTGTGCCCTTGCGCATCCTCTGATCGTTGAACAGAGACATCGGGAAGATATCTTGCAAATAGCACGTGAGGGACTTGATTCCTGGAAATCACTTCAATAGAGAGATGTGGGCTTGTTGAAAATGAATCCTTTGAGAAAACGGCTCCTCGGAAAAAACGGCTCCCCGGTAAAACCCTATGTAATAGAGGCATTTCATGAGCAACCATTACTTTTAAAAAAAGGACTTACCACGAGGGGGTTCAAAATTTTAACTCAAATGGAACAACAAGACTTCATTTCGTTGAAACAGTGCCTGATGGCCAATAAGGTATTTTTTTTTACAATCGAGGGAGGTGGTTGCCCCCTGGCCAGAGTCGACCTTTCAGGGCAACGTTAAAATTGAAAAGGGACGAAGAAACGCGGTATGGGAGACCAGGCAAAGATTCGGGCGAATGACGAATATTCGCCTATTCGTCAAATACACGTAACGTCTAGGACCGGCTTTAGAAAAAATTGCGAAAAATTGAATTTTTTTATTTTTGGATTTTTCTCAATTTTGACTTTAGAAATCGATAGAGCGGGTTTGAATTAGTCGGAAACAACTCTAACATCAGCTACATTGCGGGATTTCGATGAGGAAAAAAATCCAAAAGGAAATCTCATTTTTGGCTCTACAGATTTCTTGAGATCTTGACACGTTCATGATTAATTGCCCATATTTTCGATGACATTTGAGAAAATTGTATATAATTATATATCATTGAAAAGAGCATTAAATTCTCTATTGAGCTGTGTAAAATTGAGCTTTGTAGCTTGTAAAGTTTCCAAGATATTGAGCCTTAAAGTTAAAATTTGGTCGGAATTTTGGCCAAAGCTTCAAACTCAATTTTCTCAAAAACTATAAGCACTAGCGATTTCAATCAAATACCATTTTAAAGTCCTTATCAAGAGCTTTATTTACTAAAAAAATTGTCACAGTACCGCTTTTGGTTACCGAGATATTCAACTTTGAAGATTCGTGAATAAAAATCCAAAGGGGTAACCCTTAGGAAAAAGTGCGAAAAATTGAAAATTTTTGTTTTTGGATTTTTCTCAATTTTGATTTTAGAAATCGATAGAGCGAGTCCAAATTATTCAGAAACAACTCTAACATCAGCTACATTTTGGAATTTCGATGAGAAAAAAAATCCGAAAGGAAATCTCATTTTTGGCTCTGGAGATTTTTTGAGATCCTGACATGTTCATGATTAATTGGTCATATCTTGGGTGACATTTGAGAAAATTATATATAATTATATATCATTGGAAAGAGTATTAAATTCTCTATAAGCCAGTGCAAAATTGGTATCTGTACCTTGTAAAGTTTCCGAGATATTGAGCCTTAAATTTAAAATTTGGTCGCAATTTTGTCCAAAACTTCAAAATCAATTTTCTCAAAAACTATAAACACTAGCGATTTCAGTCAAATACCATTTTGAAGCCTTTATCAAGAGCTATATTTATCGAACAATTTGTCCCAGTACCGCTTTTGGTTACCGAGATATTCCAGTTTGAAGATTCATAAATCAAAATCCAAAGGGTACCCTTAGGAAAAGGTGTAAAAAATTGAAAATTTTTATTTTTGCATTTTTCTCAATTTTGACCTCAGAAATCGATAGAGCGAGTTCAAATTAGTCAGAAACAACTCTAACATCATTACCATTTTGGAATTTCAATGAGAAAAAAAAAAGTCCAAAAGGGAATCTCATTTTTTGAAATCATTACTTAATTGCCCATTATCTTCGATAACATTTGAGAAAATTGCATATAATTATATATCATTGGAAAGAGTATTAAATTCTCTATAAGCCTGTGCAAAATTGGTTGTAGAGTTTCCGAAATATTGAACTTCAAAGCAAAAACTATATATCATTAAGCCACTACTCAAACTCAAAAATCTACATGCTTAACACTAGAAAAAGCTCTAAAAAACAAAAAACCAAAACCCAATTTTTCTCTATCGGTATACAATGTACACACCTATTTCAATCTCGTCCATTATTGATGATAGAATGATGACGTTTATTTATTTATTTGATGACGATTACTCCTCCCTAATGAGCAAACAACAAATAAACATTTTTCACATTTTTGTTATTAGAATGATGAGAGAATTTATACTTAAAAAATCTAGTGGCACTAAATCTGGCTGACTAAGACAACTTTTGAAGTATAAATTCTCTTATGTAGAAATGTTTTGTTATCACATTGATTATATAGAAAAATTTCGAAAAAAAAAAAGCTCACCTTACGAAAACATAATTATTTTGTACAATAATAATAATATTATCCAATTTCGAGGTCACCTAGAAAGCTCGTTTTTCCTGCTGCTGCTGCTATACAACAACAATTATCAAATAATAATGAACCCAAAATCACCACAGTATAATGCACAATATAAAAATGTCCGCGCTTATAGCAGGAGTTTATTTTTAAACCGCCGCGATTCCGAGAATATCCTGCTACGAGCAAATTTTATTTTCGAACTGAGAATAATGCAGCAGGAGCCGAGTGTGTAGCGATACTGACTGACTGAATTGAATTTGTTCTTAAAAGTTTTGAATTTGATATAGCAGGAAAAACGGGAGGTGTAGATGGCGCTAGGGGTACATTTAGGCGCGAAATTGGTGATTTTATACATTCATCGTGTTGTTTTTCAGAGTTTCTGCACTTGTTAGGTAAATGGTTCCTGGTTAATTTAAGTTTTTTTTTTTTTGAATTGGTTCCTTTCTCTTAGAGTCTTTGGACTTTGGTTTTGAAGCTTCTTTCCTTTCTCGTATAGGTACTTTTCAATTTTGCTATTTGTAATATTCGAATAGGAACCCAATTCAAGAGCCAGGAATAAATTTAATATAATATAATATGTGTATATAATAATTATATACTTACTCAGATAATCATCCAATCGACATTTCTGCACCAACAATTCCAACAACAAATCTGCAGAAACCATAATAGATTTTCTGGGGGGCATCTTGCCCCATTGCCCATTAACCAGCATCTAAGGGCAACTAACAAAATAATAATCTAAAGATTGAATTTGATGAGCTGATGATGGGGATCCCTCGCATAGGGATCCCCAGAGCGGGGATCCCGTTTTGGGGAAAAACGTCGGTCACCGGAACTTGATCTTTGTATGGTTGATTTTGTAAATACGAAACCGCAAAGTAGTGAACTGGTTTTTGCATTGTTTTATAATGATTCGGATTATTGTAATTTGATTTTAAATACAATGTTTTACTTATTTGAATTTTCGTTGAGACATTTTTTGAAATCTTGAGCAAACTGTCTATATTTTTTGAGATCCTGACACGCTTATGATTAATTACTTATATCTTGGATGACATTTGAGTACATTGTATATAATTATATATCATTGGAAAGAGCATTAAATTCTCTATTGAGCCGTGCAAAATTGAGCTTTGTAGCTTGTAAAGTTTCCAAGATATTCAGCTCAAAAGTTGAAACTTAGTCGATATTTTGTCCAAAACTTTAAACCTGATTTTCTCAAAAACCGTAAATGCTAGCGATTTCAACTTTATACCATTCGAAACCCCTTATCAAGAGCTACAAATCCTGAAAATTTTGTCCCAGTACCGCTTTTGGTTACCGAGATATCGAAGTTTGAAGATTTGCAAATAAAAATCCAAAGGGGTTACCCCTAGGAAAAAGTGCGAAAAATTGAAAATTTTTATTTTTGGATTTTTCTCAATTTTGACCTCTGGAATCGATAGAGCGGATCCAAATTAGTCAAAAACAACTCTCAGATTAGCTGCATTTGAAAATTTCGATGAGAAAAAAAAATTCAAAAGGAAATTTAATTTTTGGGTCTGGAGATTTTTTGAGATCCTGACATGCTCATGTCTTTGATGTCATTCGAGAAAATTGTATATCATTGAAAAGAGCATTAAATTCTCTATTGAGCCGTGCAAAATTGAGCTTTGTAGCTGGTAAAGTTTCCAAGATATTCAGCTCAAAAGTTGAAACTTAGTCGATATTTTGTCCAAAACTTTAAACCTGAATTTCTCAAAAACCGTAAATGCTAGCGATTTCAACTTTATACCATTCAAAAGCCCTTATCAAGAGCTACAAATACTGAAAATTTTGTCCCAGTACCGCTTTTGGTTACCGAAATATTCAGGTTTGAAAATTTCCAAATAAAAATCCAAAGGGAAAAGAAAAAAGTGCGAAAAATTGAAAATTTTTATTTTTGGATTTTTTGCAATTTTGACTCTAGAAATCGATAGAGCGGGTCCAAATTAGTCAAAAACAACTCTTAGACCAGTTACATTTGGAAATTTCAATGAGAAAAAAAAATCCAAAAGGAAATCCTATTTTTGGTTCAGGAGATTTTTTGACACGCTCATGAAAAATTACCTATTTTTTTGATGATATCTGAGAAAATTATATACAATTATATATCATTGGAAAGAGCATTAAATTCTCTATTAAGCCGTGCAAAATTGGTTTACGTAGCTCATGAAATGTCTGAGATATTGACCCTCAAAGTTGAAATTTGTTAAATGAGGTATGGATAGATTGAACAAGTACTGCTTACGAGAATTTCTGCGTTAACGTAAACGTAGATTTATGCACGTAAATTACCACAGTTCAAACACGAAAATATGTGAGAGTAAATGTATCACTGCGGCTGCGCAGAGTGTTTATTTTGAATTTTGTCTGTGGAGTTATGTTATGATTATCATTATCCTGATTTTTTTACACAGGCAACATAACGTATAGAAATTCAAAGAAATATGGAAGAGAAAGTGTTTGTCTTTATTTATTTATTTTCCCGTTTCACGTACAAACTAGCTCCCGATTGTCGTGTTCGGCCAAATTCGGCCCGAGTAAATCGTACCGTTCTCGACCTGGAATTCTCGAGGGAGGGAAACCCTCGATCAGTCAATGAAAATTTAAATTAGGTAACGTCCTTTTGTTCTTGTGCTAAAATTTTAGTTTCACACGTCACATTCAATCAACAATACTAAAGAGATTTTGGTTATAGTTAGTCAGTCTGCCAGCAGGTACTGAGGTCCCATACGGGATGCTACTCAGCTATAGTTGTTATTTTGAGCCAATATCTCTTTGCTTTGTTTGCTAGGATATTCGCTCGTCAGGGTAAGAAAGTGTTAGTAGATTCAAGAAGGCCATAAGGCACGCTTTGAATACCCAAAATCAAAATGAGCAATATATTTTCATTCTGTTGGTAGAATCTCTATATATACATTACAATATGTTTCAGTTGCCTCAAAATTAGGGTAACTGGAACAAATGACCAAAAAAAATTGAAATACTCAACCAGAATAGAGTGGAACATTGAACGAGAACAAACCAGAACGAATATGCACGGAATTCTTAAGATTTTAACCCAAAAATACGTTAAAAGGAAACAGAAACAACTCTAACATCGGTTGTATTTGGAAATTCCAATGAAAAAAGGAAATCCTATTTTTGGCTCAGGAGATTTTTTGACACGCTCATGAATAATTGCTCATTTCTTTGATGATATTTGAGAAAATTGTATAAAATTATATATCATTAGAAAGAGCATTAAATTCTCTATCATGCCGTGCAAAATTGGTTGGTGTAGCTCATAAAGCCTCCGAGATATTGAGCCTCAAAGTTAAATGAGGTACACACTGGTATACAAGTACCAGTCCATTTATATTTTGACAATCGACAAGTTGTCAAACGATCAAACAACCATCATTCAATATTGAATTCCTCTCCCCTGAAATGCACCCTTACAAATCATCCGCTTCAACCACGAACCTCAACAAGGGAAAAATCATCTCTAAACCTACGGTACGAGGCCTGCATGGAGAAGGCGACGGCGCAAGGCCCAAAAAACCCGAGACGCCTTCAAGAAAAATCAAAATCGAAAAAAATACACCTCAACCAAGCTTAAAAAGTGCTTCTGTTGCCGAGATTACGCCTACGAAAACCCCTATTAAAAGGTATAATGTTTGTATATAATATAACCAGTTTTGTCATTTATTGGGTACGAAAAATCTGCAAGTAAATCCCCTTGTGACGTACATACCTACGATCGGTGAACTCACTCAGACCTGATAATGTTGAAATCGCAATGTGATTGCTGCAGGAACAAGGCGAGGCAAATTAGTCCACCAATGACGTCAATCAAAATGTTTTTCTTCTGAAGATTTTATGTAATTGGGTTTATGAAGATATTTTGTAGCTCGGTATATGTATAAAGATATCAATATGTTGGATTTGTTTTAGAATATCGACAATTTCGACAAACTCAAGCGAAAAATACGGCACCCCTAGACCATTTAACGAAACGCCGAAAAAGCAACTGTGTGACCAAGACTTTACCGATTGCAAAAATTCCCGATTTTTCTTGAGGTGCGCCTTGAAAATGTCTCGTGTTGATACCAAAACCCAACGGGAATTGATCAAAAAGCAGAAAAATCAAGTAAGAATTGTTATGTTTTGAGAGGGGTTTTCATAGTGTAATTAGGGCTTTAGTAGTTGATACGGCCCTTGAAACGACCCCCCATTTTTTGATAATAATATGGAAATATCCAGAATATGTTGGTCTTTTTAAAGCTCCGTTTATAACTACTGACGCCATGTCATGATTTTGGATGTTTTTTTTCTGAAACGTCGCGACGTTAGTGGCGCCTCATGATGAGCGTCTTCTTGTGTATCATGCGTGTCGTCTATTATAAAATTGATGACTTGGCCGGTCTATTTTTAGGATTTGGGTCCGTTTGATTTTTCACTTATTAGCGGTTTTATGCGGAACAAACAGCAACTTTTTGTAGTTTCAGACATCTCAGCAACTTGAAACTTCTAGGATTTGTTGAATGAAGTTCCTTCATGATACAAAACAAGTTGGAAGTTGATATGAAATTTACAACTGAAGTTACGAGAAAATCATAAAATTCCTGTAAAATCATCTTTAAAGGTTTCTGAAAAATACTTCCAGTTATTCCAGCAGCTTGAAACTTTCAGAATTTGTTAAATGAAGTTTCTTCATGATACAAAACAAGTTGGAAGTTGATATGAAACTCACAACTGAAATTACGAGTTTTTTTTACTCCTTGATACCTGAAAAAATCATAAAATTCCTGTAAAATAACCTTTTAAAATTTTTGAAAAATACTTCCAGTCATCCCAGTAACTTGAAACTTTCAGGATTCAATAAATGAAGTTTCTTCATGATACAAAACAAGTTGGAAGTTGATATGAAACTCACAACTAAAGTTACGAATTTTTTTACGAGAAAATCATGAAATTCCTGAAAAATAATTTCAGTTATCCCAGCAACTTGAAACTATCAGAATTTGTTAAATGAAGTTTCTTCATGAGGCAAAACAAGATGGAAGTTGATATGAAACTGACAACTAAAGTCACGAATTTTTTTACGAGAAAATCATGAAATTCCTGAAAAATAATTTCAGTAATCCCAGCAACTTGAAACTATCAGAATTTGTTAAATGAAGTTTCTTCATGATGCAAAACAAGTTGGAAGTTGATATGAAACTCACAACTAAAGTTACGAATTTTTTTACGAGAAAATCATGAAATTCCTGTAAAATCATCTTTAAAGGTTTCTGAAAAAATACATTCAGTTACCCCAGCAACTTGAAACTTTCAGAATTTGTTAAATGAAGTTTCTTCATGATGCAAAACAAGATGGAAGTTGATATGAAACTGACAACTAAAGTTACGAATTTTTTTACGAGAAAATCATGAAATTCCTGTAAAATATTCTTTAAAGATTCCTGAAAAATACTTTCAGTTATCCCAGCAACTTGAAACTTTCAGAATTTATTAAATGAAGTTTCTTCATGATGCAAAACAAGTTGGAAGTTGATATGAAACTCACAACTAAAGTTACGAATTTTTTTACGAGAAAATCATGAAATTCCTGTAAAATATTCTTTAAAGATTCCTGAAAAATACTTTCAGTTATCCCAGCAACTTGAAACTTTCAGAATTTGTTAAATGAAGTTTCTTCATGGTGCGAAACAAGTTGGAAGTTGATATGAAACTCACAACTAAAGTTACGAATTTTTTTTACTCCTTGATACCTGAGAAAATCATAAAATTCCTGTAAAACCACCTCTTAAAATTTTTGAAAAATACTTCCAGTCATCCCAGTAACTTGAAACTTTCAGAATTTATTGAATGAAGTTTATTCATGATACAAAACAAGTTGGAAGTTGATATGAAACTCACAACTAAAGTTACGAATTTTTTTACGAGAAAATCATGAAATTCCTGTAAAATCATCTTTAAAGGTTCCTGAAAAATACTTTCAGTTATCCCAGCAACATGAAACTTTCAGAATTTGTTGAATGAAGTTTCTTCATGATGCAAAACAAGTTGGAAGTTGATATGAAATTCACAACTGAAATTACGAGTTTTTTTTACTCCTTGATACCTGATAAAATCATAAAATTCCTGTGAAATAACCTCTTAAAATTTTTTGAAAAATACTTCCATTCAACCCAGTATTTTGAAACTTTCAGGATTCATTAAATGAAGTTTCTTCATGATGCAAAACAAGTTGGAAGTTGATATGAAACTCACAACTAAAGTCATGAATTTTTTCACTCATTGATACCTGAAAGAATCATCAAATTCCTGTAAAATAACCTCTAAAAATTTTTGAAAAATACTTCCACTCATTCCAGTAACTTGAAACTTTCAGGATTCATTAAATGAAGTTTCTTCATGATACAAAACAAGTTGGAAGTTGATATGAAACTCACAATTAAAGTTACGAATTTTTTTACGAGAAAATCATGAAATTCCTGTAAAATATTCTTTAAGGATTCCTGAAAAATACTTTCAGTTATCCCAGCAAGTTGAAACTTTCAGAATTTGTTAAATGAAGTTTCTGCATGATGCAAAACAAGTTGGAAGTTGATATGAAACTCACAACTGAAGTTACGAATTTTTTTCTCCTTAATACCTGAGAAAATCATAAAATTCCTATAAAATAACCCCTTAAAATTTTTGAAAAATACTTCCAGTCATCCCAGTAACTTGAAACTTTCAGAATTTGTTAAATGAAGTTTATTCATGATACAAAACAAGTTGGAAGTTGATATGAAACTCACAACTAAAGTTACGAATTTTTTTACGAGAAAATCATGAAATTTCTGTAAAATCATCTTTAAAGGTTTCTGAAAAATACTTTCAGTTATCCCAGCAACTTGAAACTTTCAGAATTTGTTAAATGAAGTTTCTTCATGATATAAAACAAGTTGGAAGTTGATATGAAAGTCACAACTAAAGTTACGAATTTTTTTACGAGAGAGAAAAGCATCAAATTCCTGTAAAATCACCTTTGAAGGTTCCTGAAAAATACCTTCAGTCATCTCAGCAACTTGAAAATTTCAGGATTTGTTCAATGAAGTTTCTCCATGATACAATAGTACATTAAAATACAAGATTCATAAGACGTCATTTTATCGCACGAGCCCTATATTAGAAAACGAGCCGGAGGCGAGTTTTCTAAAGGGCGAGTGCGATAAAATGTCTTATGAAACGAATATTTTATACTATTTTTTCTATTTTGGGATTGTTTAATTAAAAAAAACAAATTTTTCTTGGAAATTTTATTCTCATATTTCGATTTCATATATTTAGGTTGGTAACACTACATGCCAAATATAGAAATCTTCTATTATAAAATCGCGAATGACAGTTCGATGGCCATCAGTCAGCCAGTGTTACCAACCTCCGATAAGTAAAAAAGGAGTGTCACAAAGAGCTTCTTTTCGAAACTACTTTTAGTGTCGAAAAGACTTCGATAAGACACCAAAATAGAAAAAACAAGTTACGAATTTTCTTAAACATCGAAAACCTTTGTAGATAACTCAAATGGAAATGGAAAAAGACGTTTTAACTAAACTGATGAAGTCCGAAAGTCTGAAACGCGAAGAAACGCAACAGGAATGCCAACTCCTAAAAAGAAACGTTGACTTGTTGGAACTAGAAAACGGTCAACTCAATGAGGTATAGTATTTCCAAATTCAATTGGAACAAGGTAACAACTGGCGTCTGACTGACTAACATCAGTTATAATTTATGTTCACCTTATTCCAATTGACTTTGGAAAAACTATACTAAATTGACTCCTCTTTTACCAGGAAATCCAAGACCTTTCAAAAACTGTAGATCGGTACAGGAGTCAACTGAAAACCGTTGAAACCGAGAAAATTATTTTGACTGAACAGTCGCAAAGAATGCAGGAGACTATCGAGAAAAATAAGTCTGAAAAAATTGCTTTGACTGAAAAGGTAAGCGCATTTGAATTATGGGAAAAACCCACATAAAATTTCCGGTTTCCCTAAAGCGGTTTATCAGTCAAGAGTCAAGTTTACTAGTCATTATAGTAGGTATCACTTGGCTATGGGTTAATTGGGTTTTAATTATAGTCTTATTTTTTTTAATAAACAACTATTTTTAGTTGCTGGTTCGTGACTATGCTAATTTTAATATTATATAAATATTATTTATATAAAAATCATTCAAGCAAAATTTACTATGTGTATTAATCATCATTGCTCCGGGACTCAGGATTAAAACGTCGGGATTCCGGGGAAAACGAAAATAATCCGGGAGGGTGCGGTGACTCACCGACCCACTAAGGGTGGGAGTTTGTCATTCCTCAATAATTATCTTGTTGACTCAACAAGCAAGACAGTTTATTTTTGAATAATTTCACCCTGTATATAGATTAATCAATAATGTACCAAATTAATTAATGCATCAAATATTGGAAAAACCCCATCAATTTTATCATAATATATAGCGAATTATTACAAGTTCAACTTTCTATTGAACTGGTGACGTCACGTCGCCCATACATGGTCCATATAATGACGTCGAAAAACAATAATAATGAATCGCCTATTTGAAGTATTTATTTATTTATTATGCAAAGGCAACGTTGGGTTTTTCCCTACTACTCGGAACGATAATCTAAATATAGTTAACAACAGGTGTAACATTTTTTATGATAATATATTATGTATCTTAATTATATTATATAAATACCTATTATATACAAAGGTCAATTGTTGAAGGGTGGAAGGCCGTTTTGTCATATAAGGCGCCACACGAATATGCCTCTAGGCGCCTCAATGTCCTCTATTAATTATGCATTTAGAGGCGTCCAGACGTCTGCAGTTGCATTAAAGGACAATTAGTGGCTCCGCACGCTACTAGGGTATGGAGTCTTTGGGTCTACACCTTGTCATGTTGGATTTTTTTTTGTCTTATAGATTATGCATCATTGAATTCTCTATAAGCCTGTGCGAAATTGATATATGAAATGAAATATTTCGCAAGCCAATTTTGTAGTTCTTTTTAGGAATATTTTTCTCTTTTAATTGCAGATTAGTCTTCGCGATGACGACATTAACATACAAAAGCTCCTCATCACCAAGCTAAAAGCTATTAATGAAGAAATTGAGCGTAACCTCTGTCAAGCCAGAGCCAATTACGCTATCAGAGAGAAGAAATATGTCCACTTGAAAGGGTAAGTCAACTAGTGATTGTGGTGGCGGGTTCAGCATTTTGATTGAAAAGTGCCTCCAATTAGAGTTTTACTTTTGTCTGATAAATATCGCAAATTGGAGTTGTATATGAAACTTTTGACAAAGGTAGAACCGAGGAAATCATTCCTCTATTGCCAATTCTTCCCAATACTCCCATTTTTCGCTCAAACACTCATGGAACACGAGCTGGAAAATCAAGATTTGAGGTTAATAGCACATCTTATGGCCGTTTGCACCGACCATTCTAAGGAAGCCTTAGCGTTAAGTATTCCTTGAAGTGATAAAATGTCATTTTAAGGAATGCTTATCGCTAAGGCTTCCTTAAAATGGTCGGTGCAAACGGCAATTAGTCTTTGATTTGTGACATTTGACCTTGGATATCTTGAAACGCAAACAAGATATCGGAGGGGACTTTTAATACATTATTAGTTTAATAAAAGTGGAGGCCTATGCAGAGTTACAGCTCACTTTGATTTTTTCAGTAGATGAATCCTTATATGACTGTACTATATGTTCGAAATACGGAATATCACTTGAATGTTGTCAATGCCTGTGTATTCGGAATACGATAACGCAAGATTTGGCGCAATCGCGAATGAAACAAGACACGGAGGATTCAGATAAGAAGCTTGAGGTACGAAGATCGATTTCACCTCATTCAAACGACCCAAGTGAATTTTGATACATTTAAAACCATTGGTATGAACATTGTGGAAAAGATGAAGGGCCAAGAGGTGTTTTCGTACATAATGAAACGAAATGACAAGGCAGAAACAATTTCTTCTGTATCATTCATTGAGTTCAAGAACAAGCAGGCCACTATTGACCCAGCTCTGTTATTTCAGCGATTGATTATGTTATCTTCTTCTAGTGAAACTAGATCTTGCGGAAGTAATGAAATATGAACTGTGTTTCTTTCCACCTGCGTTATTTGAAAGTCCAACAGTATTGTTGAGAGCAGACAAGCCAAAGCTATCAAGAGCATTGATTGCGCATGTTACTTCAAATAATTCTCAGTCAGTACCTTCTCTAATCGCAGAAGAAATACGACAACATGGATGTTCAGTATAATTCATGCAGTTGACGATGCTGATGTTGACATTGTTAAAACTGCTGTGGAATCTTCAAAAATTAAACATACAACAGTGATAGGAGAAGACACTGACCTAATATTGGTATTGCTGATGTATTGGTGTAATCAAACATACCACAAGCTGTTTTCCAGAAGTGATAAAAACAGAATAACATATATGACATCAATTCCATTAGATATTCGTTCAGAAATGACTTGGCAAACAGTCTATTTTTTATGCATTCATATACAGGATGTTACAGCACCTCCAAAATATTCCATTTTGGAAAGCAATCAATTTTCAAACGTGTTGTTGAAGAAGATCAACAATTTCATGAACTTGCACTATCGTTTAGCTCAACAAACCTTAATCCCAGTCAGGTTGAAGAATTTGGAAAAAGGATAATGGTATGTATTTTTAGTGGAAATCCAGATGATAAGCTAAATACAGATATAGAACTATTATTGATAAAGTATCGAAGGCAAAATGTTTCGTTCAACCACAGAACCTTCTTCCAACGGAATTAGCTGTCAAGTACCATAGCCCCAATTTATGTAAAAAAAAATAATAGGTTTATTTTTTGAGTGACAGCGTGACAGTGAGAATTCAAAATTGTAGGTTGAAGTTTAAATTAATAGGTTTGTTCAGTAATATTAATATTTTTTGCAGATTTTTACATTTATTGGGGCTGACTGACCAGCACGGTCCCGCTATTCAACTGACTGACTAACACTACTGTTATTTATATGTTATAATATGTATAACGATTTTCAGCTTTAGTAAATTCGTTGCAATACCCAAGTTATCTCGACACCTTTAACAAGACACCCTGGGTCCTTGTCCCAAGTTTCGCTTGACTGACCGCGGTATGTTTATGTACGTAAATACTGTAATCAACTGTCCAAAAACTAGCTTTAGTAAATTCAGAGAATTTTTTCGGCGCTGGCTCTTAGACTACAAGGGCAGTAGGTACGAGCTCATTTGTTCACCCACAGAAAAATAATTTTTCAATCAGCTACAATGGTCGATTAATTGGAGGAAATCTTGTTTAACATGAACAGAACAGTGATTTTTCCTAATGATGCGAAAGAGATTGCGAAAGATCTGCAGGATGAAATTAAAAGTGAGCTTCAATTTTTGGTAGAACATGTCCCAACTGCCAAGCTCTGGGTTGTATATTCCGAAATGGTGACTTTGATGAAGCACTTTATTGAAGAAGTGACTGGGAACTGCAGCTTCAAACTATATATGGAATTATTCCTTTTTTTCACGCCAGTGGCCATAATCTGTATGCTAAATGCAATAATCTATAACTCCAGGATATCTATGCTCGCCTTGAAAACTACAATGCCACCTGCTGAATACGAGCGTTTCACTACAAAAATGTTCCATCATTCGGAGGACCGATAAACTTTGGTGCGGCACCTGGACTGATATGACGATGGAGCAAACTCTAATCAAGACAATGAGAACAAGTGGTGGTCTCATGGCCATGGAGTAACTCCAAGTGTTGTAGCAAAATGGACACAAGGGATGACATCATTACATAATGTGTGCCAAGAAATTGAGCACTTCACAAAAAAAATTCATAATCAAGAAAGATGGGGAGGCTAAGTTTTTTCCGGTACATCGGAGAGAACTGAAACTCGGAATATCGACTAGAAGTCACATTTTGAATATTCCCGATTTTTGATTGGCTCCAAATTATTCGCTGACCAATAGAATTATAGAATGGGTCTCGTGATTAAAATAACTCTAGCCCTTCGGGCTCGCGTATAACTCCGGCCCTTCGGGCTCATATTACGGAGTATCCCAGATTTACAGATTTTTGTCGTGGAGGCGCAGGATTGATTGAAATAATGTTGTCAGATTTTTCCAAATTACATTGAAATATCGAAATTTGGAAAGTGTTATTATTTTATTTAGGAATCAGGAATAAAAAACTGAGATTGAATTTTCAATTTTTTGGGGAAGGCTTAGCCTCCTCTGACGAGCCGCCACTGGATCCAAATGTGAAACATTAGAGGGTGGCATTCATCAGTTTTTGAAAAGTAGCTGGGGCATTTTTTGAACCAAATGGCATACGAACTGGTTATTGTATCCCGGGTATATAGGCATTGACAACATCCAAGTAATATTTCGTATTTCGGACAAACCACTACCTCTGGTGAGATCTCCACTTGTCTTGAGTGTCCACAAGACTAGGTGAAACTGGTATAACAGTCAGCTGGGAAAAATGTCAGTTCTGCCGGCCGGAGATGAAATATTTGGGATATGTGGTCGACAGATGTGAATTAAGAGTAGACCCTGATAAGATAAGAGCTATGCTGGAGTTACCCAGACCAAAGTTCGTAAAATTGTCGGAAGCTTCTCGTGGTATCGACGATTTGTTCAGGGTCCCATAAGCTTTTCAACGTTTTTTTTTTGCTCCTCTATCCGATGGTAGTTTTTTTTTTTTGGAAATTCGGAAAAAAAATATTCAAAATCAAGAAAAATGGGGAGGCTAACTTTTTTCCGGTACATCGGAGAGAACTGAAACTCGGAATATCGACTAAAAATCACATTTTGAATATTCTCGATTTTTGATTGGCTCCAAATTATTCGCTGACCAATAGAATTATAGACTGGGTTTCGTGATTGAATAACTTTAGCCCTTCGGGCTCGCGTATAACTCCGGCCCTTCGGGCTCGCGTATAAATCCGGCGCTTCGGGCTCGCGTATAACTCCGGCCCTTCGGGCCGTACTTTGGCCCTTTAAGCTCGCGTATAACTCTGGCCCTTCGGGCTCATATTACTGAGTATCCCAGATTCACAGATTTTTGTCGTGGAGGTGCAGGATTGATTGAAATAATGTTGTCAGATTTTCCCAAATTACATTGAAATATCGAAATTTGGAAAGTGTAATTTGTGAATTATTATTTTAATTAGGAATCGGGTATAAAAAACTGAGATTGAATTTTCAATTTTTTGGGGAAGCCTTAGCCTCCCCTGCCTCCTCTGACGAGCCGCCACTGGATCCAAATGTGAAACATTAGAGGGTGGCATTCATCAGTTTTTGAAAAGTAGCTGGGGCATTCTTTGAACCAAATGGCATACGAACTGGTTATTGTATCCCGGATACGCAGGCATTGAAAACATCCAAGTGATATTTCGTATTCCGGACATAACACTATCTCTGGTGAGACCTTCACTTGTCTTGAGTGACCTCAATTTCTAAATCTGCTGTCAATCCCGCCCATATTTTATCAGTACGTCGTATCACATGACCACCTTTATTGAAAACTGCATAGATTTCAAGTCTAGTCATGTTCTGTAAGTGAAGGTAAACTGATTTTGTATAATTAGTATGCCCAGCTACTGCAAAAATGGGCAGGGCTACTGTAGAACCTTCAAGTAATATTGGAAATGATCCTGCAGTTATGAGTTTACGAATGGTAGCTACTGCAAATTGATATTCAAGCCAAAGAAGACTACTTCTTGAGCTTCCTCAGTGTGGTGGTGGATGTGACTAAGACTCTCAAGAACCTTCAAGAATCCTTCAAATTGACATAAATCACATCAAACATTCCTCTCTTTTAGTTACATCCACCACTGCTAATAGAGGCATCTTCTTCTCTCTGAGCCACACCCATAAGACTGTCTCACTTTGATATTCAACCTCAGATCTTCAAAACATATTTCTCCTAGTCACACCCAATACATTCTCTCTTTCCTACCAACCCAGCGAAAATTAAAAGTAGGAGAACAATGGGGAAGAAAAGATTCATAGATTATCATACAGACAACCCCTGTTGAGCTGTAGAGGCCACAAAATGAACAAACATCTAATAACCCCAAATATCTTTCTCTCTCCCTCTAGCCAATTCAAAAAACAACTGGAAGCGAACAATTATCTGTCACTACAGTTGATTTCCGTGCAACAAGAAAACCAAAACGCCTCAATCAGATCCGAAAAGCTGGAAACCCAACTGAACGACTACATTGAAAGCTGCGCCACCCTCAAAGAAGTTCAGGAATCCTTAAAGAGGGAAGTTCTGGACGTTTCCCAACAGTTGGAGGTGGAAATAAAACGTCAGTGGCTCCAAAAAGCTAAACGGATCGCTTTATTGTCTTTTGGGGCTTTGGGAAAACTTATGCTCGTCATTTTGCCTGCTTACATGGAGAGACCCGTAAAGTTTTATTTTTTTTATTAAGTTATTGTTAAATAAAGTTTGATTGAAATATGCTACTCGAACAGTGCAAAAAACAGCTGTTTCAATTAAAGCTAGAAATAAGTTATCACAACTAGGCCTGGTATATTCATTTTCAGATAAACTAGTTTATCGGAAGGAGAATAAACCAGCCCTCAATACAAAATAATCATTATTGCTATAGGTTTATATAAAATTTCTGCCAAAAAGAATCGAAGCAAAATCTATTTTTGGTAAAGATCAATATGGAAAATTAATTCTAAAGTCAGTCTACACCATTCCAAAGCCTTCAGTGCCTTCGCTTATTGCCAACAGTAAAGCTTTTTCGAATTGTTCGTAGGAGTCGTAGTCTGGTAAACAGAGCTGGTTGAAACTGAAACATTAGGTACATTAAACAAAAGTCTTAAAGGGAGTGTGCGCCAAAAATTCTAGAAAAATCTAAGAATAACTGTTCAAACCTCGTTATTCTACGATAAACCATCGCTGAGATATACCAATTCAATGAACCTCACTATCTCCTGCAACTCTTGACGTCATAGGGTGAGACGCAGTATCTTCATGAGGCCGTATCTTCGGTATTATTTGTCTTAGAGGAGTGCGGTTTTCACTGTTATTCTTAGATGTTTTTTTCTTTTTTCTTATAAATATCTTATCATTTACTTACCAAGTGTGCGCAGTAGGTAAATTCCCAAAAGTGGGCGCAGCAGTGATTTGAAATCTGGGCGTAAGCTCGGAAAATCCGCCTGCGGGTAATTGCGAACATCCGGTAGCGAATTGCAACAGCCTGGCCATTTCCTCTTGGGTGAAGTTGCCGATCGCCGCCCAAAACCAGCCGACGACCCGGCGGAATTCCGCCGAGTCACCGTTAAGTACGTGGTTACTGCGCAAATCCGCTGCGCTGTACTGTCCGGTGCCGCACAACAGGAGCTGAAAGGCCCGTTTAATGATTGTTGTTAGTTTAAGATTTGGTTTTTGGAATTATAATCCGTTCACAATCCGATGTCCACAGGTACAGGTAAAATTTATCACCTTTTAATGCTATTTGATAGAGTAAGGTGATAAATTTACCTGCACCTGAGGACATCGGATTGTGAACAGGATATAGTAGACTCACTTCTAATTCGTTTTCGTCAAAGATGCTTAGCAAATTGTCGGGGATTAGTTCGTTGAGGCCTTTGAGGAAAGCTTCTAGTTCTTCTTTGACGCGGGTTGCTAAGCGGTACTGAGCTAGTGCGTCAAGGTACTGATGTTTTGCGCAGTCTTTTACTCGGATATTGTCACCGTTTGGTAACAACTCGACCTGAGAAATTAGATAGAAAAGGAAAACTTTGAAAGGTTCCAATTATAGATAAAAAGCTGAAATTTTCAGCGATTCTTTTTCCAGTAGAAGACTACAATCCCTTAAAGTTTCAGCTCATTTGGACTGGAAGAGCTTCACTTACCGCCCTAACCAATTGTCCAGTATCGTCATACTCCTCTTCAACAAAATGTACTTCAGTCTCGATTTCGTCGATGTTATTTTCCAATAAGTATTTGATTTTCGTTAGGTAGAGATCAGGATCGTCTTGCTCGAAATACTATTAATAATCAACTCTAAATAGAATGGAAATTACTCCAAGCACAAAAACAACTCACTTTATAATGAACTCTCAGGCCAATCACTTGTGCCAGAAACGACCTGGTGAATCTGGCACGTACCAGTTGCCTGTAAGAACCACCCAAGGCACTTTCGTACAGGCATTTGCCCACAACTCTTCCAGCAAATTCGTAATGTTTCAGCTTCAAATTCTGAGGCCTGTTCGGATTAGGGTGCACCAATGACTGCTGACCTTCGTGGAAACTTGCAAAGAGGCCGTACTTGGGGTCAAAGAGCTGAGAGCAGATCAGTTCGAACCATTCTCGGCGTAGACCACCCCAATCAATACCTGAAGTTGATGTTTTTCCATTTAAAAATTCAATTAGATTGAAGTATGAACTCTTACCTTGTTCCCCTGTAAAAGTAATTTCGAAATTCTTGCACCAATCAGTCACCGAGAAATTCTTGGTTGCCTTCATGCTACTTTCTAGAAGTTTATCACGTCTAACTTCCATTGCTAGTTTTTCGTGGTAGTGTTTCTGGTGAAATTTCCTCACTTCATGGTAGAAGAAATCCTGTTTGTCCTGCATTGTTGGGAAATCTATGTTTCAATAGTCAATTACTTGTTGGTTTTTACCTTAAAAGTTTCTGATCCGCCCATGTTTTTCAATAGAAATTGGGCAAAAGTAGCTGCAATGACGTTACGCTCCTTTGAATAAAGTTCGATTTTGGGCTGGCAACCATCATCAATAAGAAAGGAGTCTCCGATGTCGCTTAGTTTGAGGTTTTCAGATTGGAATATGAACTAAAGATAACAATATTGTTAACAATTTTGTATATAAAACATTGAGCAGCCTTACTTTGGTAGAAGGGCACAGCCTAAAAGTATACAACCTCTTTGGTATAAACTTCAAAATCAGCTCCTTGATGATGAGTTGTTTGGGCGAAACGTAGCAAAGCACCTTTTTGGGTTTTGTTAGTCTGTCACCCTTAACGCCAAGCAGCTTGGCGTCATAGCAAATATTGTGATTTTTCGTTGCAACGTTTTTTTGTACTAATGTGGAATCAATACCTGAATAAGACGAATTGTTATGAATCTGGTATCAGTAAAGGTGCAACACCGGTTCGAGCGCAAAATGACTGGGAAGTTGAAATTTTGAGGACTTTTTCCTAAAGGTTCAATGTGAAAAATACTAAAAACTCAAAGCTAGAATGGATTTTCTTATGGAAATTTACATGACCAATTTTGTGCTAGAACCGTTGCTGCATATTTACTAACATCTACTCACTATTCAATACAATAATGTCGAAATCTCCATTGTGCAACTCGGTGCCTTTGTATTTTATTGTAGCCCGATAACAGCCTTCTTTGACAAACTTCAATTGGACACTGACTCGATGGGTAATCCAATCATAATCCAAGGAAATTGAGTATTTTTCCTCAGCTAATTCTAGAATATTCTCACGAGAAGCGAAGCCAAGGGCAGCTATTTGAACCGTGTAACCCTATAGAAACACACAGTTTGAATTATTTGACACACAACCAAAGATTTCTCTTACTTCAGTTGGTAAAATTTCGGGTGAATCATATTTACAAATGTTACCGTACTCGTCCCGCGGTTCAATGTACAAAAGGTGGGCAACATTTGCGGTACAAACGACGGTACTACAGTGACGTACGACGACGGTACGTTGTGCGTACGCCGGTCCGGCAACGAAAACCGTTGAGAACGGGCTACCGGCGACGTGCTGATTGTTGACCATGACTGAAACTCTAGGAAAAATTCATTATATTTTACCAATTTGACAGGTGTCAATTTTTTACGAGTTCATTAGACATCCTTCTATCAAATTCAAGTTTGACATCTGTCAAAAATTGCCTAATTCAAGAGTTACGATTTTTATTCCATGGAAAAGACACAATTTTGAATCTCAATGGAGCTCACTGTCAAAATAATCACATTTGACTGGTGTCAATTTTTTAATGAGTTCATTAGACATCCTTCTATCAAATTCAAGTTTGACATCTGTCAAAAATTGCCTAATTCAAGAGTTACGATTTTTATTCCATGGAAAAGACACAATTTTGAATCTCAATGGAGCTCACTGTAAAAATAATCACATTTGACTGGTGTCAATTTTTTAATGGGCTCATTAGATATCCTTCTATCAAATTCAAGTTTGACATCTGTCAAAAATTGCCTAATTCAAGAGTTACGATTTTTATTCCATGGAAAAGACACAATTTTGAATCTCAATGGAGCTCACTGTCAAAATAATCACATTTGACTGGTGTCAATTTTTTAATGAGTTCATTAGACATCCTTCTATCAAATTCAAATTTGACATCTGTCAAAAATTGCCTAATTCAAGAGTTACGATTTTTATTCCATGAAAAAGACACAATTTTTAATCTCAATGAAGCTCACTGTCAAAATAATCACATTTGACTGGTGTCAATTTTTTAATAAGTTCATTAAACATCCTTCTATCAAATTCAAGTTTGACATCTGTCAAAAATTGCCTAATTCAAGAGTTACGATTTTTATTCCATGGAAAAGACACAATTTTGAATCTCAATGGAGCTCACTGTCAAAATAATCACATTTGACTGGTGTCAATTTTTTAATGGGCTCATTAGATATCCTTCTATCAAATTCAAGTTTGACATCTGTCAAAAATTGCCTAATTCAAGAGTTACGATTTTTATTCCATGAAAAAGACACAATTTTTAATCTCAATGAAGCTCACTGTCAAAATAATCACATTTGACTGGTGTCAATTTTTTAATGAGTTCATTAGACATCCTTCTATCAAATTCAAATTTGACATCTGTCAAAAATTGCCTAATTCAAGAGTTACGATTTTTATTCCATGAAAAAGACACAATTTTTAATCTCAATGAAGCTCACTGTCAAAATAATCACATTTGACTGGTGTCAATTTTTTAATGGGCTCATTAGACATCCTACTATCAAATTCAAGTTTGACATCTGTCAAAAATTGCCTAATTCAAGAGTTACGATTTTTATTTCATGAAAAAGACAAAATTTTTGAATCTCAATGGAGCTCACTGTCAAAATAATCACATTTGACTGGTGTCAATTTTTTAATGAGTTCATTAGACATCCTTCTATCAAATTCAAGTTTGACATCTGTCAAAAATTGCCTAATTCAAGAGTTACGATTTTTATTCCATGAAAAAGACACAATTTTTAATCTCAATGGAGCTCCTTGTCAAAATAATCACATTTGACTGGTGTCAATTTTTTAATGCGTTCATTAGACATCCTTCTATCAAATTCAAGTTTGACATCTGTCAAAAATTGTCTAATTCAAAAGTTACAATTTTTATTCCATGAAAAAGACACAATTTTTAGTCTCAATGGAGCTCACTGTCAAAATAATCACATTTGACTGGTGTCAATTTTTTTATGAGTTCATTAGACATCCTTCTATCAAATTCAAGTTTGACATCTGTCAGAAATTGTCTAATTCAAGAGTTACGATTTTATTCCATGAAAAAGATACAATTTTTAATCTCAATGGAGCTCACTGTCAAAATAATCACATTTGACTGGTGTCAATTTTTTAATGAGTTCATTAGACATCCTTCTATCAAATTCAAATTTGACATCTGTCAAAAATTGCCTAATTCAAGAGTTACGATTTTTATTCCATGAAAAAGACACAATTTTTAATCTCAATGAAGCTCACTGTCAAAATAATCACATTTGACTGGTGTCAATTTTTTAATAAGTTCATTAAACATCCTTCTATCAAATTCAAGTTTGACATCTGTCAAAAATTGCCTAATTCAAGAGTTACGATTTTTATTCCATGGAAAAGACACAATTTTGAATCTCAATGGAGCTCACTGTCAAAATAATCACATTTGACTGGTGTCAATTTTTTAATGAGTTCATTAGACATCCTTCTATCAAATTCAAGTTTGACATCTGTCAAAAATTGCCTAATTCAAGAGTTACGATTTTATTCCATGAAAAAGATACAATTTTGAATCTCAATGGAGCTCACTGTCAAAATAATCACATTTGACTGGTGTCAATTTTTTAATGAGTTCATTAGACATCCTTCTATCAAATTCAAATTTGACATCTGTCAAAAATTGCCTAATTCAAGAGTTACGATTTTTATTCCATGAAAAAGACACAATTTTTAATCTCAATGAAGCTCACTGTCAAAATAATCACATTTGACTGGTGTCAATTTTTTAATAAGTTCATTAAACATCCTTCTATCAAATTCAAGTTTGACATCTGTCAAAAATTGCCTAATTCAAGAGTTACGATTTTTATTCCATGGAAAAGACACAATTTTGAATCTCAATGGAGCTCACTGTCAAAATAATCACATTTGACTGGTGTCAATTTTTTAATGGGCTCATTAGATATCCTTCTATCAAATTCAAGTTTGACATCTGTCAAAAATTGCCTAATTCAAGAGTTACGATTTTTATTCCATGAAAAAGACACAATTTTTAATCTCAATGAAGCTCACTGTCAAAATAATCACATTTGACTGGTGTCAATTTTTTAATGAGTTCATTAGACATCCTTCTATCAAATTCAAATTTGACATCTGTCAAAAATTGCCTAATTCAAGAGTTACGATTTTTATTCCATGAAAAAGACACAATTTTTAATCTCAATGAAGCTCACTGTCAAAATAATCACATTTGACTGGTGTCAATTTTTTAATGGGCTCATTAGACATCCTACTATCAAATTCAAGTTTGACATCTGTCAAAAATTGCCTAATTCAAGAGTTACGATTTTTATTTCATGAAAAAGACAAAATTTTTGAATCTCAATGGAGCTCACTGTCAAAATAATCACATTTGACTGGTGTCAATTTTTTAATGAGTTCATTAGACATCCTTCTATCAAATTCAAGTTTGACATCTGTCAAAAATTGCCTAATTCAAGAGTTACGATTTTTATTCCATGAAAAAGACACAATTTTTAATCTCAATGGAGCTCCTTGTCAAAATAATCACATTTGACTGGTGTCAATTTTTTAATGCGTTCATTAGACATCCTTCTATCAAATTCAAGTTTGACATCTGTCAAAAATTGTCTAATTCAAGAGTTACAATTTTTATTCCATGAAAAAGACACAATTTTTAGTCTCAATGGAGCTCACTGTCAAAATAATCACATTTGACTGGTTTTAATTTTTTAATGGGCTCATTAGACATCCTACTATCAAATTAAAGTTTGACATCTGTCAAAAATTGCCTTATTCAAGAGTTACGATTTTTATTTCATGAAAAACACTATCACTTTTGACAGCTGTGAATTTTCATTATTCATTAGATATCCCATGATTCTCTTGCCTGTTTGACAGATTCACTTACCTATATTGACCAGCATGACGGACGGTAAATTTGACTTTGGCCACGTTAGCGCCATTCGGATCAGTCGGCGATCCCAATTCAGTTATGACATTCAACTGGAAAGCAAATTTAGAAACATTCTTTTGGAAAGACATATAGATACCTTTCTTGTGCCGCCTGATATATCTACAATAAAATTGTCGGTATCACAGATTGGATAAGGCTGTCCGTTGCGTTGATAAAAGTTGACGGAAAAACAAGTCGTCCGGCCTACTGGATGAGGCTGGATCCAACGGAAATTTACCTAAAAATTTGATTGTTTAGTACCAATCCTAAACCATAATCACCATCTTCAAAAACAAACGGTTTTAGTCAGAATTACAGACAAGGCATTTCCCTTTGGATGGTTACGGGGGCATTCGTGAGCCCTAATGGCATTATTTGATTAGGAGAAGGAATAGAATCTCCAGAGACAAGCGGCTTTTGCCAGAATTACAGATCAGGCATTCCTCTTTGAAAGGTTGCGGGGGCATTTGTGAGCCCAAATGGCATTATTTGATCAGGAAAAGAGGGAGTAGAATCTCTAGAAACGAGCGGTTTTAGCAAGCTTAATACTTACCTTGCAATTAGAAGGATGCAAGTACTTTCCAGTAACGTATTGCAACAAAGTGTGTTTGGCTTCGGGTGCTAGGGACGGTTGCGTCATGGCGGCCAACGTCACTAGACCAGCTACTGAAACTGACACGACCAGCATGCCACCCCATGTCCATGCGTCCTGATGGTTGCTACTTTTGACCACTTCTGACCAAAGATCGGCTTTCAAACTGTCCAAATGTGTTTTCGAGGTTGGCAATGATTGCCGAGCCGTCGACCAATCAGATACGTACTTATTGAAAACCTAAAATGACAATCAGTATTTTTAAAATATCTAATGACGACATTGTTACCTGTTTGGCTTTGTTGTCTTCGAGCCAATAGGCGTCTTCTAATCGGGCGACGCCTACTGTTAGCAATCCGGCCAAGTAGGTTTGCAAACCGTGGCGCGCCAGCCAGTTGCGCAGCACGAGGCGTTGCTGAAGCGCAGCGGCCGCTTCGCGCAGGCGTCGTTCATCGGGTGCGGGCAATTCGGGTAGTTCTTCAGGTTGTGTGAACAACGATATACCTGCGAACCAAAAATTGAATCTATTACTCGTTGAAATGTAGCTGGAGCATTTTTTAGGCCAAAAGGCATTCGGATAAAAAGACATTTTCAGTTCTAAGTTGGATTCAATTTAAAAATGTGTAAATTAATAAACCAAACAAAAGGATACAAAATTGGCTCGCATCCAACAATTCAATATGTAGAGCAGGGTTTTTTTTGGGTGTATAAATTACAACTTTGCGCACCCATTTTACATGGGTTTAAGTGATTATAATTCCCGGTCGATTTGCGTTTAGCCACACATTTTACCGTTTATTATTCAGCGCCGGTAATGGGAAATCGATATCCAAATTACACTCTAGGGGCCATTATAATGGATGGAAAATTGTATTTTTCTAGTAGGTGAAAATGTAAATTTTATATGGATTTCGTCGGCTTTTCTTCCTGTGAATATTTCAAATGTCGCTTAATAATTCAACCGTTTTGCTGGCACGTTATTCTTTCGTGCGGATTGTGGAAAAATAATAAATTTCCAGCCAAAGGTTAGAAGGCAACTCTGACTTGATTAAAAGCCTTGGTTTTCCATGGAAATTGCAGAAGAATGAAGATTTTATATACGTATAGAATATATTACAAATTTTAATCCATTTAAAAAAAAGTTTTCCATGATCGAGGTATACGAGGAAAGTTTCGGAAACAGGGTTTTAATTAAATGGAAGTTGTCGGAAAACGAATGCGGTTGAAAGTTTCGTGACGTTTTAAAACCTGGATCATTTTCAATTTTGTCCTATGTGGAAAAACTTTACAATTATTGTCGCTTGTAATGTTGAGTTTCCAATGCAGTTTTGAGTTTTTCAGAAGTATATTGGTTAGAGTGGACTAATAATTATAGGTCATTGGAAAGAGTATTAAATTCTCTATTCAGCCGTGTAAAATTAAGCTTTGTAGCTTGTAAAGATCCTGAGATATTTAGCCTCAAAGTTGAAATTTAGTTCAAAACTTTAAACTCGATTTTCTCAAAAACCGTAAAAGTTAGCGACTTCAACTAAACACCATCCGAAAGCCCACATTAAAAGCTACAACTACTGAAAATTTTATTTCAGTACCGCTCTTGGTTCTTGAGATATCCAGGTTTGAAGATTTGTAAATGAAAATCCAAAGGGGTTACCCTTAGAAAAATGGGCGAAAAATTGAAAATTTTTATTTTTGGATTTTTCTCAATTTTGACTACAGAAATCGATAGAGCGGGTCCAAATTAGTCAGAAACAATTCTCAGATTACTTGCATTTGAAAATTTCCATGAGAAAAAAAAAATCCAAAAGGAAATCTCATTTCTGGCTCTGGAGATTTTTTGAGATCCTGACATGCTCATGGTTAATTGCTCATATCTTGGATGACATTTGAGAGAATTGTATATAATTATATATCATTAGAAAGAGTATTAAATTCTCTATTGAGCCGTGCAAGATTGAGATTTAAAGCTTGTACACTTTCCAAGATATTCAGCTCCAAAGTTGAAATGTAGTGGATATTTTGTCCAAAACTTCAAACTTGATTTTCTCAAAAACTGTAAAAGTTAGCGATTTCAACTAAACAGCATTCCAAAGACCTCATGAAAAGCAACAATTACTGAAAATTTTGTCCCAGTACCGCTTTTGGTTCCCGAGATATTCAGGTTTGAAGATTTGCAAAAGAAAATCCAAAGGGGTTACCCTTGGGAAAATTGCCAAAAATTGAAAATTTTTATTTTTGGATTTTTCTCAATTTTCACTTCAGAAATCGATAAAGCGGGTCCAAATTAGTCAGAAACAACTCTCAGATCAGTTGCATTTGAAAATTTCGATGAGAAAAAAAATCCAAAAGGAAATCTCATTTCTGGCTCTGGAGATTTTTTGAGATCCTGACATACTCATGATTAATTGCTCATATTTTGGATGATATTCGAGAAATTGGTATATAATTATATATCATTGGAAAGAGTATTAAATTCTCTATTGAGCCGTGCAAGATTGAGATCTGTTGCTTGTAAACTTTCCAAGATATTCAGCTTCAAAGTTGAAATTTAGTCGATATTTTGTCAAAAACTTCAAACTCGATTTTCTCAAAAACCGTAAAAGTAAGCGACTTCAACTAAACACCATTCGAAAGCCCTCATCAAAAACTACAACTACTCAAAATTTTGTTCTAGTACCGCTTTTGGTTCCCGAGATATTCAGGTTTGAAGATTTGCGAATGAAAATCCAAAGGGGTTACCCTTAGAAAAATGGGTGAAAAATTGAATTTTGCGCAATTTTGACTACAGAAATCGATAGAGCGGATCCAAATTACTCAGAAACAACTCTTAGATCACTTGCATTGAAAATCACACACACCTGAACTAGGGAAAAATACAGGGTGATTCAAATTCGATGATCTCAATTCGGATTTGATAAACGGTAAGAGATACGAGGCCCACCTAAATGTTGTTTTCATTTAACCGACCTCGTATCTCTTACCGTTTCCCGTTTCCGAGACCCCAATGGACTATGAACAGCATCGAATTTGTATCACCCTAAAACTACATTTGTCACGGTTAAGAGTCTTGCTTTTCTAATTCGATTTATCACTTCCTACAGTATTAAAAGGTGTTTCTCGAAAGTCGGAGTGCAAATAATGACGTCTTCCAAGTATACAAATACATGTTTTTCAAGATCCACGCCCACAACGCGATCTATTAAACGCTGCCACACAGCTGGTGCATTAGTAAGGCCAAAAGGCATACGTCGAAATCGAGATAGACCCCTATTAGGTACAGTAAAGCCGTTGAGAGTCTAGAAGACTCAGAAACTGGAATCTGCCAATATGCAGATGCAATCTAATATACTCAGATACATAGTGTCACGAAGCTTATCCAGAGTCGCGCTGACAAAAGGAATCGGATAGGCATCTGGAACGGTAACCTTATTTTGTTGTCGATAATCCAGACCCCCCCCCCCAGATCCTGGGTGCAGGGCTCCATCTCAGTTATGGTTATCACAGGGAAAACAGGGCCCCATCTTAGTCATAAATAAAGTGTCTTTCGTGACATGGTGGAGGAGCTGGGATATAGTAAACAGGTTAGAGCTTTTTAGGTCCGGCAAGCACCTGGTATCATTTACTATATCAGTGATCAGGATAAAGAATTCCACGTCTTTATCGTTTTTTGGGGTTGGGAAGTTTTCTACGTATAAAACCTTTCCTTCATCTGACAAGACTCCTTGAATCCCAGAATTTTTATTTCTTTTCTCAGGGAGTCGCATTTGCCTGGTTTGAGTGTTAAGTTTGCTTGTTGTTATTGTTCATGTATGAGAACCCAATTGCGCTTCTTTGATTCTACACGATTGTAACCGAAGTTCTTGAATTTTTTCGTATTTCCACCGGATCTACACGTATTTCCACGTACTTGAACCGTCTTCAATCGATCTCTATGTAGCTCTACCAAATATCCATGCATTTCCATGGATATCCTTGAATTTCCACAGATCTCCGCGGATCCATCAGATTTCTATGCCGTGGGAAAGAAGATTTCCATAGTGGGTCGGAAATAATCAGTTGCGATTTTTTAGGACAGAAAATCTTCATTTGCAAAGATCTTTTGTAACTCCTTAGATCTTGATAAATTTTCTTGGATATCCAAGAATATTATGAGATCTTCATAAAGATCATTTGAATTTCCATTTATCTAATCCTGACCTTCATATATATTAATAATTCAATTGCGCTTCCACGATCTCCACGTATTTTCACCGGATTTCGATGGATTTCCATAAATGTCCACCTCTCAGTTTGGCTCTGGTGTTTTTGAAAAGATTATTATGTCGTTCAGAGGTATATTAGTATTTCCTTCCATTTCATGTCCCAAAATACTTGATCTGCAATTTCCTGAAAAGTGGCTGGAGCATTGCATAGTCCAAAAGTGAGAACGTTGAATTCATATGTACCATGTTTCTGTGCCACAAATGCTGTGTATTGTTTTGATTCTTCTTCTACAGGTACCTGCCAGTATCCCGAGAATTTGTCCTCGGTGCAAAAGTATGCTGCGTCCCCTAAGTATGACAAAATGTCGTCTATTTGTGGTAGTGGGTACGTTGATTTTTTCGTCACGGCATTTATTTTTCGGTAGTCTACACAAAATCTCGTTAGTTCAATGTTACACAAAAATAAAGCAACCCTACCTAAACATTCGATCACAACAATCACAACAATCTCCGCACATGTTCCCCATGGATTTCCAAACGAAATATGTGTAAAATCTATATGCATCTCGACACGTTTGGGCAATTTGCTGCTATATTGAAAAACCGTGCTGTATTTCTCCGAGCTTCGTTGAGATGACAAGGAAAATGGACAAAATTTCCTAACTGTCAACAAATAATATGGAGAAATTTTTCACGGAAGGTTGACCATAGAGATTGACTGAAGCCCCGCAGGCCACCATGAACAATCTAGCAGTCCGGAATATTGCGTAAATTTATCTTTGGTTTAAATACCTGGAAACTGTTTGACGTATAAATTCTAAGCGCAATTAGCAGGTGGCAGTGGCGCACCCGGGAACCCAGGGGGGTGCTATCGTGCCAGGGCCCCCCAGGCCACCCTTCCAACACTGGTATTTTTACGTTTAAGAAATGTAGCAACATCAAGGCGTGGCACCCTGACACCTCAAATTTTTTTCTAGATTTTCAGTCACAAGCCACAACCTATGTAGAGCTCCCCCAAACATATTTTCTGGTTGCGCCATTGGCAGCTGGAAAATTGGGGGGATAGGGAGTCCCCTATTATTTATTCTTTCTAAATCTTCAAAAATAAGAGGTAGAAGAATGTCGGTGATAGTTTGTTCGGAAAATCGGTATCGCCGACGAAATTCTTCATCAAAATAAAATTTTAATGGATTCTGCATCTCTCGGATATACCTTCTTGGCCTCGGCAGCACATAATCATCATCAGCGTCAATTATCTCTACAAGTTAACTATCCAGCTGCTCCATACTAATTACATATTTCTGGATAGTCCTCAAGTCAAGGAAGAAAATGTGCATGATCGGCCTTGATAATTTTGACTCTGCAAGACAATAATTTACTGTCAAGGTCACCTTTAAGAAATCCTCAGCACCTAAGTAGGCACTATGAATACCGTACTAAACAGTAAGCAAGTTGAGCAAGAAGTGCGCTATCGCTATCCGTAAGCGCGAGTTCTCATGAGCGTAAGTTAACATTTCTGGCATAATTTGATTGGTCATTGCGAATATTTTACCAATAAAATCCAACCATTTTTGATTTTATCACGTATTTACGCCAGACATGTCAACTTACGCTCATGAGAACTCGCTCTAAATGAATGATGCAGGGATGCGTCATAGATGCAGGGATGCGTCGTAGATGCAGGGGCGCATTTGAGAACCAGGTGAGCCGTTGACCGAACACTCTAGTTCTGACTGTGGAGTAAAATTTAAGCATATAACAAGGCATTGTCCTTAATCTGACCCTGTTTCTACAGCATTTTTTTGCGGTAGTTTTTTCTCTTGCTGGATTTCAGTCGCAAATAAGAATGCTTATTTTTTTATGTTTGAAGACGTCATAGGTCATTTTTTCGTTTAATGCCGCTTCTGTTTTTGCTGATTGGGCTGACGTCGAGAATTTATATATTCGTGCTAACGGTGGTTCCTTACTAGCGGAACGAAGGGCGTATTTCTTGCTCATTTAGTGCCTGTTTTTTTTTTTTCTTGACGCTATAGCGAAGGTCACAGTGCAGTATTTCAAGTGGCAGCCTTCTCCTTGTTCTCTTGGGTACTTCGATGCTGAATATGGGGATTCAGCACTAGATTTTAACAGCGCCTCCACCATATGGCATACGCCTCGCTGCTAATATGAGTAGAACCTGAAGTTGGCGGGTTGGTCTTCAGGAAAATACACAACTACAAAAGGCAGTTATCGTATCGTATATTGCTTGCTAGTAGGTACATTACCAAAGGGACTCTACGTAGGTATGCCTCTTTGTATCTATACGGGGGTGCAACTGGTTCGGTTCCCGCACGTATATATAGCGGAGATGCCCTAAAAAGGATTGCTCCAAAGCTTTCTGGGGTGACCCTGAAGAGACGTGAAGCTACTGAACCCTTATGGGTGAGGAAACCCTGAGGAGAGAGATGTGAACCAAAAGGGATTAATGATATTTCCTAGGGTAAGGAGGCCCTGAGAAGAGAAAGACCCGAATGAATGTTGATACAAGGGGTTGCATCAATTTTTATATCCATTTTGTGTAAATATTAGTTTACGCGTCGACCTGCCTAAACTGCTGATTGTTGATGAACCGTGTTCTAGTTTTAATTAATGGGTTGTTGATATACAGGATGGTTTTTATTTATAGACCAGTAAACAATATCTTGAGAGAATTGTATATAATTATATATTATTAGAAAGAGTATTAAATTCTCTATAAGCCTGTGCAAAATTGGATTTCGTAACTTGTAAAGTTTCCAAGATATTCACCTTCAAAGTTGAAATTTACTCGATATTTTGTCCAAAACTTCAAATTCGATTTTCTCAAAAACCGTAAAAGTGAGCGACTTCAACTAAACACTATTCAAAAGCCCTCATCAAAAGCTACATTAGCTAAAAATTTTGTTCCAGTACCGCTTTTGGTTCCCGAAATATTCAGGTTTGAAGATTTGCAAATGAAAATTCAAAGGGGCGAAAAATTGAAAATTTTTATTTTTGGATTTTTCGGAATTTTGACTTCAGAAATCGATAGAGCAGGTCCAAATTAGTCAGAAAAAATTCTTACATCACTTATATTTGAAAATTTTGATGAGAAAAAAAATCCATAATGAAATCTCATTTTTTGGCTCTAAAGATTTTTTGAGATCCTGACATGCTCATGATTATTAGCTCATATCTTGGATGACATTTGAGAAAATTGTATATAATTATATATCATTAGAAAGAGTATTAAATTTTCTATTGAGCCGTGCAAGATTGGGATTTGTAGCTTGTAAACTTTCCAAGATATTCAGCTTCAAAGTTGAAATTCAGCCGATATTTTGTCGAAAACTTTAAACTCGATTTTCTCAAAAACCGTAAAAGTTACCGACTTCAACTAAATACTATTCAAAAGCCCTTATCAAGAGCTACAAATACTGAGAATTTTGTCCCAGTACCGCTTTTGGTTTTTGAGATATTTAAGTTTGGAGATTTGCAAATAAAAATCCCAAGGGGTTACCCTTAGAAAAATGTGCCAAAAAGTGAAAATTTTTATTTTTGGATTTTTCTCAATAGATCGATAGAGCGGCTCAAAATTAGACAGAAACAAATTTTAGATCACTTGCATTTGGAAATTTCGATGCGAAAAAAAATGCACAAGTAAATCTAATTTTTGGCTCTTGATATTTTGACACGCTCATTAATAATTGCCTATATCTTCGATGACATTTGAGCAAATTTCCTACAATTATACATCATTGGAAAGAGCATTAAATTCTCTATAAGCCCGTGCAAAATTGATTTTTGTAGCTTGTATAGTTTCCGAGATATTGAGCTTAGAAACCGAAAAACTACTTACCCGAAGTCACACTGTCGGACGTTTGCATGGTCATTCCGATCGAACAAATTTCGTTTTCATCGTCAAAATAACCGGACATTATTGAATGGATTTTATGTGGAAAGTTGCACTTATTCTTAAGAAAAATTAGCGTGACCTCGTTTTGAAAAGAAACTTTTCTAGAGCCTTTAAAAATTGAGTGCTTTCTATTTTTAGAAAGCAATTTTCATCAAGACTTACTTTAGAAAACCTCAAAACAAAACCAAATAATGTATTTTCTTTTATATAATGGAGGGATAAATTTCAGGTAAGGATCAGGTATTATAGGACAAATCAAAATTGAGCGCGAACATTATATCCGCGCGCTTTCTGGACGCTCAAACGTCCCGTCGCTGACTGCCAGAGCGCTGCAGAGCCTGGCATAAACTTATCCAGTTTTTCTCTATTTTTCTTCGCAGCCCCGGGGCTCGGCGCACAGTGACGTCACGCACCACTTCTCTGTCCTCTGCAGACTAAATAGAGCCTCTTCTGTTTTTTGTCCGGCGCAATGACGCGTTGTTTAGTTGATTGAGAAAATGGGTTTTTAGAGGCTCAAATTCTAACACGTCACAATAGAGTCTTTAGAATTGTGAATCTTTAGAATGTCTTATTTGTAGACTGTAGCCTTAAGATTGCTAGGGTATATAGAGGAACCATAGAGAAGTAGTTTGAGATGGGACACCAATGGTCGGAAGTGCGTCGTTTCCAAAATACAGGGTGTTGAAATTTAAACAACCCCCGTTCATATCATCTGAAGGGCTAATGCTAGGCTGTTCAAATTTTCAGAGATTATTGATTTAGGAATGATATTCAAAAATTCGTATAATGCACTCCATTTTCTACCTGGAACGGTGGTTCTAGGGGGTGCATTATACGAATTTTTAAATATCATTTCTATACATCCTAGCCTAGCATTAACTCTTCAGATGATATATGAGAGGGGTTTGTTTAAATTTCAATACCCTGTATTTTGGAAATGACGCACTTCTGACCATTGGTGTCCCATCTCAAACTACTTCTAGCATTTTTGACCAATTGAACAGGGATACCCTGCATAATATTATATACTTTTATATTTGTACTAAATAATATTATATAAATTCAACTTCCAAAGACAAAATGAACCATTTAGGTCTTAAAAACCTTTAAAACATGATTTCTATCTCTGGGAGTTAGCTCTTTAAATAAATCTTTCAGCAATTGGGGCATTATAGGCGAAGTTCCTGGGCCCATAACCTGTAAACTTTAAACAACCACACAGGATAACTTTTACTTACCTTTTTCGCTGTATGAAACTCTTATTCGGGCAGGATCCAACTTGAATTGTCTCAGACAAGTTTCTACATTCTCAGACGAGTTAAATTTGGAATTTCCTCTTTGGGACAAAGGGTTCAAATAAAAAAGGACGAAAATAAAAAACGAACAAACTAATGACAGTTTAGCTTTGGCACCGTTATTCATAATAAACTAAAGGCGATTGTTTACATTTTTAATTGATTTTTAGTAACAAATTCTAATTAGTTTTTGCTTGTTTTTGTCCGCCCACTGTGGACACAGCTGTTTTGTGGGTTTTTCTTTGGAAAACATAAGAGATGGCGCCACGAGAGTTTGTGCAGGTTTTTGTTTAAATTTAATTGAAAAATGTATTCAATAATACTCAAATTGAGTAATTTTTGACCAAAAATCCAATAATTATGTGTTCTTTTTCAAAACTACCTACAAAATACAAAGGAAAGTAGGGCTAGTCTTTGTGTGATGGCGGTTTTTAGTCCAGGTTTTTTTTTCCAAAATTTTGCGGATTTTGATGCAGCCCATGGTATCGGTACCCATTTGGGTCCTTCTTTCCTCAGGGTATCCTTAACCAAAGAAGCAGTGGCTATATTTCTCTTCAGGGTTGCCTCACCCCAGAGAGCCCTTCAAGGCAACGTCGCCTATACGTGCGGAACCAGTTGCATTCCCTTTGGTGATGTACCCATAAGCCAGACAATATACGTTAAGCTGCTTTTTGTAGTTATGTGTTTTCTGAAGAGTAACCCACATTAGCCGCGAGGCGTGTGACATTGTGACATGTGGTGGAGGCGCCGTTCGAAGAACCTGTGATGCTGAATCTCTCTATTTACCTAAAGAGAGCACATTACCCAAACGAAATTATGGAATGTCGCCATTGTATCAGCAATGATCTTTGAATGTACTGATAGTTGTTCATAAAAGTGCGAACGCGATAACTTCGGTAATATCCGACTAATCCAAGAAATTATTTTATTTCCTTGTTAGTTTTAGGAATTGAGAAATTCTTAATTGCCATTACTTTTTTTGGGTTAGGTTTAATTCCATTAGGGGTTATTACATGTCCTAAAAATTCGACAATTTTCTTAAGAACTTATCAAGTTGTATTTTCAAATTATACTTTTCTAGTCTTTTGAAAATTATTTTCAAATCTTCAATATGTTCCTGTAGCGATGTAGAAAATATAATAATGTCATCCATATATACTAAAGAAATTTTATTTTGCATTCCTGCTAGAGCATTACCTATCTATTGCTCTTTGGAAGGTATCAGGGGCATTTTTTAGACCAAAGGGTATTCGAGTAGTAAATTCGAAATGACCATTCTCTACGTTAAACGCTGTTTTCGGTATCGGATCTGGATGCATTTCGATCTGATGAAATCCAGATGCCAAATCTAATGTTGTGAAATAATTACTGCGTCCTAATCTGTCCAACATATCAGTGATATTTGGTAATGGATACCTATCATCGATTGTTTTTTTCGTTAATTTTTCTGTAATCGACTATACTATTCTCCATTTTTGAATATTAGAAGCGTCTTTTTTCTTTGGTACAATTCATACAGGTGATGACCAAGGACTGCAGGATGGTTGTATAATGTTATCTTCTAACATTTTTTTAATTTGCTTATTGACTTCTGTTTTATGGAGATATAGGGTATTCAATGTGTGAATGTCCCATATGTATTATGATACCCTATTCAATCGGTCAAATCATATTGGGTCTATAGGCACAGAAATCAAGTAGGTAAAATACCAAATAGTTAAAGGTTATTTGGCATAATCCAGAACATGTAGCTGATGAAAATATTGAGCACTGGCCTATATTAGGTCACTATTAACAGTGCACGAACCATAGTTTCATGTGCATTGTACACATGTCGCAACTGTCATTTAGTTTTTGGGATATGCAAGCGGTCATTAGTAATATTTTTAGAAAATTCGTTTCAGGTGTCATAATATACATTGAACACCCTGTATCTTAAAAACTAATCATAGGAGTCTCCACCTAATAATATCTCAATGACTATTCAAATTCGAAACCTGCACATTATAGGCCTTCAAGTCTTGCATCCAAGGACTATAGAATATTGGTGATATATCATTGATCCAATGCTTCAAAAGTATGAGTATTAATAATATTATTGCTAAAGAATATTATAACGTCAACACAAATGTATAATTTCTATTTCATCCTCTGCAAACAAATAATGTCGGATTTTTTCCGCACCTTTTTGCTTCAAATTCAACTCTGAAACAGTAGATTTTGAAATGTAACTCTTTTGACTACCCGTGTTAATTAATGCCCTAACATTTTTTTCGTATACTATTCATGCCTTTAACATTTATCCGTAAAACCTGGAGAAAACAATGCTCATATCTTGAATGACATTTGAAAAAATTTTATATAATTATATATCATTGGAAAAAGCATTAAATTCTCTATTGAGTCGTGCAAGATTGAGCTTTGTGACTTGTAAAGTTTCCAAGATATTTAGCTCAAAAGTTGATAGTTTGTCCAACACTTTAAACCTGATTTTCTCAAAAACCGTAAAAGTTTGCGATTGCAGCTAAATACCATTCAAAGGCCCTTATCCAAGAGCTACATTAACTGAAAATTTTGTACAAGTACCGCTTTTGGTTCCCGAGATACTCAGGCTTGAAGATTTGCAAATGATAATCCAAAGGGGTTACCCTTAGGAAAAAGAGTGAAAAATTGAAAATTTTTATTTTTGGATTTTTCTCAATTTTGACTTCAGAAATGGATAAAGCGGGTCCAAATTATTTGAAAACAACTCTAAGATCACTTGTATTTGAAAATTTCAATGAGAAAAGAAAATACAAAAGGAAATCTGCTGATTTTTGGCTTTGGAGATTTTTTGAGATCCTGACATGATTAATTGCTCATATCCTAATTGACATTTGAGAAATTTATATATAATTATATATCATTAGAAAGAGCATTAAATTCTCTATTGAGCCGTGTAAAATTGAGCTCTGTAGCTTGTGAATTTCTCAAGATATTCAGCTCAAAAGTTGAAACTTCGTCGATATTTTGTCCGAAACTTTAAACCTGATTTTCTCAAAAACCGTAGAAGTTAGCGATTTCAACTAAATACCATTCGAAAGCCCTTATCAAGAGCTACATTAGCTGAAAATTTTGTTCCGGTTGTGGAATTCCTAAGATATTTAGCTCAAAATTTAAAACTTAGATGATATTTTGTCCGAAACTTTGTTGATATTTTGTCCGAAACTTTAAACCTTAGGCCTGGTTTATTCATATTCAGATAAACTTACTGGTAATACTGTCTACAAGATAAATTTAGCAATTTTTGGTTTGCAAATAACTAGTTAACCAATAATTGCGTTTGTATCTATTAGATTGCATTACCTGACAGTTTATCAGAAGATGAATAGACCGGGCCTTAAGGTGAGTTTACACATGCATGGATTTAGTGGCGCCAATAAAAACTGGCGCGCCAGTAAATTTTATAAGCAAGTGTAAACATGGACTCACATGCACATTTTATATTTGCATGCATAGTCCAAAAAAGTCTGCATCTTTCTGAAATCACTGACGCCATTGGTGACAAATTCATACAGAAAATCAAAACTTGCAAGTGTAAACAAGTGCTTGCACGTCGGCGTCTGCTCGCCAATTTTTCGTTTGATTTTCATTTCGGTTGCTGCGAGTTCTCCTATAAGTTTTGCAGAAGCAGCCAAAGTGGGTCGACGACCAATCCATGGTTTAACCCAAAAACGGCCTTTCCGTTGGTTGCATTTCTTTTTCTGTATTTCTTTTATCTTTTTTTTTTTTACTAAAAGTTTAGTGACTATTTTACAGGCTCGGAAAGTTCACTCGACATAGTGCGCACTGAGAAAAACACTTTGAAAGTGAAACTGGCGTGCCACTTATTACTGTTTTTCACACAAAGTGTGCAAATAGAACTGGCGCGACTACTGACGCCACTAAATCCATGCATGTGTAAACTCACCTTTAGGCATTTTTAAATACTTACATTTAAATTTGGTTTGAGGCTATTTATTCTCTGGTTTGTTTATATAATTTCCTTTGTTTTTTTTTTGTACCCGTATATTATATACAAGTTTTTAATACCCCTGAAGATTTTTTAATGTAAAAACCCTCAGCAGTTTTTAAGTAAACAACTTGCCTTTTTCATTTATTATATTCATCAGCAGCGGTTTATTGAATTATTGATTGAGTTTCTATCCAGCTGTGACATGACATTTACGCAAAGTTTATAAGAAATATGAGGTCATTGCTTTCATGTCAAGTTTATGTAACATAAGTACTATAAAGGTAAGTGTTTATAATATGTTTTTGGTATGTTTTACTTCAAAGACTCCAAAATATTCCCTCAACGTCTCAGATTTGCGCATCGAGTAGTTTTTGAGTAAATAATATAGAAACATGTCATATAAAAATCTCTGGTCGGAATTTTGTCCAAAACTTCAAAGTCAATTTTCTCGAAAACTAAAACGCTGGCGATTTCAATCAACTACCATTTTGAAGCCCTTTTCAAAAGCTACAATTCCTGAAAATTTTGTCCCAGTACCACTTTTGGTTACCGAGATATTCAGGTTTGAAGATTTGCAAATGAAAATACCTTTAGAAAAATGGGCGAAAAATTTTTATTTCTGGATTTTTCTCAATTTTGACTTTAGAAATTAATAGAGCGGGTCTAAATTAGTCAGTAACAACTCTTGGATCACTTGCATTTGAAAATTTCCATGAGAAAAAAATAATTCAAAAGGAAATCTAATTTTTGGCTCTGGAGATTTTTTGAGATCCTGACATGCTCATGATTAATTGCTCATATCTTGAATGACATTTGAGGAAATTATATACAATTATATATCATTGGAAAGAGCATTAAATTCTCTATTGAGCCGTGTAAAATTGAGCTTTGTAGCTTATGAGGTTTCCAAGATATTCAGCTCAAAATTTGAAATTTAGTCGATATTTTGTCCAAAACTTTAAAACTGATTTTCTCAAAAACCGTAAAAGTAAGCGATTTCAACTGAACACCATTCGAAAGCCCTTATCAAGAGCTACAATAACTGAAAATTTTGTTCCAGTACCGCTTTTGGTTATCGAAATACTCAGGTTTGAAGATTTGCAAATAAAAATCCAAAGGGGTTACCTTTAGGAAAAAGTGCGAAAAATTGAAATTTTTTATTTTTGGATTTTTCTTCATTTTGACTTTAGAAATGGATAGAGCGGGTTCAAATTAGTCAGAAACAAGTCTTAGATCACTTGCATTTAAGAATTTCAATGAGAAAAAAAATCCAATAGGAAATCTCATTTTTGGCTGTGGAGAATTTTTGAGATCCTGACATGCTCATGATTAATTGCTCATCTCTTGGATAACATTTGAGGAAATTATATATAATTATACATCATTGGAAAGAGCATTAAATTCTCTATTGAGCCGTGTAAAATTGAGCTTTGTAGCTTATGAGGTTTCCAAGATATTCAGCTCAAAATTTGAAATTTAGTCGATATTTTGTCCAAAACTTTAAAACTGATTTTCTCAAAAACCGTAAAAGTAAGCGATTTCAACTGAACACCATTCGAAAGCCCTTATCAAGAGCTACAATAACTGAAAATTTTGTTCCAGTACCGCTTTTGGTTATCGAAATACTCAGGTTTGAAGATTTGCAAATAAAAATCCAAAGGGGTTACCTTTAGGAAAAAGTGCGAAAAATTGAAATTTTTTATTTTTGGATTTTTCTTCATTTTGACTTTAGAAATGGATAGAGCGGGTTCAAATTAGTCAGAAACAAGTCTTAGATCACTTGCATTTAAGAATTTCAATGAGAAAAAAAATCCAATAGGAAATCTCATTTTTGGCTGTGGAGAATTTTTGAGATCCTGACATGCTCATGATTAATTGCTCATCTCTTGGATAACATTTGAGGAAATTATATATAATTATACATCATTGGAAAGAGCATTAAATTCTCTATTGAGCCGTGTAAAATTGAGCTTTGTAGCTTCTGAGATTTCCAAGATATTCAGCTCAAAAGTTGAAATTTAGTCGATATTTTGTCCAAAACTTTAAAACTGATTTTCTCAAAAACCGTAAAAGTAAGCGATTTCAACTGAACACCATTCGAAAGCCCTTATCAAGAGCTACAATAACTGAAAATTTTGTTCCGGTACCGCTTTTGGTTACCGAGATACTCAGGCTTGAAGATTTGCAACTAAAAATCCAAAGGGGTTACCCTTAGGAAAAAGTGCGAAAAATTGAATTTTTTATTTTTGGATTTTTCTCAATTTTGACTTTAGAAATGGATAGAGCGGGTTCAAATTAGTCAGAAACAAGTCTTAGATCACTCGCATTTGAGAATTTCGATGAGAAAAAAAATACAATAGAAAATCTCATTTTTGGCTGTGGAGAATTTTTGAGATCCTGACATGCTCATGATTATTTGCTCATATCTTGGATGACATTTGAGAAAATTGTATATAATTATATATCATTGGAAAGAGCATCAAATTCTCTATTGAGCCGTGTAAAATTGAGCTTTGAAGCTTTTGAGATTTCCAAGATATTCAGCTCAAAAGTTGAAATTTAGTCGATATTTTGTCCAAAACTTTAAAACTGATTTTCTCAAAAACCGTAAAAGTAAGCGATCTCAGATAAACACCATTCGAAAGCCCTTATCAAGAGCTACTATAACTGAAAATTTTGTTCCGGTACCGCTTTTGGTTACCGAGATACTCAGGCTTGAAGATTTGCAACTAAAAATCCAAAGGGGTTACCCTTAGGAAAAAGTGCGAAAAATTGAATTTTTTATTTTTGGATTTTTCTCAATTTTGACTTTAGAAATGGATAGAGCGGGTTCAAATTAGTCAGAAACAAGTCTTAGATCACTCGCATTTGAGAATTTCGATGAGAAAAAAAATACAATAGAAAATCTCATTTTTGGCTGTGGAGAATTTTTGAGATCCTGACATGCTCATGATTAATTGCTCATATCTTGGATGACATTTGAGAAAATTGTATATAATTATATATCATTGGAAAGAGCATCAAATTCTCTATTGAGCCGTGTAAAATTGAGCTTTGAAGCTTTTGAGATTTCCAAGATATTCAGCTCAAAAGTTGAAATTTAGTCGATATTTTGTCCAAAACTTTAAAACTGATTTTCTCAAAAACCGTAAAAGTTAGCGACTTCAGCTAAACACCATTCGAAAGCTCTTATCAAGAGCTATATTAATTGAAAATTTTGTTCTGTTACCGCTTTTGGTTACCGAGATACTCAGGCTTGAAGATTTGCAAATAAAAATCCAAAGGGGTAACCCTTAGGAAAAAGAGCAAAAAATTGAAATTTTTTATTTTTGGATTTTTCTCAATTTTGACTTCAGAAATCGATAGAGCGGGTCTAAATTAGTCAGAAACAACTCTCAGATCACTTACATTTGAAAATTTCGTTGAGAAAAAAAAATCCATAAGGAAATTACATTTTTGGCTCTTGAGATCCTGACATGCTCATATCTTGGATGAAATTTAAGAAAATTGTATATAATTATATATCATTGGAAAGAGTATTAAATTCTCTATTTCTGGTATCGCTTGTCTCAAAAATATTCTCTCAAAATCTCATATGAAAACGTCATAATTCTACTACTCCTTAATTCTCAATCCAGAAAGTTTGTAATTATTCCAAAAAATAAATAAATGAAAGCTTTGTTTAGTAAACGATTATATTACTTGAATTAAACAAAAATATATTTACATATAAAAACAATATACACAATGAAAAATATTATATAATATTATATACATAGATAAAATATCATTTCATGAAATATCCATCATCATCATCATACAAGGATAAGAAAGGGTCATTGGGGACAATATGCCCCAATATTTCTGTCACTTTTTAAAATCAATTAATACATAGTGTAAATAGGAAAAAATTAAGATAATATTGCTTTTAAATTTTCTCTTTTTTTTTTTGAAAAATATCACTATACCATATTATTTGGCTTTTTAAATCAGTGTACCAAAAACCCCTTTGACTAAAGAAAAGTACACTATTTAATTCAAAAAAAAAAAAGCATCTTGAAATCCTATTAAAATAATAAAAATTGGCAACCATGCACGTACAATCTCGAACCAATAAAAAGCCTTATCACAGTATATGTACGATTTCCAAAAAAAATTGAGACCATTTATTGACAATCGACTGTTCCACTGTTGCCAATTTTCATTTTCTATATTGCTTATTTTTCTATATAATTACAATTTATCTACAAGAGCGAGATTCATTTTGTTCAAGACTGACTGATAACAATTTATCCTGCTGGTAAAACTAATAATAACGTTATCAGTCGGCCTATAATTTGACCCTAACAAAGAAAAAAATAAGCACCAATATAAAATTATAAAAACTTAATAATAATAAATAAATTATGTACAAGTGATTGGAATTTTTTGCTACAAAGTCAGTCAGGAAAATGCTATATTATGTAATTTTTACCAAAAAGCATAAACTTCTAATATATATATATATATATATATATATATAAAAAAAAAGCTTTCTGTTTCTATATTTACATACAGCTATTTTGGGTATTATAATTCTGAGTATTTTCTAGGCTACCCTGTAGTAGGAAAAACAAAAAGTTCTTATAGATATAGGCCCTTTTTGATTGCTTTTTACATCATTCTTACACAATTGGACAAAGACTAGGTTGACAACTTATGGCACACATAAACACACAATTTCCTATTACGAAGAATCGTGCCTGTGTATCCGCATAAGGCCTCTTCTCGTACCGCTCTTTCTTCGCTTTCTTTTTGAATCCCTTTGAAAAGCTACATTACCTGGATCATCTGCTAATAGTGGATATTTGTGGATACTATGGATATCAATGCCTTCGTATCCGTCTACATATCCATGGGAAACTAGTTCTTCTTTTTCTTCTTCAGTCCAATCGCCTCGGCCTTGAAATCCTGCTGCTATGAGTTGTTTTTCTATTTCCCATGCTCGTTCAATGGCTCTTTTATGTGAGTGTCTGAGAATTTTGTGGGTTTCTTGTCTGGAATCTGCTCCGTATTTGATTATAATGACAGCGTCAGGATTGTGAAGTCGCAACTCTTTTAGAGGAGTTGGATAGTTGTGCTCGGTAATTTCGTGAGTGGACACATTAAACATGCCACCTAATCGTCTAAGTTCTTCTAAATCGTCTCGGATTTTCAATAAGTTATCTTTGACAAAATAAAAATAGTCTTGTTCATGGATGCTGAATTGCAAAGGTAAATAATAGGAGTTGTTGAAGACTGAAGTTACTACGTCTTGGACTACACCGTTGACACCTTCTACTACGCTTACCAGGGCTCGGTTGCCCACTCTGGATAGTAGAACGCCTTCGCCAAAAACAGATTTTCTAAATGCTACTCTGGGCAAGAGGTTGCGGGTTTTCGGTTCTTTTTTCAGGAGCGGTTTCGGTACGAAGCTCATGTCTGTGAATTTTTCGTTTACCTGAAAGCAAAATTGTTGGTATGAGAAACTGGTAATGATTTAGTATTTTCATTATTCTCGGCTCTTGGTTTGCCAGAGTGAATCAAGACTAAAGTATGTCCAGTGCACCAAAAACTGGTAAATTATTCAATATTTTGACTGTTCCCGGCTCTTGGTTGCGATTCAAGTCCAAATCTGGAGATTCTACTTCTTTTTCTCCTGATCAAATAATGCCATTTGGGCTAACAAATGCCCCCGTAACCTTTCAAAGAGAAATGCCTGGTCTGTAATTCTGACTCTTTGAAGATTCTCCAGAGACAAACGGTTTTAGTCAGAATTACAGACTATGCATTCCTCTTTGAAATATTGCGGGGGCATTTGTGAGCCCTAATGGCATTATTTGATCAGCAGGAGTAGAATCTTCAGAGACAAGCGGCTTATGTCAGATTTACAGACCAGATATTCCTCTTTGAAAGGCTGCGGGGGCATTTGTAAATGGCATTATTTAATAAGGAAAAGAAGGAATAGAATCTCTAGAAACAAGCGGTTTTAGCAAGAGGCAAGCCTCCTAGGAATTCTTTGCCCAAAATGTGGGGAATTTAGAGGAATTTGTGAAAAATTTAGAGGAATTTGTAAGAAATTTGAAGGAACTCATCCGAATTTATGAGAATTTGGGAAATTTCTAGGGAATTTGGAGGAATTTATGGGGAAATTGGGAGAATTTGTGAGGAATTTATGAGGAATTTAAAGGATATTGTCAAATTTAAAAAATTCAAAAGAATAATCAATACCTACAGTTTTTGTAAGCTGATTTCCAAGATTTTTCATGTTTTTTTTTTAATGACAAAAATTGAAATTTTGGGAAAATGAACTTCTCACCTTCTTCTTTACATGCAAAAAGTTTCAAAATTTTCCCTTCACTAGTTTTCCAGGAAAAGTTTGAAATATGTGAGACTGTATTTTCAATTAATTCAGTTATTATAGGTTGATTCCCAAGGTTTTTCATGTTGCAGTTTTCCACTGGAAAAATTTGAAATTTTGGGAAAATGAGCTTCTCACCTTCCACCTTACATGCAAAAAGATTCAAAATTTTCTCTTCACTAGTTTTCCAGGAAAACTCTGAAATGTGTGAGACTGTATTTTTTCAATTAATTCAGTTATTGTAGGTTGATTTCCAAGATTTTTCATGTTGCTGTTTTCCACTGGAAAAATTTGAAATTTTGGAAAAATGAGCTTCTCACCTTCCTCTTCACATGCAAAAAGTTTCAAAATTTTCCCTTCACTAGTTTTCCAGGAAAACTTTGAAATATGTGAGACGTATTTTCAATTAATTTAGTTATTGTAGGTTGATTTCCAAGATTTTTCATGTTGCTGTTTTCTACTGGAAAGTTTTGAAATTTTGGGAAAATGAGCTTCTCAGCTTCTTCTTTACATGCAAAAAGTTCCAAAATTTTCCCTTTACTAGTTTTTCAGGAAAACTTTGAAATGTGTGAGACTGTATTTTCAACTAATTCAGTTTTTGTAGGTTGATTTCCAAGATTTTTCATGTTGTTATTTTTCACTGGAAAAATTTAAAATTTTGGGAAAATGAGCTCCTCAACTTCCTCTTTCTATGCAAAAAGTTTCAAATTTATCTCTTTACTAGGTTGATTTCCAAGATTTTTCATGTTGCTGTTTTCCACTGGAAAAATTTGAAATTTTGGGAAAATAAGCTTCTCACCTTCCTCTTTACATACAAAAAGTTTCAAAATTTTCCCTTTTTTTTAGAGGAATTTGTGGGGTATTTGGAGAAGTTCGTGGTGTGGTATTTGGAGGAATTTGTGATGGGATATCTGGAAGAATTTGGAGGAATTTGTAGGAATTTTGAGGAATTATGCGTAAAAAATTCAAATTCAAATTCAAATCAAAATTGTTTGCACCAATTCTGGGATGGTGGTTTACCCCTTGGTTTTATTCAGAATTACAGAAAAAGCATTCCTATTTGAAAGGTTACGGGGGCATTTGTGAGCCCAAATGGCATTATTTGATCAGGAGAAAAATGTGTAGAATCTCCAGAAACAAGCGGTTTTAGTCAGAATTACAGACAAGGAATTCCTCTTTGAAAGATTGCGGGAACATTTGTGAACCCTAATGGCATTTCCCCTTTGTTCGCTTCTTCGTCTTCAACCCCCACTCGTGCGCTAAGTCCAAAGTCTCAGTTGCTTGAAGGAAATGTTACAGAAACAAAGTACAAGCAAGAGAGAGAGTCACGTATTTACTGAATACTAAGCAATGAAAGAGGATAGAGAGTGTGACGCGCATACGCGCAGTACAACTCTGATGCCAGGGAAGTTAAGCAAGAGAGAGAGCGACTTATACACTTCATACGTAGCGATATAAGTTTCACTTCTATCACATGTATGGTGCCTGCACAAGGAGATAGAGAATTGTATCTAGAACACAGGTCTTCGTTGCAAGACAAAGTAGAGCGATATAACGTAGAGAGCAGGATAAAGAGAACTATATTATCTAGTAAACGGTTTCGGTTATTCGCCTCTCCCTTTTGTTCGCTTCTTTGTCTTCAACCTCCACTCGTGCGACATAAGTCCCAAAGTCTCAGTTTCTCGAAGGAGGAATAGTTTAGGAAGCATTGTACAAGTAAGAGAGAGAGTTACGTATTTACCGAATACTAGCCAATGGAAGAGAATAGAGAGCGTGACTGCGCAGTACAACTCTGATGCAGTGGGAGTGGAGCAAGAAAGAGCGACGTATACACTCAATAAGAAGCGATAAAAGTTTCACTTCTATTACTATTAGGAGAAGGAGTAAAATCTCCAAAGACAAGCGGCTTTAGTCAGAATTACACATCAGGTATTTCTCTTTGAAAGGTTGCGGAGGCATTTGTGATCCCAAATGGCATTATTGGATCAGGAGTAGAAGGAGTAACATCTCCAGAGACAAGTGGTTTTAGTCAGAATTACAAACAAGGCATTCCTCTTTGAAAGATTAGGGGGGCATTTGCAAGTCCAAATGGCATTATTTGATCAGGAGGAGTAGAATCTCCAGAGACAAGCGGCTTTAGTGAGAATTACAAATTAGGCATTCCTCTTTGAAATATTACTGGGGCATTTGCGAGTCCGAATGGCATTATTTGATTAGGAGAAGGAGTAGAATCTCCAGAGAAAAGCGGTTGTAGCTCGAATTAGAACCTGGAAATGATTTAAAATTTAGATTGTTTCCGTTTTCTGGTTGCATTTAGAAAAATTTGCAAGCGAATCAAGAGCCTGGAATAGTCAAAACTTTGAATCACAAACAAATAATTACCCATGAATATCATAACATCAAATATCCCTTACCTTATCCACCATACACTGTAATCCAGACATGATCCCGAAATCAGGAGCCAATTGCGGAGCAGACACTGTAGCTTGAGGCTTGTAAACCATATTGCCAACATACTGAGACCCCAACATTTTCTCAATATCGTATCCAAACAATTGCAGCCAACTCTTCAAATCTGTCATATAATTGGTAGAATATTTAGCATTAATAGGATCATTGTTGAGGAATCTGTAGATGAAAATGTCTGTAGGAGTTGTAAGTTTGGAAGCTAGTTTTTCCCAGGCCGGAGTCACCCATTGGCCAACAATAGGGTCATAGAATCGCTTGTTGATGTATATAAGTTTTGTATTGGGGTCGTAGATGCCTCCATGAAAATCAACTGCTAAGTAGAAGTCAGGATTTGTGTCTAAGACAACATTTCCAAATGGAGTCCTTCTAATTTCCTTAATCAAATTGCCATTAATATCAAATAAACCTAGCGGACTTCCGTTTTGGTCTGCTGCAACATAAAACCTTTGCTCCATTGTTTCAACTGTAATTAATACGTCACGGGTGTCATAGAGGAATCTAAAAGTGCGGCCACTTTTAGGGAAATGTAAATGTGTTACTAAATCTGGAGTGCTAGGGTTAGCGTAGAAGTACTGGGTCACGTTGCCTTTGTCATCGTTCCAAGCAATTAGGCGACTTTTGTCGTCGTAGTAGTACCAAGTCTGGAACTTTTCACGTTCAAATGCGTGAATTAGTTGGCCTTTGGGATTGAATCTATATTTTTGCTCGCCTCTTCTTACTACAAACCCACTGTTGTCGTAACTGTTGAATTCTATGTCGCCGTATTGCACCACTCTGTCGCCACTATCGTAGCCTAAAGTTGTTTTGTCTTTGTCTTTTATTGTGGCTTGGATGTTGCCGTTTTCGTCATATACATATTTCCAGTTACTTGTGCCGACTACTTCTAAAACGTGTCCGTCTGAGTTGTAGTTTATTCGGTCCATGAATTGAGTTCTGCCTACTAAAAGCTTTTGTTGTTTAATTCTGTTGCGGAAGTCGTATTCTAGTTCCATGCGAAATACGTCAAAGGTTTTAATGTTGATTAAAAGGGATTTTAGACGGCCTCGGTCGTCGTAATCGGTTATGCTAAAGAATTGTTTGCCAGTGTCTTGCATTACTGATCTGTTGAAGGTGTTTCTGTAGATTCGCAGGTCGCTGACGCTTTCCAGGACGCCGAGGTTTTGGTTGTATTTGAGTTTGAGCTGAGGCAGTTCTTTGCCGTTGATGTCCACGTCTATACTGGATAATCTGGAAGAAAAGAAATAAATTATATACCATTGGAAAGAGCATTAAATTCTCTATAAATCTGTGTAAAATTCAGTTTGATAGCTCAAATAGTTTTTGAGCAATTGAGCCTCAAAGTTGACTTTTAGTTTAAAAATCAAAGACTCGACTAAAATCGCCTTAAGAAAGTACAAAAACTACTTTGACAGTTGGGTTACGCCCCCTTACGGTCATTTTAGAAAGCTGAAATATATTTCCAGCATTTTCTCTTGGCCATATTTATTTTATGGGATAATTTTTTTCCGACATGACTACGATGAAGAGTTTTTAAGATATGGCCGAGTGCTATTCTTAATGAATCACCCTGTACAAAGGAGTGAATTGTTGCGGAACTTATGGGTGGACCCAGCCATCCATTCACCAATATGTTGTTCAAGTACAATACTAACCTGATTCATTCAGTTATGAATTTTTCTAATTAGTTCAAAAACGACGTTTCAGGTGAGTGTTTTTTTTGAATAGTTCAACAGTATATTAATGAGTAGATGGCTGCGGAACTCGCTGCGCTCGTCCCGCAGAGGTCCACCCATAAGTTCCGCAACAACTTACTTATTTGTACTTGAAAAATAACTTATTATATAAAGTCAGAAATTGTAAGACTATCCACTTTTTGTCAATTCGCCTTTCAGCAGGAACTAGTAATGTTACTTTACCAAACAAGTACTATATTGTGACAAGTTATTCAAGTACAAACGAGTAAATTGTTGCGGAACTTATGAGTGTACCCAGCCATCTATTCACCAATATGTTGTTCAAGTATAATACTAACCTGATTCATTCAGTTATGAATTTTCTCATTAGTTCAAAAACTACACGTTTCAGGTGAGTGTTTTTTTTGAATAGTTCAACAGTATATTGGTGAGTAGATGGCTGCGGAACTCGCTGCGCTCGTCCCGCAGAGGTCCACCCATAAGTTCAGCAACAATTTACTTATTTGTACTTGAAAAATAACTTATTATATAAAGTCAGAAATTGTAAGAATATCCACTTTTTGTCAATTCGCCTTTCAGCAGGAACTAGTAATGTTACTTTACCAAACAAGTACTATATTGTGACAAGTTATTCAAGTACAAACGAGTAAATTGTTGCGGAACTTATGAGTGTACCCAGCCATCTATTCACCAATATGTTGTTCAAGTATAATACTAACCTGATTCATTCAGTTATGAATTTTTCTCATTAGTTCAAAAACTACACGTTTCAGGTGAGTGTTTTTTTTTGAATAGTTCAACAGTATATTGGTGAGTAGATGGCTGCGGAACTCGCTGCGTTCGTCCCGCAGAGGTTCACCCATAAGTTCCGCAATAATCCACTTATTTGTACAGGGTGTTTTTTTTATACAGGGTGTCCCACGGTGGATGGCGTATTAGACGTTTATGGAAAACTAAAAAACGGATCATTCTGAAAATTTGCCAACCCGGATAAACGACCATGATCTACACTTTAAAAATATTTTTGTTTATGCGGTGTTGCCCCTTTAACAAGGCAACTTATCTGTTTACTGATTTCTACTGATATTTAGACTGGTAATCTACTGACAAAACAAAATATGACCTGGCAACACTGAATTCTAGATAAAAGTTGTTCCAGACAGTTGATTAAATTAACCAATTCTTACCTAGCATTTCCATCGTACTGGTACTTGTAATGTCCATTGTCCAGTCCACTCTTGACGTTAAACTTCAACTTTTCATCCTTCAAAACCCCTGAATGGTACTTAAACTCTTGCTTAAGCTCAAAATTGGGTTCCACAATCTCGACATTCTTCACAAGCCCCAAAACATCGTGGTAAGTATAATGAGTGGAGCTCATTCCAGCTAAAGTTGTTTCCAACCGGCCGGCAACGTCGTAGACATAAGAAACCCTTGCTGATTGGTGCGGGAAAATTTTAGCTAAAATTTGCCCATCGTCGTTGTACATTATTTCATAGGGATGGCGATTCATTGGCGAGAAGTATTGGTATTTGAAAAAGCCCAACGAGGTTTGTAGGGAGAATGTGTGAATGTGGCCTCGAGGGGTTGTCAAGGATTGCAATGCCCCAGAATCATCGTATTGGAGTAGATAATCTGAGCCTCTTGGAGTTGTAACTTTGAGTGGCTAAAAATAATTCAATATTATTTAAACAATTATTACTACATTGAAGCTTATAACTTACCAAACTACTAAACATATCTTTGAAAGCATATTGCAAAGAAGACCCATCAGAGTATTTTATTTCAAACAATCGGCCTGCTCTGTCAAAGCCGTAAGTTTCACTTAATTCACCCCACTTCCAGCTGCTCAGCCTGCTGAATCTGTCATATTCAAGCTCCACTTCAGCAAATAGGCCATTTTTAGGCCCGAACTTAATTGGCCTTGAGGATCTGTCATATGTGACATTTAGGAGTTCGATTTTGTCGTCCATAAAGACGCTTATTGAAGCAGTTTCTCTATCGTACTCCATTGTAAGGATGTTTTCGCCGTTGACTCGTAATTTTTTGCCTACTTTTGCTATAGATCTGAGAATGTTTTTGTTGTTTTTAGCGTTTTGATTAGGCCTGACGTAATATCTGTAAGTGGGAAATTTATTTTTAAATTGTTTAGTAAAGATGTTATGGTCCCATGTAAATCTCTATAAGAAAATCTAAAGTTTCTATATAAAAAAGTCTGGTTGAGGAACCCGATGCACCAAAATCCAATACTCTACCCACCTAAGTCTGGTATACCTGATTCCTGATTCCTGTTTCCTGGCCGCATACCTACGTGTTTTGTAGTTTGAACCTGTGTATATTGTGACGCTTTAAAACTCAGCGGGAGTCTGTCAGTGATGCCCAATTCTCGGTAGCTCTCTATTTTTATTCCCTCCTATCCCCCATTGTCACATTTACCCCAATGCCCGTTTTTCCTGGGTGGTTAATACTTGCGTCTACGTAAATTTCTTTCCAGTTTTCCTGGTTCTATTCCTGGATCCTTACCCTTATCGTTGGGTGAGGTGTGTCCAAGATACTTAGTTTTTTTGCTTGTGTGCTCTGATGTAGAGCCATCCAGTCTTTCCTTGTATGTATTCATTCATTTTTGACTAATTTAGAAAATTCTTTTACCTTACTTTATTATTAGCGGTTCGATAAGCTTGAATTTTCAGTATGTTTTACCTCAAACCTTCAAGAATAGAGCCTCAAAGTTTCATCTCTGAGCCCCCGATAGTTTTTGAGGTAAAAATTCCAAAATAGAGGCTTGTCAATGTATTCATTTTTGCCTAATTTAGAAAATTCGCATCTTTATTATTAGCGGTTTGATCAGCTTGAATTTTTAGTATGTTTAAGTTCAAACCTTCAAGAATAGAGCCTCAAAGTTTCATCTCTGCGCCTATGATAGTTTTTGAGGTAAAAATTCCAAAATAGAGGCTTGTCAAAATATTCATTTTTGCCTAATTTAGAAAATTCGTAACTTTATTATTAGGGTTTCGATCTGCTTGAATTTTTAGTATGTTTTACCTCAAACCTTCAAGAATAGAGCCTCAAAATTTCATTTTTGCACCCCCGATAGTTTTTGAGGTAAAAATTCCAAAATAGAGGCTTGTCAATGTATTATATTTTTGTATGTTTGACTTCAAACCTTCAAGAATAGAGCCTCAAAGTTTCATCTCTGAGCCCCCGATAGTTTTTGAGGAAAAAATTCCAAAATAGAGGCTTGTCAATGTATTCATTTTTACCTAATTTAGAAAATTCGTAACTTTATTATTAGCCGTTTGATCAGCTTGAATTTTCAGTATGTTTTACCTCAAACCTTCAAGAATAGAGCCTCAAAGTTTCATCTCTGAGCCTCTGGAAGTTTTTGAGGTGAAAATTCCAAAATAGAGGCTTGTCAATGTATTCATTTTTGCCTAATTTAGAAAATTCATAACTTTATCATTAGCGGTTTGATCAGCTTAAATTTTTAATATGTTTGATCTAATACCTTCAAGAATAGAGCCTCAACATTTTATTTCTGAGCCCCCGATAGTTTTTGAGGTAAAAATTCCAAAATAGAGGCTTGTCAATATATTCATTTTTGCCTAATTTAGAAAATTCGTAACTTTATTATTAGCGGTTTGATCAGCTTGAATTTTTAGTATGTTTTACCTCAAACCTTCAAGAATAGAGCCTCAAAGTTTCATCTGTGCGCCTCTGATAGTTTTCGAGGTAAAAATTCCAAAATAGAGGCTTGTCAATGTATTCATTTTTGCGTAATTTAGAAAATTCGTAACTTGATTATTAGCGGCTTGATCAGCTTGAATTTTTAGTATGTTTTACTTCAAACCTTCAAGAATAGAGCCTCAAAGTTTCATCTCTGCGCCTATGATAGTTTTTGAGGTAAAAATTCCAAAATAGTGGCTTGTCAATATATTCATTTTTGCCTAATTTAGAAAATTCGTAACTTTATTATTAGGGTTTCGATCTGCTTGAATTTTTAGTATGTTTTATCTCAAACTTTCAAGAATAGAGCCTCAAAATTTCATTTTTGCACCCCCGACAGTTTTTGAGGTAAAAATTCCAAAATAGAGGCTTGTCAATGTATTATATTTTTGCCTTATTTAGAAAATTCGTAACTTTATCACTAACGGTTTCATCTGCTTGAATTTTTAGTATGTTTTACCTCAAACCTTCAAGAATAGAGCCTCAAAGTTTCATCTCTGCGCCTCCGATAGTTTTTGAGGTAAAAATTCCAAAATAGAGGCTTGTCAATATATTCATTTTTGCGTAATTTTGAAAATTGGTAACTTTATTATTAGCGGCTTGATCAGCTTGAATTTTTAGTATGTTTTACTTCAAACCTTCAAGAATAGAGCCTCAAAGTTTCATCTCTGCGCCTATGATAGTTTTTGAGGTAAAAATTCCAAAATAGAGGCTTGTCAATATATTCATTTTTGCCTAATTGAGAAAATTCGTAACTTTATTATTAGGGTTTCGATCTGCTTGAATTTTTAGTATGTTTTATCTCAAACTTTCAAGAATAGAGCCTCAAAATTTCATTTTTGCACCCCCGATAGTTTTTGAGGTAAAAATTCCAAAATAGAGGCTTGTCAATGTATTATATTTTTGCCTTATTTAGAAAATTCGTAACTTTATCACTAACGGTTTGATCTGCTTGAATTTTTAGTATGTTTTACCTCAAACCTTCAAGAATAGAGCCTCAAAGTTTCATCTCTGCGCCTCCGATAGTTTTTGAAGTAAAAATTCCAAAATAGAGGCTTGTTAATGTATTAATTTTTGCCTAATTTAGAAAATTCGTAACTTTATTATTAGCGGTTTGATCAGCTTGAATTTTCAATATGTTTGACTTCAAACCTTCAAGAATAGAGGCTCAAAGTTTCATCTCTGCGTCTCCGATAGTTTTAGAGGTAAAAATTCCAAAATAGAGGCTTGTCAATATATTCATTTTTGCCTAATTTAGAAAATTGGTAGCTTTATTATTAGCGGTTTGATCAGCCTGAATTTTCAGTATGTTTTACCTCAAATCTTCAGGAATAGAGCCTCAAAGTTCCATTTCTACGCCTCCGATAGTTTTTGAGGTAAAAATTCCAAAATAGAGGCTTGTCCATGTATTAATTTTTGCCTAATTTAGAAAATTCGGAACTTTATTATTAGCGGCTTGATCAGCTTGAATTTTTAGTATGTTTTACCTTAAACCTTCAAGAATAAAGCCTCAAAGTTTCATCTCTGAGCCCCCGATAGTTTTTAAGGTAAAAATTCCAAAATAGAGGTTTGTCAATGTATTCATTTTTGCCTAATTTAGAAAATTCGTAACTTTATTATTAGCGGTTTGATCAGCTTGAATTTTCAGTATGTTTTACCTCAAACCTTCAAGAAGAGAGCCTCAAAGTTTCATCCCTGAGCCCTCGATGTCAGGATTACAGACAAGGCATTTCTCTTTGAAAGGTTGCGGGGGCATTTGTGGGCCCAAATGGCAACCAGACTTTTTCTTATGGAGATTTACATGGGTAAAAGTGTCATTTAATCAATCTCTTACCTCCATTCGAATCTGTTTGCCAAATCTCCTCCTATTTCAGTACGTTGTTTGCTAGGCACAGGATAACTCTCACCTAGTAAGGCTTCTTTATCAGCCAAAATATTATAAGGAACAGTGTCTGTTGTGATTGAGTGGCCCCAAGCTGTCAAGCTGGCAACTCCACCATCCGGATAAAGAATTATTTTATTTTCTGTATCATCAACCTGAAAATTCATTAAAACATTTACCAAACATCTAAACTATATCCTATTCACAATGTGTAGTTCAAAAGTACGGGTAAATTTATCACCTTTCCGTATCAAATAGCATTGAAAGGTTATACATTTTACCTGTACCGTTAGACTACAGATTGTGAATAAAGATAAATTTACCTTAGTAGAAACAGTAGATCCTTTTATAAGCATGGCAACATGTCTTTCTTCATTTTCACTGACCCTTACTGTTGCGCCTTTGATGCTTAAGTCAAACGACAAGTTGATTACTTTGCCTGTAGGTGTCACTGCTGAAGTCAGTCTTCCAAATTCATCATAATTGTACACGTAACTTCTTCCACTGCTGTCTAATTTGGTCTTCAACAGCCCAGTTGGCCCATGATAATCAAATGTAACATTGTAGTTATCAGGTGTGCTTAGTTCATGCAGCATTCGCATTCTGGACATTTTCAAGCGACATTTTTGCCCTTTAGTATTTTCAATAGAATTCACTTGACTGGAATAGTCTCTAAGTAAAAACACCTTATTGCCTGCAGCATCTGTAACAGTACTCAACTTGCCATTGCTTGTGTTAACATTATACGTGAAAACATAGCTAGTTTCCCCAGTTAAAATATTCTTTGTAGCTATATGTTGCCCAAACCTATTAAAAATATAAATCTCTTGAGTTTCTGGACTGTAAATTTCATACTCTCTTGATATGCTTGAGTCTGGAATGCTAGCCATAACAGATCTTATCCTGTAATTAGCTTGATCCCCTATGTGTACGTGTCCATCAGGACTTATGGTAACAGCTGATATTGTGTTAAATTTGGAATTTGCAGCCAAATAATGATCAGCTTCAAAACAATCACATCCCCGCTCCAAGCAGTTGCACTTTGACTCTGCCCCAGCATACGGAGAAATCTTGCCATCAGTTTCAATTACTCGAACTCTATTGATTCGTTGTGAATCACTTTCAGCCACATATAGATTTCCTGCTGAACTAAATGCAATACTTTGAGGCATCACTAAAGTGGCATGGGTTGCTAAATCAACGTCATAACCAGAAAGGGGTGAAGCACAATGCAAAGGCCGTCCAGCAATTACTTTGACTCTTCCATCTGTTGTCAATTGTAGAATCATATGGTCGTCAATTATGTGGAGGGTGTTATCTAAGGGATTCATTGCCAGCTCTGTGGGCCATCTTAAATGGACTTCTTCAATGTTTAGAGTGCCTTCACAAGGCAATGGTTTCCAATGTGATTTGTGCATGTGATTTCCTATAACAGTAGTGACAATGCCATCCCTATCAACCATTCTTATGTTTGTTCCATCGGCAAAATATAATACATTATCATTTGAAACTGCAACTCCTTTTGGATAAGCTAGTTTGGCGTCTCTTGCTAAGGCTCCGTCTCCACAGTGGGCTTCATCGCCTGGCAGACATCGCTCGCCTGAGCCTACTACAGTTTCCCAATTGTGATCGGGATCGCTGAAGTCATCGGTGTTGCGGACTTTGATTATCTGGTGCGATTCTGGATCGGAGACGTATAGGGTACCATCCATCGGGCTTAAAGCCATGTGGTACCGGTAGGAAACACGTGTTGCGCTAGAAAATAATTGTTAGTATAGGATTTTGGTGGAATATGATAATTTTTGAAAGTTGTGAGGTTCTTCACAGGGGCGGATATAGGCCTTTTAAGTTAAAGTAATAGTCAGATTAGGTTAGTTTAAAAATTACACGTTTCAGGTGAGTGTCTTACCAATTACCATATCTTTGGTAAATTTTTGGCAAATTGAAATAAATTATATATCATTGGAAAGAAAATTAAATTCGCTCTAAATCTGTGCAAAATTGAGTTCGATAGCTTAAATTGTTTTCGAGCAATTGAGCCTCAAAGTTGACTTTAAGTTTAAATTTTGTGTCTTTTTCATGGAATAAAAATCGTAACTCTTGAATTAGGCAATTTTTGACAGGTGTCAAACTTGAAATGGATAGTAGGATGTCTAATGAGCTCATTAGAAAATTGACACCAGTCAAATGTTGGAAACTTTAATGCAATTTTGTTCGACGGTTACCGAGCAATCGAGGTTTTAATATTTTGAAATCAGAATCCAAAAGTATATAATACGTAAAAGGGTTTATTGTATTGTACAATTGGCGAGAGAGAAAGGGAGCTATGGAGAAAAGTGAAATGGAAGAGTAGTGGTGCAGCGGGAGACCGGGCTGTCGCGGCTAGAAGAAAATTACTTTTTTTATATGCTGTGTTTACAATTCGGAATATTTATTGTTATAATCAATCAAAAGTTGGGAAACTTGAAAAATTGAATTTTTAAGCCAATTAAGAATCTGATTTATACAGAATTTAAAGCTCTTTTGAATGATGTATAATTTATTTCAATTTGCTCAAAATTTACCAAAGATATGGGCAATTGTTCATGACCATGTCAGGATTTTGAAAATTTTCCAGAGCTAAAAGTATCCGCCACTGGTTCTTTATTGACATAACAAAATAGCGACAACATTTTCAAATATAATACAACAATACTTACTTCAATCTGACCAAAGTCTTGACGATTCCATCAGTTTGTATTTTCCTTATTAAATTGAAATCCCCCACGTAAATGGAACCATCCCTGTCACTGGCCAAAGCTACAGGTGCTAAAAGTCTTTGTTTGGTTGCCTGCCCTTCACAATCGTTACAATCCAGAGGTCGTTGATGTCCGTCACCCATCGTTGTCAGTATAACTCTGGGTTTGTGTTTAAGGTAAATGTTAGAGCCGTCACCCTTTTGAAGAATGCCTAAGTATATGGAATTCAATGATTAATAATTTTTGTGATAAATTTAATATTAGGTATTGTTATTACCTTCATGGAAATTGTATCGATGATGTATATCCAAATTCCAGCCTCCAACATCAGAAATACTCATATCGTGTCCGCTTAGTTTAGTGGTTTGTACATCCCAAATAATCTCCTTACAATCACTGTATTGATAGCCAACTTTGACTATAGCAGTAGTCACACCATATACTCTTTGCCTGTAGACATTCAATCTGTTCCAGGCATAAGTGAACTTAATAATGGGATCTGCTTCAAAAACTTTTTCAAAAAGAATTCCTTCAATTGTAATCCTTAAGTGTATTAACTTAAGAGTTGCTGGTATAACTTCAGGAGTTATTTGCAGCTGGATTGTAGACAAATACCCTGCTGCACGTGAGCTTTGATATACTAAGTGTAAACCAGTTCCAGCTATTTCTAAGCTTTCTTGAATCACCTGAGACTCAGCTAAAATGGCACTTTTATCTGGACAAGCACCTTGAAATCCATGTTTCCAAGTTGCAAGCACAACAGGCTTCATTGTATCATAATCATGTGTGGTACAAGGCTGCGCTATCAGTGAAACAGCTTTTTCTTCTCCTAGAGTCATAATGACATTGTCTACTATTACAACTTCATTCCATGGTACAAAAACTATGTGGTTTTGAGGCCTAAAAGGCGATCTACCAAATTGTAGTGTCACAGCTCCCCCTCCATTGACCAACAAGTCAAACCAGCCATCGTCCCGGGTAAGGGTGAAACCTTCCAAGGGGGTACTGGTACTGACGCGTACCCCCATAAGACCTGTGCCCATTTGGGTGATCACACGACCTCGAACCACTGCAGAGCGACTGGAAATTTTCAATATTAATCAAAATTAATCTCTAATGAAAAGGGGTGCACAACGATATACAAAGCAAAACAAAAAAAGACACACAAACACAAGTGGGTAATATATAGACACACAAAAAATTATAATAAATAATTAGGCACAATAATTGGATTATTATATTATATAATATAACATCCTCTACACTAAAGTTGTGCTTGTCATGGTGAGGCCCTTACCTCGTATTGAAGTGGTTCCAAAAGACACTGGAGCAGCAATTGAAAAGAAAATTAAATGCCAATAGGTTAGTTGTTGTTATTGTGGAGGAATAATTTTGATACATAAAACACCACATTGTCAAACATAATAATATAAAGTTACAACAATAGGATAATGTTTTAACTGGGGCACAACATTGCGTGTTAAATTTGCCGAATAAATATCGGAAAATAATTGAAAAACTTACCTTTCATTGAATGTTTCTTGACGGGCATAGTTTTGTAAACTTCCTTCGTCAATGAGAAACTTCATTCGTTCAAAGAATGAGGCTGTAATGGCAGGGGGTTGCTTCCTCAACAAAATATCAATGGGTTTTGGAGAAGAAACACACAACTGGCTGCTTTTACATACCGCATCTGAGCAACACTCTGGATCTTCACAATCTGACAAACCATCTATAAAAGTTTCATAATTATAATGTGAATAATTATGATGATGTAGGTATACCTTTATCATTATCTCTTCCATCATTACAATTTTGCTCCAACAAAACACTGCAATCAGGTCCGTCCCAGCCATTGTCGCACCTGCACTCCCACATACCATCACCGTTGAACCGACATTGTCCGTGCGCCGAGCAACTGTTCGGACATCCCTCTATAGTGCAATGTTTGCCGTTCCAGCCTGTAACGCACAGGCAAGTGCCGTTTTTGCACTGGCCGTGCTCGTTGCATCTGGGATCGCACTGTTTCAAGTTGCAAAACTCCCCAGACCAGCCGGGATCGCACTGGCACGCTTCGGAAACGCAGTGGCCGTGGTTGCCGCAGTCCAAATCGCAAAGTTCTTTGGAAAGGAATTGTGTTAGTTTGGGCTAATTCTAGAGATAATCGGTTCTAGCCAAAATGTGGAAAGTCGCGGGAGCATTTGTGAACCCAAATGGCATTATTTGATCAAAAAAAGAAGAAGTAGAATATCCAGAGACTAAAATTGCTGGGGTTTTTAGCAGAAATTGGTGATAATGTAATATTTTGATTATTCCCGGCTCTTGGTTTGCTAGTGAATCAAGTCCAGTGCATTAGAAACTGGTTAATGATTCAATATTTGGACTATTCCCGGCTCTTGGTTGCAATTCAAGTCTAAATCTGGAGATTCTACTTCTTTTTCTCCTGATCAAATAATGCCATTTGGGTTGACAAATGCCCCCGTAACCTGTCAAAGAGGAATGCCTGGTCTGTAATTCTGACTGAAGCCGCTTGTCTTTGGAGATTCTCCAGAGACAAGCGGTTTTAGTCAGAATTACAGACTAGGCATTCCTCTGTTAAATGTTACGGGGGCATTTGTGAGTCCAAATGGTATTATTTGAGCAGAAGAAGGAGTAGAATCTCTAGAGATAAGCGGTTGTAGTCAGAATTACAGACAAGGCATTCCTTTTTGGAAGTTTGCGGAGGCATTTGTGAGCCCAAATGGCATTATTTGATCAGGAAATCTGATAGACACACACTGAGTGATATTTCTTCCTTAGAGTGAATGGTCTAATTTTTGATTTTTTTTCTGGAATTATGGGAAACTTGGAGAACCAAATATTTTTTCTTTTATTGAGGAAGCTTTCAGCTTCAACATATTGAAATTTTATGGAAAAATAGCTCAGGATAACGGAGCTATGATTTTTACAATCCGATAAACACATTGAGTGATATTTCTGCCTTAGAGTCAATGGTCTAATTTTTTATTTTTTTCCTGGAAATCTGGGAAACTTGGAGGAACCAAATATTTTTTCGTTTATTAAGGAAGCTTTGAGCTTCAATATATTGAAATTTTATAGAAAAATTGCTCAGGATAACGGAGCTATGATTTTTATAATCCGATGGACACATTGAGTGATATTTCTGCCTTAGAGTCAATGGTCTAATTTTTTATTTTTTTTATGGAAATCTGGGAAACTTGAAGAAACCAAATATTTTTTCATTTATCAAGGAAGCTTTCAGCTTCAACATATTGAAATTTTATGGAAAAATAGCTCAGGATAAAGGTGCTATGATTTTTACAATCCGATAAACAAATTGAGTGATATTAGTGGCTTAGAGTCAATGATCTACTTTTTCATTTTTCTTCTAGAATTCTGGGAAACCTGGGGGAACCAAATATTTTTTTATATATCAAGGGAGCTTTCAGCTTCAACATGCTAAGATTTCATTGAAAAATAGCCCAGGATAACGGAACTATGATTTTTACAATCCAATAAACACACTGAGTGATATTTCTTCCTTAGAGTCAATGGTCTAATTTTTGATTTTTTTGTTGAAATCTGGAATACTTGAAAGAACCAAATATTTTTTCATTTATTAAGGAAGTTTTCAGCTTCAACATATTGAAATTTTATGGAAAAATAGCTCAGCATAACAGAGTTATGATTTTTACAATCCGATAAACTCACTGAGTGATATTACTGACTTAGAGTCAATGGTCTAATTTTTGAATTTTTTTTTGGAAATCTGGAAAACCCGGAGAAACCAAATATTTTTTCGTTTATTAAGGAAGCTTTTAGCTTCAACATATTGAAATTTTATGCAAAAATAGCCCAGGATAACGGAGCCATGATTTTTACAATCCGATAAACACACTGAGTGATATTACTGCCTTAGACTCAATGGTCTATTTTTTGATTTTTTTTCTGGAAATCTGGGAAACCTGGAGGAACCAAATATTTTTTTATACATCAAGGAAGCTTTCAGCTTCAACGTTCTAAAATTTCATAGAAAAATAGCCCAGGATAACGGAGCTATGATTTTCACAATCCGATAAACACACTGAGTGATATTACTGCCTTAGACTCAATGGTCTAATTTTCGATTTTTTTTCTGCAAATCTGGGAGACTTGTAGGAACCAAATATTTTTTTATATATCAAAGAAGCTTTTAGCTTCAAGATGCTTAGATTTCATAGAAAAATAGCCCAGAATAACGGAGCTATGATTTTTACAATCCGATAAACACACTGAGTGATTTTACTGCCTTAGACTCAATGGTCTAATTTTCGATTTTTTTTCTGTAAATCTGGGAAACCTGGAGGAACCAAATATTTTTTTGTATATCAAGGAAGCTTTCAGCTTCAACGTTCTAAAATTTCATAGAAAAATAGCCCAGGATAACGGAGCTATGATTTTTACAATCCGATAAACACACTGATTGATATTACTGCCTCAGACTCAATGGTCTAATTTTCGATTTTTTTTCTGGAAATCTGGGAAACCTGGAGGAACCAAATATTTTTTTATATATCAAGGAAGCTTCCAGCTTCAACATGCTGAGATTTCATAGAAAAATAGTCCAGGATAACGGAGCTATGATTTTTACAATCCGATAAACACACTGAGTGATATTACTGCCTTAGACTCAATGGTCTAATTTTCGATTTTTTTTCTGGAAATCTGGGAAACCTGGAGGAACCAAATATTTTTTTATATGTCAAGGAAGCTTCCAGCTTCATCATGCTGAGATTTCATAGAAAAATAGCCCAGGATAACGGAGCTATGATTTTTAAAATCCGATAAACACACCGAGTGATATTACAGCCTTAGACTCAATGGTCTAATTTTTGATTTTTTTTCTGGGAATCTGGGAAACCTGGAGGAACCAAATATTTTTTTATATATCAAGGAAGCTTCCAGCTTCAACATGCTGAGATTTCATAGAAAAATAGCCCAGGATAACGGGGCTATGATTTTTACAATCCGATAAACACACTGAGTGAAATTACTGCCTTAGACTCAATGGTCTAATTTGTGATTTTTTTTCTAGAAATCTGTGAAACCTGGAGGAACCAAATATTTTTTTATATATCGAGGAAGCTTCCAGCTTCAACATGCTGAGACTTCATAGAAAAATAGCCCAGGACAACGGAACTATGATTTTTACAATCCGATAAACACACTGAGTGATATTACTGCCTTAGACTCAATGGTCTAATTTTTGATTTTTTTTCTGGGAATCTGGGAAACCTGGAGGAATCAAATATTTTTTTATATATCAGGGAAGCTTTCAGCTTCAACATGCTGAGATTTCATAGAAAAATAGCCCAGGATAACAGAGCTATGATTTTTACAATCCGATAAACACACTGAGTGATATTACTGCCTTAGACTCAATGGTCTAATTTTCGAATTTTTTTCTGGAAATCTAGGAAACCTGGAGGAACCAAATATTTTTTTGTATATCAAGGAAGCTTTCAGCTTCAACATTCTGAGATTTCATAGAAAAATAGCCCAGGATAACGGGGCTATGATTTTTACAATCCGATAAACACACTGAGTGATATTACTGCCTCAGATTCAATGGTTTAATTCTTGATTTTTTTTCTGGAAATTTGGGAAACCTGGAGGAACCAAATATTTTTTTATATATCAAGGAAGCTTTCAGCTTCAACCTTCTGAAATTTCATAGAAAAATAGCCCAGGATAACGGAACTATGATTTTTACAATCCGATAAACACACTGAGTGATATTTCTGCCTTAGAGTCAATGGTTCTATCCTGTGAATTACAGAAAAAGCCTCCCACTGTGAAAAGTCGCGGGTGCATTTGCCATCCTAAACGGCATTAATCAAATAAAACCATTACCTTTAGAACAATCTTCTCCGGACCAGCGAGGCTCACAGGTGCAAGTCTGCGACTCCAAATCAAAACTACCATGCCCGGAACAATCCGGCAAACACTGCAAGGCTTCCTTGTCCATTTGCGAGCAGTCCTGACCTTTCCAGCCCTTTTTGCATATACAGGAGCCTTCCAGGCAGTATCCATGACTTGAGCAAGTGGGATGAGGACAATCGGCTTCTTCGCAAAACTTGCCCTTGTATCCGCGGATACAGTTGCATTTACCGTTGGCGCAATGGCCGTGTCCGTTACAATCTGGAACTTCGCATTCGTCGTGTCTGAGTTGGCACTCTTTGCCTTTCCAGCCTGGATTACATTGGCATTCGCCGTTGATGTATTCGCCTCGTTGACTGCACAAGACTGGACATACACCTATGTAACATTGTATTGTATAAAATTGTATAAAATTCAATGTTATTGTAATTACTTTCACTACAATCGTCTCCTCCAAATCCAGGATTACATTGGCAATGGCCCATAAGGCACTCGCCCTTGCCGCTACATCCATTAGGACAGTTGTGGGTCATGTCATCTGCCACTTCAGCTTCCATTGTGATTTCTTGTGGGTCTCCATCATCGTTGTATAAGGAGAGAAACCAGTGGCCTTGCTCCATGTAGTGGGTGACTTCTTTTTTAACTGTGGACTAGAAATAATTGTTCAAATAATAAGCTTCAATTGTGTGACATGTATAGACTTACATGTGACGCTCTAGTTGTTCTAGCTTTGAACCCACTCAAAACCTCTAAAATGTCATATTGGGTATGGGTTGGTAAGGCGTTTCTTCTTGCATAAACACCTATGCTTGCTCCTCTTGGTATACTATAGTCGAACTTTACATAGGCTGCTTCAGGGTGGTAAAACTGCATGTTCCAGTAACCGTAAGGAGGGATTTCTTTGGTCAGCCTTTGACCTAGGGAGGTTTGCGAAAAGGTGGTACCGTCTGGTGGAAATGAGTGAGCGGGAAACGTACGCGCACCTAAAGAAATTTCAGGGTTTATATGTGAATAAATTTTCAATATATGCATGCATGCAAACATCTAAAAATCATGCGTTTAATAAGTCAATGGTCAATGAAATCATCACCTAATAATGACATAAATGGTTTGATTAGTTTTTCCGTGATATGATGACTCATCAATGAATTACCTTCCAATATAAGTATAGTAGGCGGTTGAGGTAGTTTTGTTGTGACTTCAGGACAGGCACTACTACTAGTGGGTTCTTCAGTAGTAGTAATTTTCTTGGGCCCATACTCTTTGGAAGAAAACAGGCCATCGTAGTCGTAATAATCCGAACCGTTATTAAAATCTAAAAGTTCATTAGATGCAGATAAGCAAGGACACTCGCACTCGCAAGCTCCACCCTGGTGCTCCGCATGCTCCGTGTTAGCTTTTTCAACAAAAGGAGCTTCTTTAACAATTGGATCTTGCCCGTTAGTGGGCACAGAAACAGACAGCACGTAAACTGATTGAGGAGTTTGAGGATCGGGATCTGTGGCTATTGTAACATTTACCAATATGCGCTTGGTGGTTTGTTGAGGAGGGATTTCAAAGAACTGGACTTTTGGTTGTTGGTGTTTGAGGTGAGGGAATTCGGGAGGAGGCACTGCTAAGTTTACATCAGTGAGTTCTTTGGATGAATCCAGTTTATCGACGGTAAAAATTGGCGAATCGTGTTGCATTTCGTTGGAATTTGGAGCAACATCTTCTTCACTTGCAGTAGTTGTTTGTTCATCAACTAAATCTTCAGTGGTTGTTGTCTCTGAGTCTTCTTCAGTGGTTATTGTCTCTGAGTCTTCTTCAGTAGTTGTTAGCAGTGCCTCATCATCAGTAGTTGAGGATAAAGTAGGACTAGTATTAGTGGAAGAAACACTTTCATGCAACAAAATACCCTCATCATCATCATCAGGCCCATGCAAACTACTTGGAAAAAACACTGATTCATGCAGTAGGTCTCTACGATTTCTCACTACAGTTTTACCTCCACTATTTGCAGTAGATGTCGCAGGCTTTGGCCTACTTGATGTCGATTGGTTGGTTTCAGATGGAGCGGTTTTTGAGGCAGGAACGATTTCGGTATTATCACCCACAAGCACCGCACAAGGTTTGGTTGTTTGGTAGGACCAGCTTAGGAGGCTCGATGCTAGAAAATAATAAATTAATGTCGTGGTAATCCATTAGCTAAGTACAGGGTCAGTGAAAACAAAAAATGTAATTATTTAATGCTCCAGTAAACGTAGTCATTTATTATGGACACCGGGGCGATTTATCTCTCTGCGTGGTGCCACCACCTACGACGTTCTAAATAGGAATTGGGAAATAGAATTTTGTTGAGGGTGTATTTTATGCGAGGGGTTTATAGTGGATTATGATATAAGTTATTGGAAATTTTAGTACATATAATATGTCGCAATGTTTTGGACAATAATGGAACGTAGCTGGTGCATTTTTTAAACCAAAAGGCATACGTGATTATTCATATTGTCCATGATTTACATTAAATGCTGTTTTCAGGCTCAAGAGTTTAAAGATGCAAATATTATTACATGGAAGATGTTTTATTTTATGAAATTAAAGCTATATTTTCCGCGGTAAAGGTGTTCGTCGCAGTGTTTCACACTTATTTGGCACACGCGCCACCGGGAAATTCGCAAAATCGTCGTTTTGCGAACTTAAAAACTATTGGGACTTGTTTGGACTTGTTGCTCAGTGACAGTGACGCCTACCCAACTTAAGGTAAGCAGTTTTAACATTTTTGAGGTGATTTCAATAGCATTTTTAGTATGTTTTACCTCAAACTTTCAAGAATAGAGCCTCAAAGTTTCATCTCTGAGCCCCTGATAGTTTTTGAGGTAAAAATTCTAAAATAGAGGCTTATCAATGTAATAAGAAAATTCATACCTTTATTATTAGCGATTTGATCAGCTTGAATTTTTAGTATGTTTTACCTCAAATCTTCAAGAATAGAGCCTCAAAGTTTCATCTCTGCGAACCCAATGTTTTTTGAGCTTAAAATTCCAAAATAGAGGCTTGTCAATGTATCAATTTTTGCCTAATTAGGAAAACTCGTAACTTTATTATTAACGGTTTGATCAGCATAAATTTTTAGTATGTTTTACCTCAAACCTTCAAGAATAGAGCCTCAAAGTTTCATATCTGAGCCCCCGATAGTTTTTGCGGTGAAAATTCCAAAATAGAGCTTGTCAATGTATTCATTTTTGCCTAATTTAGAAAATTCGTAACTTTATTATTAGCGGTTCGATTAGCTTGAATTTTTAGTACGTTTTACCTCAAACTTTCAAGAATAAAGCCTCAAAGTTTCATCTCTGAGCTCCTGATAGTTTTTGAGGTGAAAATTCCAAAATAGAGGCTTGTCAATGTAATAATTTTTGCCTAATTTAGAAAATTCGTAACTTTATTATTAGCGGTTTGATCAGCTTGAATTTTTAGTATGTGTTACCTCAAACCTTCAAGAATAGAGCCTCTAAGTTTCATCTCTGAGTCCCTGATAGTTTCTGAGGTGAAAATTCCAGAATAGAGGCTTGCCAATGTATTAATTTTTGCCTAATTTAGAAAATTCGTAACTTTATTATGAACGATTTGATCAGCTTGAATTTTTAGTATGTTTTACCTCAAACCTTCAAGAATAGAGCCTCAAAGTTTCATCTCTGCGAACCCAATGTTTTTTGAGCTTAAAATTCCAAAATAGAGGCTTGTCAATGTATTAATTTTTGCCTAATTAAGAAAACTCGTAACTTTATTATTAACGGTTTGATCAGCATACATTTTTAGTATGTTTTACCTCAAACCTTCAAGAATAGGGCCTCAAAGTTTCATATCTGAGCCCCCGATAGTTTTTGATGTGAAAATTCCAAAATAGAGCTTGTCAATGTATTCATTTTTGCCTAATTTAGAAAATTCGTAACTTTATTATTAGCGGTTCGATTAGCTTGAATTTTTAGTATGATTTACCTCAAACTTTCAAGAATAAAGCCTCAAAGTTTCATCTCTGAGCTTTTGATAGTTTTTGAGGTGAAAATTCCAAAATAGAGGCTTGTCAATGTAATAATTTTTGCCTAATTTAGAAAATTCGTAACTTTATTATTAGCGGTTTGATCAGCTTGAATTTTTAGTATGTGTTACCTCAAACCTTCAAGAATAGAGCCTCTAAGTTTCATCTCTGAGTCCCTGATAGTTTCTGAGGTGAAAATTCCAGAATAGAGGCTTGCCAATGTATTAATTTTTGCCTAATTTAGAAAATTCGTAACTTTATTATGAACGATTTGATCAGCTTGAATTTTTAGTATGTTTTACCTCAAACCTTCAAGAATAGAGCCTCAAAGTTTCATCTCTGCGAACCCAATGTTTTTTGAGCTTAAAATTCCAAAATAGAGGCTTGTCAATGTATTAATTTTTGCCTAATTAAGAAAACTCGTAACTTTATTATTAACGGTTTGATCAGCATACATTTTTAGTATGTTTTACCTCAAACCTTCAAGAATAGGGCCTCAAAGTTTCATATCTGAGCCCCCGATAGTTTTTGATGTGAAAATTCCAAAATAGAGCTTGTCAATGTATTCATTTTTGCCTAATTTAGAAAATTCGTAACTTTATTATTAGCGGTTCGATTAGCTTGAATTTTTAGTATGATTTACCTCAAACTTTCAAGAATAAAGCCTCAAAGTTTCATCTCTGAGCTTTTGATAGTTTTTGAGGTGAAAATTCCAAAATAGAGGCTTGTCAATGTAATAATTTTTGCCTAATTTAGAAAATTCGTAACTTTATTATTAGCGGTTTGATCAGCTTGAATTTTTAGTATGTGTTACCTCAAACCTTCAAGAATAGAGCCTCTAAGTTTCATCTCTGAGTCCCTGATAGTTTCTGAGGTAAAAATTCCAAAATAGAGGCTTGCCAATGTATTAATTTTTGCCTAATTTAGAAAATTCGTAACTTTATTATGAACGATATGATCAGCTTGAATTTTTAGTATGTTTTGCCTCAAACCTTCAAAAATAGAGCCTTAAAGTTTTATCTCTGAGCCCCTGATAGTTTTTGAGATTAAAATTACAAAATAGAGGCTTGTCAATGTATTCATTCTTGCCTAATTTAGAAAATTCGTAACTTTATTATTAGCGGTTTGATCAGCTTGAATTTTTAGTACGTGTTACCTCAAACCTTCAAGAATAGAGCCTCTAAGTTTCATCTCTGAGTCCCTGATAGTTTCTGAGGTAAAAATTCCAAAATAGAGGCTTGTCAATGTATTAATTTTTGCCTAATTTAGAAAATTCGTAACTTTATTATTAACGGTTTGAACAGCTTGAATTTTTAGTGTGTTTTACCTCAAACCTTCAAGAATAGAGCCTCAAAGTTTCATCTCTGAGCCTCCAATAGTTTTTGAGCTTTAAATTCCAAATTAGAGGCTTGTTAATGTATTAATTTTTGTCTAATTTAGAAAATTCGTAACTTTATTATTAGCGGTTTGATCAGCTTGAATTTTTAGTACGTGTTACCTCAAACCTTCAAGAATAGAGCCTCTAAGTTTCATCTCTGAGTCCCTGATAGTTTCTGAGGTAAAAATTCCAAAATAGAGGCTTGTCAATGTATTAATTTTTGCCTAATTTAGAAAATTCGTAACTTTATTATTAATGGTTTGAACAGCTTGAATTTTTAGTGTGTTTTACCTCAAACCTTCAAGAATAGAGCCTCAAAGTTTCATCTCTGAGCCTCCAATAGTTTTTGAGCTTTAAATTCCAAATTAGAGGCTTGTTAATGTATTAATTTTTGTCTAATTTAGAAAATTCGTAACTTTATTATTAGCGGTTTGATCAGCTTGAATTTTTAGTATGTTTTACCTCAAACCTTCAAGAATAGAGCCTCAAAGTTTCATCTCTGAGCCTCCGATAGTTTTTGAGGTAAAAATTCCAAAATAGAGGCTTGTCAATGTATTCATTTTTGCCTAATTTAGAAAATTCGTAACTTTATTATCAGCGGTTTGATCAGCTTGAATTTTTAGTATGTTTTACCTCAAACCCTCAAGAATAGAGCCTCAAAGTTTCATCTCTGCAAACCCAATAGTTTTTGAGCCTAAAATTCCAAAATAGAGGCTTGTCAACGTATTAATATTTGCATAATTTAGAAAATTCGTAACTTCATTATTAGCGGTTTAATCAGCTTGAATTTTCAGTATGTTTTACCTCAAACCTTCAAGAATAGAGCTTCAAAGTTTCATCTCTGAGACCCTGATAGTTTTTGAGGTAAAAATTCCAAAATAGAGGCTTGTCAATGTATTCATTTTTGCCTAATTTAGAAAATTCGTAACTTTATTATTAGCGGTTCGATCAGCTTGAATTTCTAGAATGTTTTACCTCAAACCTTCAAGAATAGACTTAACAGGACCTGGTAGGACTTGACAGGACCTGACAGGACTTGACAGGACCTAACAGTACCCATTAACTACTTGGCAGGACCCATACAGTACCTATCAGAAATGATATTAAGTCTGTTCCAACGCAGCAGGAAACGGTACAATGTACCGTCATGATTCTGCGCAAAGCGTAAAATTTGATGAAGGCAGGACCTTGCAAGACTTGGCAGTACATGGCAGGACTTTATTGACAGGAGTGACAGGACTTGGCAGGATTTGATAAGACCTGTCAAAAATGATATTTACTGGTTTTTCGTTCACGCATTCACATTTTTCGTCTACATCTTAACCAATTTTAATTCAGAAAAACACAAATATATTTCAGAAAGCCTCAATTTTACAGATTTTTCAAATGGAATTCGGGAAACCTCAATTGTAAATTAGATAACATCAGATGTAATTCAGATACAGTGTTGCCATTTGCGCGTATTTTACCCGAAATTCGGGTATTTTGGTGTTGCTTGATTGCTTATGTGGGTAAAATATTGAAAAGGGGTAATTTGGGTGTTTTGCAAATTTCTATTGGAATTTCAAATCTATCCAAAACACGAGCCCGCCGTATATTAACAAATATAATTAAATTCTTATTTATACGAACTCAGTGACATACGAATTTTTGTAAGCACCATCTCTTGCTTTTTGCGGTAAAACAGGACGAGACACACAACCTGACAGGACTTTGCAGGATCTGACAAAATTTTGCAGGAACTGACAAGACTTTGCAGGTCCCGACCGGAGTTTCAAGGACTTGACAAGACTCGGCAGAACCAGGACTTGACAGGACTTGAACAATTGTGTTTTAGGCAGGTAGGAGGTGTACAAAATTCATGGATCTGCTCAGTCCTGAGAAATAATTGATGAAATATTTTTGGGCGTTTCTCAGAAATCACCCTGTATTTCATAAACTAAAAGGAATTTGGCAACACAGTAAACGAGACTTAAATGAGTGTAAACAATTCCTCAAAGGGGAATTTTCTACGCATAATTCCTCAAAATTCCTACAAATTCCTCCAAATACCACAGCACGAACTTCTCCAAATACCCCACAAATTCCTCTAAAAAAAGGGAAAATTTTGAAACTTTTTGTATGTAAAGAGGAAGGTGAGAAGCTCATTTTCCCAAAGTTTAAACTTTTTCCAGTGGAAAACAGTAACACGAAAAATCTTGGAAATCAACCTACAATAACTGAATTAGTTGAAAATACAGTCTCACTAATTTCAAAGTTTTCCTGGAAAACTAGCGAAGGGAAAATTTTGAAACTTTTTGCATGTAAAGAGGAAGGTGAGAAGCTCAATTTCCCAGAATTTCAAATTTTTCCAGTAGAAAATTATAACATGAGGAATCTTGGAAATCAACCTACAAAAACTGAATTAGTTGAAAATACAGTCTCACACATTTCAAAATGTTCCTGGAAAACTAGTAAAGGGAAAATTTTGAAATTTTTTGCATGTAAAGAGGAAGCTAAGAAGTTCATTTTCCCAAAATTTCAAATTTTTCCAGTAGAAAACAGCAACATGAAAAATCTTGGAAATCAACCTACAAAAACTGAACTAGTTGAAAATAGAGTTTTACATATTTCAAAGTGTTCCTGGAAAACTAGTCAAGGGAAAATTTTGAAACTTTTTGCATGTAAAAAGGAAAGTGAGAAGCTCATTTTCCCAAAATTTCAAATTTTTCCAGTGGAAAACAGTAACATGAAAAATTTTGGAAATCAGCCTACAAAAACTGTATTCATTATTCTTTTGAATTTTTTAAATTTGACAATTTCCTTTAAATTCTGCATAAATTCCTCACAAATTCTCCCAAATTCCCCATAAATTCCTCCAAATTCCCTATAAATTCCCCAAATTCTCATAAATTCGGATGAGTTCCTTCAAATTCCACACAAATTCTTCTAAATTTCCCACAAATTCCTCTAAATTCCCAACATTTTTGGCAAAGAATTCCTAGGTGGTTTGCCCCTTATTGCTCTTACACAAAAAAGTCTGACTTTCTACCTATGTCTGTTATATAGACTTTGAAACCATCCGACTGATGTGCCCCAAACCAGTTTAATATATGAAAGGCAATAATGGGAAGAAGATTTTAGACCACTAATTACAGGTTTAAAAGGTCAAATTGTGACAGGTGTAGATTTTTTGAACCATGTCTTTGTAACAGATTTTGCTGAAATTTTTCATACACTTTAAGTTCGGGTGATTTAAGATTTTGGAATCTTGACACGCTCATGAATATTTGCTTATATCTCTGATGAAATTTGAGAAAATTGTCTACAATTATACATCATTGAAAAGAGCATTAAATTCTCTATAAGCCTGTGTAAAATTAATTTTTGTAGCTTTCAGAATTCCCAAAATATTAGGCCTCAAAGTTGAAATTTAGTCGACATTTTGTCTAAAAGGCATACAGGCCTTAAATGCTGTTTTCTTGATACTTTAAGGTCTATTTCGGCTCAAGAGCCGGTAATAATCAAAATTTGATCAATTGGGTTTTGTGTGAACACCATGTTGCAACCAACTCTTGAGCTCAAAAAAAAAAATCAAGTGGCATCATTTGTAACGTGTAAAAGGGTCTTCATTGTGCCCAGCACCCTGACCTAATATATATAATTTCTACCTGAAGCTAAACGCCAGCTGGCAAGGCACACACACACATGGTATAACCCACGTTTCGGCAATAAATAAAACTTTTTTTTGCCCACACCATAGGACTAAATGAAAGAATTTGTAACACGAGGAATGTTCATCCTCCCTTGAATAAATTCCTCAAGTATTGATGAGTGAACATTCCATATATAAGATTCAAGAATTGAAAATACACACAGATGTTGTAGCTCAATATGGGTGCCTCATTGATAAACAAAAGCCATAATTTCAAGCTAAAGCCTTTTACAGAAGGCTGTTTATTTCACAAGTGAAAACTTATATGCAGCTGTTTCAAAATATATATACAGAGTGATACATTCTAATATCTATATATAAGACAAAAAGCAGATATATTTATTATACACAGTGACCAATTCTTACCTGATATATAAGACAAAGCGGCAATCAAAACGACAGAAACAACGATAAAACCAATCGCTGTACATTTCCAGGTACACCTGGATGCTAGGCCTTTCCTAAAATGAAACCTGGACGCAGTGGGTGGAAAGTGGCTGCTGTTAGGTCTTCTCAAATTGTTGCGGACGGGTAAAACGGGCATTTGGCCACCATAAGACAAACTGTTTGTCCCAACTTGGCCCACTGGAATCGAGTTTTTCATGTCTTTTGATGGACTGCTGCAGGATGAGTTTGGTTTGTAGTCGATTACCGAGTTTTTTGAATGATCTGTAACAAAATAATAATTATAATTGCATGAAATTGCCCTTCCTGCCTGCTTTTCCATATGGTGCAGTTCTATATAATTATTATATACCATATGGCCTAAAAGAAAAGGAATTTCGAACCCAAAGGAGATGAAATCTCTTTGCGTTGACCATATGATCTTTTTTGGGTTTCTACCTGAAGAATAATAATGACTTTTCGGGCCTTCGTCCACTAAAAGCGATTTCGATAAATGTTGAAATTGGAAATTTTCGGTATTTGCGCGACAATTCCCTATTAGAATTGAATCGGTAATGAGGTAAACTGCACACGTTCGGGAAATGGAATTGTTTCCAATAGGCGTTTGGATAGATAAATGGGACGTTTGGGCTTCATTATTTTTAAATAACTGTTTTATATACTACCTACTGATTTTAATATACATATTTGGAGTAAATTTGTCCAGTCAAGTTTCATATTCTCTCTATTCCAGGCTCTTGAATGTTGGGGTTAGAATCCAGAAAATTCATACTCTATGGTCTTTCCATCCACAGACGCGTTTCGATCTATCAGATCTCATCAGTGTGAATAGGAAAGCAAAGAAAACTAGCTCAGATTCAGATTGAAGTTTCCCATCGTATAATTGAAGAGATAAGCCAAAAAAGCTTTTGGGTTCATACCCCATTAATAGAGGTCCTAACGATTTAGATTTTGGAAAACTTTGAAGAGTCATAACTTTTTTTCTATTATAGATAGGAAGCTAAAACTTTCACTGAATTTAAGCCCTTTCAAAGGACTACAATCCCTGAAAATTTCAGCTCATTTGCACTTATAGTTCCTGAGATAAAATCGTGTTAAGCAATTTGGGGTGATTTATCAATTTTTCAATTTTTCTGAGTGCCTTTTTTCATAGATTTCGGCTTCAAATCTGGGAATAATTTAGTGTATGGAGTTTGGGGTATGTTGATTGACCATTAGGATACAAAATCTCGACAAAAAAAAATTGAAATTTCATCGTTTTAGTAAGAAGGTAGGTACCTACCTTATGATTTAGATTTTGGAAAATTTTGAAAGGTCATAACTTTTTTTCTATTATAGATAGGAAGCTGAAACTTTCACTGAATTTTAGCCCTTTCAAAGGACTACAATCCCTGAAAATTTCAGCTCATTTGCACTTATAGTTCCTGAGATAAAATCGTGTTAAGCAATTTGGGATGATTTATCAATTTTTCAATTTTTCTGAGTGCCTTTTTTCATAGATTTCGGCTTCAAATCTAGGAATAATTTAGTGTATGGAGTTTGGGGTATGTTGATTGACCATTAGGATACAAAATCTCGACAAAAAAAAAATTTGAAATTTCATCGTTTTAGTAAGAAGGTACCTACCTTATGATTTAGATTTTGGAAAATTTTGAAAGGTCATAACTTTTTTTTCTATTATAGATAGGAAGCTGAAACTTTCACTGAATTTTAGCCCTTTCAAAGGACTACAATCCCTGAAAATTTCAGCTCATTTGCACTTATAGTTCCTGAGATAAAATCGTGTTAAGCAATTTGGGATGATTTATCAATTTTTCAATTTTTCTGAGTGCCTTTTTTCATAGATTTCGGCTTCAAATCTAGGAATAATTTAGTGTATGGAGTTTGGGGTATGTTGATTGACCATTAGGATACAAAATCTCGACAAAAAAAAAATTTGAAATTTCATCGTTTTAGTAAGAAGGTACCTACCTTATGATTTAGATTTTGGAAAATTTTGAAAGGTCATAACTTTTTTTCTATTATAGATAGGAAGCTGAAACTTTCACTGAATTTTAGCCCTTTCAAAGGACTACAATCCCTGAAAATTTCAGCTCATTTGCACTTATAGTTCCTGAGATAAAATCGTGTTAAGCAATTTGGGGTGATTTATCAATTTTTCAATTTTTCTGAGTGCCTTTTTTCATAGATTTCGGCTTCAAATCTGGGAATAATTTAGTGTATGGAGTTTGGGGTATGTTGATTGACCATTAGGATACAAAATCTCGACAAAAAAAAAATTGAAATTTCATCGTTTTAGTAAGAAGGTACCTACCTTATGATTTAGATTTTGGAAAATTTTGAAAGGTCATAACTTTTTTTCTATTATAGATAGAAAGCTGAAATTTTCACTGAATTTTAGCCCTTTCAAAGGACTACAATCCCTGAAAATTTCAGCTCATTTGCACTTATAGTTCCTGAGATAAAATCGTGTTAAGCAATTTGGGATGATTTATCAATTTTTCAATTTTTCTGAGTGCCTTTTTTCATAGATTTCGGCTTCAAATCTAGGAATAATTTAGTGTATGGAGTTTGGGGTATGTTGATTGACCATTAGGATACAAAATCTCGACAAAAAAAAATTTGAAATTTCATCGTTTTAGTAAGAAGGTACCTACCTTATGATTTAGATTTTGGAAAATTTTGAAAGGTCATAACTTTTTTTCTATTATAGATAGGAAGCTGAAACTTTCACTGAATTTTAGCCCTTTCAAAGGACTACAATCCCTGAAAATTTCAGCTCATTTGCACTTATAGTTCCTGAGATAAAATCGTGTTAAGCAATTTGGGATGATTTATCAATTTTTCAATTTTTCTGAGTGCCTTTTTTCATAGATTTCGGCTTCAAATCTAGGAATAATTTAGTGTATGGAGTTTGGGGTATGTTGATTGACCATTAGGATACAAAATCTCGACAAAAAAAAATTTGAAATTTCATCGTTTTAGTAAGAAGGTACCTACCTTATGATTTAGATTTTGGAAAATTTTGAAAGGTCATAACTTTTTTTCTATTATAGATAGGAAGCTGAAACTTTCACTGAATTTTAGCCCTTTCAAAGGACTACAATCCCTGAAAATTTCAGCGCATTTGCACTTATAGTTCCTGAGATAAAATCGTGTTAAGCAATTTGGGATGATTTATCAATTTTTCAATTTTTCTGAGTGCCTTTTTTCATAGATTTCGGCTTCAAATCTGGGAATAATTTAGTGTATGGAGTTTGGGTTATGTTGATTGACCATTAGGATACAAAATCTCGACAAAAAAAAATTTGAAATTTCATCGTTTTAGTAAGAAGGTACCTACCTTATGATTTAGATTTTGGAAAATTTTGAAAGGTCATAACTTTTTTTCTATTATAGATAGGAAGCTGAAACTTTCACTGAATTTTAGCCCTTTCAAAGGACTACAATCCCTGAAAATTTCAGCGCATTTGCACTTATAGTTCCTGAGATAAAATCGTGTTAAGCAATTTGGGGTGATTTATCAATTTTTCAATTTTTCTGAGTGCCTTTTTTCATAGATTTCGGCTTCAAATCTAGGAATAATTTAGTGTATGGAGTTTGGGGTATGTTGATTGACCATTAGGATACAAAATCTCGACAAAAAAAAATTTGAAATTTCATCGTTTTAGTAAGAAGGTACCTACCTTATGATTTAGATTTTGGAAAATTTTGAAAGGTCATAACTTTTTTTCTATTATAGATAGGAAGCTGAAACTTTCACTGAATTTTAGCCCTTTCAAAGGACTACAATCCCTGAAAATTTCAGCGCATTTGCACTTATAGTTCCTGAGATAAAATCGTGTTAAGCAATTTGGGGTGATTTATCAATTTTTCAATTTTTCTGAGTGCCTTTTTTCATAGATTTCGGCTTCAAATCTAGGAATAATTTAGTGTATGGAGTTTGGGGTATGTTGATTGACCATTAGGATACAAAATCTCGACAAAAAAAAATTTGAAATTTCATCGTTTTAGTAAGAAGGTACCTACCTTATGATTTAGATTTTGGAAAATTTTGAAAGGTCATAACTTTTTTTCTATTATAGATAGGAAGCTAAAACTTTCACTGAATTTAAGCCCTTTCAAAGGACTACAATCCCTGAAAATTTCAGCTCATTTGCACTTATAGTTCCTGAGATAAAATCGTGTTAAGCAATTTGGGGTGATTTATCAATTTTTCAATTTTTCTGAGTGCCTTTTTTCATAGATTTCGGCTTCAAATCTGGGAATAATTTAGTGTATGGAGTTTGGGGTATGTTGATTGACCATTAGGATACAAAATCTCGACAAAAAAAAATTGAAATTTCATCGTTTTAGTAAGAAGGTACCTACCTTATGATTTAGATTTTGGAAAATTTTGAAAGGTCATAACTTTTTTTCTATTATAGATAGGAAGCTGAAACTTTCACTGAATTTTAGCCCTTTCAAAGGACTACAATCCCTGAAAATTTCAGCTCATTTGCACTTATAGTTCCTGAGATAAAATCGTGTTAAGCAATTTGGGATGATTTATCAATTTTTCAATTTTTCTGAGTGCCTTTTTTCATAGATTTCGGCTTCAAATCTAGGAATAATTTAGTGTATGGAGTTTGGGGTATGTTGATTGACCATTAGGATACAAAATCTCGACAAAAAAAAATTTGAAATTTCATCGTTTTAGTAAGAAGGTACCTACCTTATGATTTAGATTTTGGAAAATTTTGAAAGGTCATAACTTTTTTTCTATTATAGATAGGAAGCTAAAACTTTCACTGAATTTAAGCCCTTTCAAAGGACTACAATCCCTGAAAATTTCAGCTCATTTGCACTTATAGTTCCTGAGATAAAATCGTGTTAAGCAATTTGGGGTGATTTATCAATTTTTCAATTTTTCTGAGTGCCTTTTTTCATAGATTTCGGCTTCAAATCTGGGAATAATTTAGTGTATGGAGTTTGGGGTATGTTGATTGACCATTAGGATACAAAATCTCGACAAAAAAAAATTGAAATTTCATCGTTTTAGTAAGAAGGTACCTACCTTATGATTTAGATTTTGGAAAATTTTGAAAGGTCATAACTTTTTTTCTATTATAGATAGGAAGCTGAAACTTTCACTGAATTTTAGCCCTTTCAAAGGACTACAATCCCTGAAAATTTCAGCGCATTTGCACTTATAGTTCCTGAGATAAAATCGTGTTAAGCAATTTGGGATGATTTATCAATTTTTCAATTTTTCTGAGTGCCTT